TGGGATACTATAGGTAATTAGTAAAATTAAAAAAATAATCTGTACTTACCCATATGTACAAAAAAATGTCGTACAGATAAAAATACACATGGTAGGCTATGGTAGCAGCACTTAAAGCAGCTGAAGACACCATCTCGGATAGGGCTCTATCGACTAATAAGGACCAGCAAAGATGCGATTACTGACAAGACGCGAATTTCTTGTTTGATTTCCTGCGAATAGTTTATAGAAGCGTCGGTTAGTACCGTTGTACTTGCAGAATGCCGATTTTTCTTCGAACTAAAACGGCACTTGCCTCTCGTGGTCAGATGCTGCGCGAAGAAATGCACTGAAGAAATGCATTCGCGGATGTAGGATTTTCTATTCTATTTACAATAGACGCGATAGCATGTTGTGCTGGTACGTATTGTTTAAGCCTGTTGCACTCGCAATAGTCGGTAACGAATTGCAACGGTTACCATTTACCTATTAACATTTTTTATTGTTTATCAGTCCATGAAATGGTGAAGAGTCGACCATTGGGGTAGACACGGTGAAGGGTCTAAAAATTAAACATTTTTATAACAATTTCAATTTTCTACTTTGAGATTAAGTAAACCACGACTTAATCCTGTTCGAAAAGGCAAAAAATGGCAAAGAAAGTCGACAGTATATACAGGGTGATTCACCTAACTTATTCATTAGAAGTTTATGGGGAACGGAAAAAGATATCGATTTGAAATTTAATTTAATTTTTTACTTTTTGTGATATTTAATTTTTTTCAAAATGTTACTTACAAAATAATAAAGGCCTCCCTAGAGTAAAATTAAAAAATATAACTTAAATTGTCAAAACTAATAATATTTTGCATTAAAACTCAAACTCATATTATTGATAAGAGTAAGCACGGTATACCTATAGGTACATCTTAAAAATTATATGCCCTCTAAATATTTTACGGTTTTAAGAAAAATTATTGATTGGGTAAAAATTCAACAAAACTTAAAACCAACAAAATTTTATAAAATCTTTTAAAAAACATTTAGTTTTTATCATATTATTGATAAGAGTAAGCACGGTATACCTATAGGTACATCTTAAAAATTATATGCCCTCTAAATATTTTACGGTTTTAAGAAAAATTATTGATTGGGTAAAAATTCAACAAAACTTAAAACCAACAAAATTTTATAAAATCTTTTAAAAAACATTTAGTTTTTATCATTTTTTAATAACTAAAACTTTTCTTATTAAACTTATATTTATGAAAAAATATTATATAAATGTTTATAAACTGCTTGTCATAAAAATCGACGCACCTAGTTTTTTGGAAAATATTTGAAAGCTCGTTATTGGAAAATTACTGAATCGATTTTGAAAATCTTTGGAAATTCTGAATAGCTGATTCTTTGACTCTTATGTCTAATTTTGGGAATACGATATTTTGCACATAGCATTATACTACAGGGTGTTAAACGAAGAGATGTATTTTTTTCGAAATTACAAGTTATTCCCATTCATGAGGCAGTTGAGTTTGATAGTCGTAATACCCCTCCCTAATATAAGTAAGGTAATCCCTCAGAACGTTTTCGAGATTTTATTACGATTTACGATTATATGCCAATTTTTCGAAAATTGTCGATATTCCCCAGTCGTCCAAAAAATGAGCAATAGTAGATTTTTTGACTTACGTCTAATTTTGGGAATACGATATTGTGCACATAGCATTATACTACAGGGTGTTAAAAAAAGAGATGTTTTTCCAAAATTTCAAATCCCCATTCACAGGGCAGTTGAGCTTGATAGTCGTAATACCCCTTCCTAATAACAGTTAGGTAATCCCTCGGGACGTTTTCGAGATTTTGTGGATATCTTGGCTAACTACGATTATATAGCAATTTTTCGAAAATTGTCGTTATTCTTCATTTTAGTCCAAAAAATAAGCAATAGATTCTTCGACTATTATGTCTAATTGTTGAAATACGATATTGTGCACATAGCATGATACTACAGGGTGTTAAAAAAGGAGATGTTTTTTTTCCAAAATTCCAAATCCCCATTCACAGGGCAGTTGTGCTTGATAGTCGTAATACCCCTTCCTATAGGAATTATTATTATTATAATAACAGTTAGGTAATCCCTCGGGACGTTTTCGAGATTTTGTGGATATCTTGGCTAACTACGATTATATAGCAATTTTTTGAAAATTGTCGTTATTCTCCACTTAATTCCCAAATGTGAGCAAACTACGAAAGGTATCGATTAGTTATCAACACATCGTTTCCCCAATTTGCATGTTCTTGTGCCCATCTTCTTCTAGTAGAAAAATAGGGAAGGCAGCTTTTCGTCTTGCGTGGTAATACCACGCAAGACGGTGGTATGCAATCTTACATTCGTCATTTTATTTTTTTAAATGTGTTTTGCTGTTTGAAAAATGTTTTCATATTCGACTACAAAAATGACAAGAATAATTAAAGGAAGGAAACTCAAAACCAGATATGCGCCATATTTTTTAAACTTTCATAGTCAACCGTTTGTAGAAAATTGCATGAGTATAGCCTGCATAGGTTTACGAGAATAATTTTGTTTGGTTTGCGTTTTTATTTTAAATTTAACCGAAAAAAATTGGTTTTGTGTGAAACATTTCACTTTTAATGAATCACGCAACGTACATATACTGGAAGCACGTGACCTACCTTAAAACGCTGTGTTGATACCTTCCGTAGTTTGCTCATTTTTGGGACTTAAGTGAAGAATAACGTGAATATTCGAAAAACTGCCATATAATCGTAGTTATCCAAGATATGCACAAAATCTCGAAAATGTCCCGAGGGATTACCTGTTATTAGGAAGGGGTATTATGACTATCTAGCTCAAATGCCCTGTGAATGGTGATTTGGAATTTTGGAAAAACATCTCTTTTTTTAACACCCTGTAGTATAATGCTATGTGCACAATATCGTATTCCCAAAATTAAACGTAAGTGAAAGAATCCACTATTGCTCATTTTTTGGACAATTGGGGAATATCGACAATTTTCGAAAAATTGCTATATAATCGTAGTTAGCCAAGATATCCACAAAATCTTGAAAACGTCCCGAGGGATTACCTAACTGTTATTAGGAAGGGGTATTAGGACTATCAAGCTCAACTGCCCTGTGAATGGGGATTTGGAATTTTGGAAAAAAACATCTCTTTTTTTAACACCCTGTAGTATCATGCTATGTGCACAATATTGTATTCCCAAAATTAGACATAACAGTAAAAAGATCAAATATTGCTGATTTTTTGGACTAAAATGAAGAATAACGCGAATTTTCAAAAAATTGACGTACAATCGTGGTTAGCCAAGATATATCCACAAAATCTCGAAAATGTCCCGAGGGATTACCTAAGTGTTATTACGACTATCAAGCTCAACTGCCCTGTAAATGGGGATTTGGAATTTTGGAAAAAAACATCCCTTTTTTTAACACCCTGTAGTATAATGCTATGTGCACAATATCGTATTCTCAAAATTAGACGTAAGTCAAAGAATCCACTATTGCTCATTTTTTGGACTAAACTGTGAAATAACGACAATTTTCGATAAATTGGCATATAATCGTAGTAAGCCGCGATTGTCACCAAATCTCGAAAACGTTCCGAGGGATTACCTTACTTATATTACGACTATCAAACTCAACTGCCTCATGAATGGGAATAACTTGAAATTTCGGAATTTCCAAAGATTTTTAAAATCGATTCAGTAATTTTTCAATAACGAGCTTCCAAATATTTTCCAAAAAACTAGGTGCGTCGATTTTTATGACGAGCAGTATAAGTAATGGATGCCATCTTAAAAAACTCAGCAAAGCTTATTTTTCCTTGTTTAGGCAATATTAATAGTATTTATGGTTATAAAGTGGTCTTAATGTCGTAAAATTATGACCTATGTGTAACATTTACCATTAAGTAAGTAAAAATTCTGACGTTAAAATTACCGTTAAATTTTCCTTTAGGTGAAATACACTTATAGGTAATTTTCTTTCGTAAAAATTACGTCCCTCATAATACTTTAAAGTGTTGAAACTTAAGGGTTATTAAAATAGGTAAAAATAACATAAATTAAACTTATTAAATAACTTTAAAAAAAGTAAATTTTTAAGGTTAATTAAATAATTAAATTAAAATTTGTTAATAACAAAGTTATAATTTTTTAACAACATAACATAACCAATTTTAATAAGAAAGAAATAAACATTTTGTAATATTTTGAATGAATGTAGCTATCCTTATTTTGGGCGATTCAAAGTTTATTGTTTTTTAATAAATTGGGTAAATCCCATAACAATTATTTGAATAGGTTATTTTTTTAATTTATTTTACGTAAGAGGACGAAAAAGTCCAGGAAATATTCTATCCTGTATAGACATTTTGGATTAATTAATGTTTATTTCTACAATTCGTCCTCAATAATAATTTTGTATTCTTTAATTAAGATTATAAAATAATTTTTACATTATAGTATTATTTCACACTTTATTTTGACGATTGTATGACATTTAAAAACTGTCAACCAGCTCAAAGCTAACTTCAGCCCGTGACTAAAACGCCATAAAGTCACAGCTTGTCAAAAGATTACTTTGAGCCATGGAAACATGAACGATAAATAAATATTATGTAAATCCCTTAATTTTAAATGAACTTCCAATTACTTGCCATTTATTTATTATTCATTAATAATCCTGTTAAACAATGTTTAATAAACATGTATATGCAAGCGCAATTATTTTTGAATTTATGTATTTAAAATACCACAAAATATTTGTTTCCGAATAACTAAATCATTTAGTCTAAATTCTTAATTTTAATGCAATTTATTATAAAAAATTAATAATAAATTATTATTTATTATTTAAATGTTTTCTTTTATATTTAGTAACTTAACAATCGTAATATATGTAAATCAATTTAGAATGCAATAGTTTAAGTTTTATATTTATCTAGGAATAAATTAAAAATGGTGTTTAAAATGTAAAATGGAAATAATATCAGTGCATCTAATACTTATTGGTTATTTAGGCTTTAGTACAGGTACCTATGCATTTTTAATAAATATTATATATTTTAAATTTCAAACTTAATAATACCAATAATAAATATAGTTAGATAGGTTAAAATAAGTAGCAAAATAGGTTTTTTAAGGTATACAAGGGCTCCATAAAACTACTCTTAAGGGTAATTTACATTGCTTAGTTAAAACCTATTGGCTTTAACAGCAGCTATACAGCTTCGATAAAACCATCATAGGGCTAAAAAGGAGAATCCTATCGCTGTATGTGTGTCAGCCAGAAAGCAACTTTGCTTTATTGTATTACTCCTAAGGCACACCTTGCAGCAGCCATAAAACCTACCTTACAGCTGCCATAAAACCTGCTAAGTGCAATAGGTTTTAAGGAGGTAGTGTGCTTTTTTCGTAAACACATTTTAGCTGACAATTTGTACTTTTTACTTTATTGTAGTACTTTGTAAATTCCATATTGCTTTAATCAAATACTTGTTTGGTATATTGTTGCCTTATGAATCACAAGCATAGGCCATTATTGATTTTAAAAACTTAATAAGAAAATTATTATCTTTTGTCAGCCAATAACTTTTGCAAAAATCATAAACAAATACCACTTTACTGATAAAAGTTGATTGCCGAGACACAAAACGTATAGTGCCCACTGAAATGGGCTAAATTTAAAAAATTTTAAAGGCTTTGGCTAAATTACTTACCCGATCTACATTCCGTTTTTTAAGCCATCTCCTATCGAAAAAATATTCTCTAGCATTAACATGCTCGTAAAAACCAAATTTTTTTAAATTTTCTGAAAATTATTATCTATTCGTACTTTATATTAAAATTATTTCATCATGGCGGAGCAATATTTTCTAATTTAAATGTCGGTTTCAGTTATAAAACAATGTACTTTTGCAAACAACCGCTAAAAAGTTTAATTGCTTTAAAAAGTGTTTACAACTATTTGTTAAAACTAATAAGCCCTATAACTGCATTTTTCATAAAACCAATTGGAATTTTGTGCGAGCATTTTAAACCAACTTTGCAGTATTTCCATTAAAAGTATCGCCATCAGAGCTATAATGCTTTGTCAGATGATAACACCTAAAAATTGTCTTAATTGCTGTGATAGAATGATGCGGAACAGGACGTTGAAGGAATACAATGAGTATTATCAACCGGATGTTTTGCCAACAACATTATGTTTTCAACATAGAAGAACAACTTTTGAAAGCTCTTACAGGAGCCAACTTTGTTTTTCTATAAAAATTTCCATTTTTTTTTAACTTTTAACCACCGCTCTAAAAAACTCCTCGTGTATGGCGGCGACATGTTGACAAGAGATATTTTCTTCGCGATTATCAAGACAAAAACGTTTTAAGAAAGAAATAATAGCAACAAAATGGTTTACACTCATGCAAATTTGCAAATTGGAAAGCAAATTGGTTATATTAAAGACGTATTGCTGCTTTACTAGGAACAATCATAAAACCTTTTTACTGTTTGGTTCTGTAACATTCTTACATAGAAGAAAAGTAGTCCTAACACCAAATGCTCCTATGAGTCGGCTTTAACAGATGCAGTAAAGCCAACTTTCCGAGCACCATTAAAACCAATAGGCATCTGATAAACCTTCATAAAGCTTATTGGACTATAGGCGTTTCTTAAGGGCAAGTTGCCCTAAAAAAGCATTATTGGTTAACAGTAATAAATCAATGTTAAGATCAAACGGTTATAATTGTAAAAAGGCTTTAATACTTTACTTTAAAGTCGCTTATAAAGCCTAATCATTATCTCAAGACCAACTAGCACAAAGCAGAGCTGCAATAAAATAACAACATTTTTTGTATTATTATACAAAAAGTATTATTTATTTATAGGTAGTCATTGCGGACGCAGCATGGCCGGTAGGTACCATCATCCACATGACCGTATAGTGTCAGGTTATGATACCGGCTACCACAAGTTTCCTTGGTATGCAGCATTGACAGATTCATATGGAGTAGCCTGTGGTGGATCTCTCATTGGTCCAAAAACCATCATTACAGCTGCGCATTGCTATCGCGAGCAATTGGATAATGCAGCGTAAGTTTTAAAAACAATCTAGGTTTGCAAAACACCCACAAATGGCTATTTATTTAGGGCCCTAGGGCTGTAAGCAAAGCAAACGGAAATATATAGAAGTGTATTGGATGACGCCGCGTTTGAATATCTACAGTTTTTTAAACCCTCCCACGGTATAGAGTTGTATTCCTCAGTCGAGCGTTTCAATACCCTCCACAGTATAGAGGTCGTAATTTGACTTTTGTACTAGTATTAATATGAAAATTATTTTATGCTTGAAAAAAAACTATATACGACATGATTGTGATTTTTTTAATTTTATTAATTAATTAAGCTGTTTTGAATATTTTTCCTAAAGGAATAATTGCTAATGGGACATTAATTCATTTGTTCGTAGATGCTGCACTGGTGTGTACTTTTTGATCAACCAGATTTAAATATTGCTGTACTAACATATACCAGTGGAGATAGTGCAGGGTCTACCAACAGACCTCATTACTAAATTATTTAAGTTTAAGCATATCAATCGTTTTTTCAACAAAACCTCTGAAATTTTTAATACAAATATAGGTACTTCATATAATACATAAATATACTTTACATCATATCCTCTGTGCTTTACATACCTGAGTTGTTACGGTAAATAAAAATCAGACAAAGGAACCAAAGAAAGGAAGTGTTTTCAAGAAAATCATATGCAGAAATGAGAAAATTCAAACTACTTGCATCCATCAAAAGATCAAAACTTCTTGCAATACTGAATTACACCCTCTTTTTATGCTCTCAGAAATATTGACTAGAACAGTATTAGAGAGACTCTAGTTCTATAACTTGGTAGAGTAAAGAGAAGTCGAAACCGTTGAGATATTGCATTGCGCTGTTTTTTATAATTCTAATTAAAATTCGAAAAGCTTGAGATTCTATGTCTTTGAAGAGAATAAGAGAATAATTTCTAGAGACATAAATGACTGCACCATTCGACAGGGTCGAGTTTTTGCCTCTCTGTTAAATATAGAAAATCAAAATAATAATGTTGTAAGACACCATTGAGTTTGACTTTAGTATTCAATCGGGGAGTCATCCTATCCATTTCTATATTTTTTCGTTTGCTGTGTAATACAGACATACAAAAGACATCTTCAAGACTTGTGTGCTATCTGGGCTTTTAACTACCGGTATTTTAATTTCAGAAAAGGAACAGTAAAGCTAGAAAACCTGTACAAGGTGAAGGTGGGGGTGTATAATATTTGCAAAGATGATTCTAGAATGGAGACTTTCAATGTGGCCAAAGTTTTGGTTCACGAACTGTACCAGAAACACGATCCGTATTATGATATATGTCTACTTACCTTGGTTACTGAAACCAAACACCTCATCCCCATATGTCTGCCACCAAAAGGTACCTCTCGTGATGTTTCTGGAAAATCACTTTGTATTTAATTAAACAAATTTGACGTTTGCGCAGTTATGGATGTTAAGCCGAAAGTAGGAATAGTGACAGGACTTGGGACCTTAAGATTCAAAGGAGACGAGCCTTGCACTCTCAAAGAAGCCCGAATTTTGATCTACTCCGATTTGGATTGTCGAAAAATGCTAAACAGAAGTGAAGGTACTGGGAATGATTTGGACAAGGCCTTTTGTGCTGGGTATCTACAAGGAGGAATTGATACTTGCCAGGTACGTATAGGACATTATATACAGGGTGTTATGTAATTAATGTTATATATTAAAATACTGAATACCTTTTGACATAAGGAGTAAAGGAAAAATATTTAAAAAATTATTTTTCCAAAGATAAAGAAAAAAATATGCATTAGAAGTTTTTTATATTTTTTGTGGTTACACACTTGGTTTATCTCTGCACACTTGTTCTGTGAGTACATTGATTCCAACCAACAAAGTAGCTGCGCGTTGCCAGATGTAAAAAATTGTTACTAAAAACTCAATAAATACAAAAGTTTTATGCCCTTAAAGCTCTAATACCCTTCTGTATTTATTTACTCATCCAGCTATTAGCTTAAGTAATGATTAGAAAATTTAGTACCTATTTTAAAAAATCCATAAACACAAAAATTTTCCCACGGTTTTTTCCTTTGTTTACTCAGATGAAATTGGGACCAGTTCACAGGTTAAACATTTAATTTGTGTAAATAAATCCAAAAGCACTTCCCTTAGTTAAGATATTTACAATTTGAGCACATAACCTAAAATTTGAAAAAAATGCACTGGATTCTGTCATAAAAGTTGGCAGATTTTGTTTGAATTTACCTTCAGTACAAAAATGACATAACCAACAATTAATAAAAACGCCAAATTGACAATTTGCATTTTTGATTTTGTCCTTTTTGTAATTAAGCTAAATTTAAGCAATGCTTGACAACTTTTTTGACAGAATTTGGAAACGCTGTTGTTACCAACCATAACATAATAAATTAAATTAGGCAACCAGATTAGCCTAAAGTTCCTAGTCGATCAGTGGCGTACTTTTTGGTAGGATAAAGGTTAATATAAATTATTTTTAGTCTTTGGAATTTAGAAAAAAAGTCTCAGGTGCTTCTTTATGGACCCTAAGGAACAACCCATTTTAATATATAACATTAATTTCATAACACCCATGAAAATTTTTAACAGATTTTAATAAAACGCTCTCACCGTTTCATGAAATCAGGTCATTTAAATTTTTTATACAGCCATTTTTTTTACAAAATACAAAAATTATGCATAAAGAAAATAATAACTTTTTAAATTAAATAAAATTTCTGTTTTTAACTTTTGATTTTTTTTTTAATTAAAGAAGACATATTTAACCCGTTTAAACCATTTTAATTAATAACTAAAAAAGGATTTTTTAAACTGTTTTTATTGCCTTAAAAAGTTTTTTGCATTCTGATTTCAAAATTAATGTCATAGGTACATTTTTCATTAAAATTTGTTGTAATAAACAGTTCGATACTTCATATTATTTTAAATATTTTAGGGTGACAGTGGAGGCCCACTTCAAATCATTAACCAAGAGGGGAATTACATGCTTCTAGGTATGAAAAACTATTTTTATTGCATTCATGCAGTAATACAGTTATTACTCGCTAATCGTTTGAATTTATTTAGTTTATTATTTGCAAGTGCAACATCTAATGATACCAAATACTTTAACGGGTAATAAAATTGCTTTCTAAATAATTAAAATAAATTAGCCGGCCCAACAGATTTTATTATTGTATTGTTAGTACGTTACCTACTTGTTAATCTAACAGTCTTAGGATTTCGTTTAAAAAAATGCAGCATAAAAAAAGCGTTGAAAAACAATTGTGTCTTTTAAAAGAAAAAACCCAACGATATTAAATAAAAAATTGTACTTGCATAGTACTGCAGCAAAAATAAAGTTCAGCATGCTGAACTTTGTTTTCCTAGAATATGAGAAAAGCTTAGAATGTTTCTTTCTCAATAAGAATATTAATAAAACAAATAAAATACCATTTTTAATATTCCACTTTTTAAAAATAGAATTTGCATAAATACGGTCAACAACCTTAAGGTTAGACCTTTCATTGAATTTTTAATTTATTTACATTTTTTTAATTTTTGACTAATTTTTTAATATATAATAATATTATAAAATTGTTTTTAATATTTAAAAAGGACAAAATATCATTTTTATTGTTTATAACAATAAAATGGCCTTTTGTCCCTTATTACCATAATTTAGTTACCTACAATCCCTGATAGAACACTTTATTCTAAGAATGTTTTTTAAACCTTCCAGTGAGAATATTCTTAGGATCATGCTATATTTCTACTAAAGAACATGCTTAAAAGACATATAGCATGATCCCAACAATATTCTTACTGGCCTATAGGCAGGTTCTTAGAAGGTGCAAAGTTTTAGTGGTAAAAATTAGTCTACTCTAAACATATGCTTAGAATGTTAAGAAAGCAATTGCTATAGAAAGTTCATTTAGGAATATTCCTGTTAAGCATATTTAGTTCAGTTACCTACCTATATAATAGTAAAATATACTATAAACTACGTATAAAGGTATATACCTATACTTAAGTACCTAATTAGTAGTTAGTATTAAATACTAAGTAAAAAACACAATCCAAAATATTTTTTTATAATTATTTCTCAAATTAAAACAACATTCGATAACAAAAACACTTTTACTATAGGTATTTTATTTTATGTTAAAAATAAATATTTATTAATTTGTATACCGATTTTTTATTTCTGAATTAACATTTTTATGTATAATAATTATTATAGGATTATAATCCTAACTATCTTCAACTTCAATCTAATCTGACTTATCCCACAAAATTTTACAATTTTACTTTTTATGAAATAATGTCATACAACTTATGGTTTAGAGGTCAAATTGTTTATTTAATATTTTTAAATAAATATATATTAATATGTCGCAAATTTTTTTAAGTGGACGACAAATACCTACATTTCACTGTCATATTATGACTGAGGGGTATTTGTCGTCTCCTGAAGAATTTTACGAATGTAGAATACAACATATTAGAACGTGGGTATCTGACATATTTGGAAATATTCTCAAAAGCATCCTAGAAGCTCCATAAGAAACCTTCTAAGAACATTCCAAAAACGTATTCTTAAAATGTTCTTAGGATGCTCTTTGGGAAGGTTTTAAGAAGCTTTTAAGAATCTAATTGCATTATTAAAAGGGTATCTATTGAATGTTTTAAAAGTCCCTAAGAGCATTCTTAGCAATAAGGGAAGGTTCTAAGAATATTCCATTATTCCGGGTAATATCTTCTTAGAAGATTCTTAAAATCAAATTTTGCTATCAGGGATGCAATTGCCACTAATATTGTTGCAACGTTGCAGCAATATGTAGTGCTGTAGTGTTGTTTAAAAAATGTGTAAACCTATTTTTTTATATTTTTTATTTATTTTAGGTATTGTTTCATATGGTTACAAATGTGCCCTCCCAAGCATGTTAGGAGTTTACACAGACGTGTCTCGGTACATAGACTGGATCGAGAAAAATTCTGGTCTTAATGCGGAAATGATTAACACAATATATAAAGACCCAAAACCACAAAAACCAAATCGTCACCCAGTTTCTGCTGCTATTAAAAAGCCCTTCAACACAAATGTATTAAGACCATTTAAAAAACCTCATAGACATGTAATTTATTTGTAATTTGTTCAATAAATATATCCTTGTACTATTTTTATTTTTAACTCTAAAAAAATTAACATAAATATTTTAATAAAAATAATTCTACAATGCATGTGATAAACGGTTTTCATAAATAGAACGCAAACATTTCCAAATGAGCGTTCATCGCTTTTTGTTTCATTTGCTGATGCTGACTTCAATTATAAAATTATCACATTTACAGGCAAATCTAGGTAAGACTAAGAAACAGAAAATTAAATATCATAAGATAAGATGGTTTTTTTTATAGAATGTGGACAAGTTTTGGGCAACCAATTCAAGTTGCACATGGATAGAATCGTAGCTGGCTACGACGTGGGTTATTATAGATACCCATGGTATGCTTCCATCATGGAAGGAACACGATCGGTTTGCGGAGGGGTCCTTGTGGCACCTCGAACTGTTTTAACAACTGCTAGCTGCTACAGAAACTATTTGACTTCTTCAAGGTAATTTTTTTGCTATGCCCCTGGTATATAATAATAATTATATTTGTTGTTTACATTAAGACGAATTAATTTTATGCATAGCATGGTGCTTCGAAAACTAGAAGATGTATACAGTGTTTCTTTGGGGATGTACAACAATTGTATTACTGAAAATCAAAGAAGTTTATTTAGAATCGAAAAAGTTAACATCCATGAGCTCTATTACACCAAAAAACCATTCTATGATATAGCCCTGCTGACGCTAATTGGGTCTACTTCCAAGTATAGGGCTATTTGTTTACCAGCTCCAAGTAAGTAAGTACACAGCAAACTAAAAAATATAGAAGTGTATTGGATGACGCCACATTTGAATACAGTTTTCTAAACCCTCGCCACGGTATAGAGTTGTATTCGTCAGTCGAGCGTTTCAATACTCTCCACAGTATAGAGAACTAGTATTAATATAAAAATTATTTTATGCTTAAAAAAAACTATATACGACATATGTACAATCATATGATTGTGATTTTTTTCATTTTATTCATTAACTAAGCTGTGTTGAATATTTTTCCTAAAGGAATAATTGCCAATGGGCCATTATTTCATTTGTTCCTAGATGCTACAATAACCTGCACTGGTGTGTACTTTTTGATCAACCAGATTTAAATATTGCTGTACTAACATATACCAGTGGAGATAGGCAGGGTCTACCAACAGACCTCATTACTAAATTATTAAAGTTTAATAGCATAACAATCGTTTTTTCAACAAAACCTCTGAAATTTTTAATACAAATATAGGTACTTTATAAAATACATAAATATACATTACATCATATCCTCTGTGCTTTACATACCTGAGTTGTAACGGTAAATAAAAATCAGACAAAGGAACCAAAGAAAGGAACTGTTTTCAGCAAAATCATATGCAGAAAAGAGAATATTCAAAATACTTGCATCCATCAAAAGATCAAAACTTCTTGCAATATTGAATTACACCCTCTTTTTATGCTCTCAGAAATATTGACTAGAACAGTATTAGAGAGACTGCAGTTTCTATAACTTGGTAGAGAAAAGAGAAGTCGAAACCGTTGCGATATTGCATTACGCTGTTTTTTATAATTCTCGGGGACATTAACGAAAATCATTGCCAGTAAAATTCGAAAAGCTTGAGTTTCTATGCCTTTGAAGAGAATAAGAATCCGAAGTTGCTGCACCATTGGACTGCCCCCTTTTTCAATAATTTCCAGAGACATAAATGACTGCACCATTCGACAGGGTCGCGTTTCTACCTTTCTGTTGAATATAGAAAATCAAAATAATGTATCTTGTAAGACACCATTGAGTTTGACTTTAACTATACTATAGTTACTATACTATAGTTACTATAGTCGTGCATAGGTATAGAGGCGAAATATATATCAACAAAGCACGATTCAATACAGTTCTGATAAAACTTTAAGATTTAGTATTGAAACGGGGAGTCATCCTATACACTTCCATATTTTTCCGTTTGCTGTGTAATGTGAATTTATTTTGTATTCCTTCCATCCAAATAAAATAATTCAAACGTGTGTTTCAACAGAGATTGTTATGGCCCTTTCTAAAGTTTAAGCCGTTATTTTGGACTGATTAATCGCAATGATGATTGAAACTGCAGTAAATTTTAAAGTATATCTAAAAAATTGATTTAATGCTTGTTTATCCGGTATAATCGTAATTAAAGAGAATTGCTATTATTTTTATCTCAATTAAATATTTCTGTAATTTCTCAGAACATTTACGAAGATTTTTGACCTGGTGAATTTGAATTTAACCTCAGAATTGAATATATTGAGATGTCCCCCAAGTGAAAATGATTATTTTTTATTTTTGGTTGTTTCACTGTTAGTCTAGAATGGGGTTTTTGGGAAGCCACCATGTCTAGTAATAACATAACATAAGTGGTTCTGCACTAATGCAAGAATTTTAAGAAATCATATTGAACATTAGACCTTCACGGAGGTTAGGATTTCGTATGTTTTTTTAAAACATCCCTTTGTATATTTTAAATAAGTTTTTGAATCTTTTGACACCTTAATATTTTTTTAAAATACAATTTTACATACACAAAATATTTATAAAAAAATATACTTACTGAGATATTACACTTCACGGTAAAAAGGTTTTTAAATAGCAAATTAATGAACTTAAACTTTTGAATTATAAAACAGCAACACTCTCATCTGCATATAAATTCTAACTGACCTTCAAGAATCACATGCATCTATAATATAGTAAACAGAGGTTTTTGCTTATTTAAAATGATTAAAGCGCCATCCGTTGCATACAATTTAGAGCAAAAACAGATTCACGGAGGATAGAATCAATTCTTGTAACACCTACATAAATGGTTATAAAAATTATTTCTTTTAATTTTTAATAATATTTTATATTTGATTCGATTGCTTTGGATGTGTTTAATTTACTTGGTGAACTGATATTTTTAGTATGCTTTTTCTACCTCAGATATTTGAAAACATATATGTTAACCTAGAAAGAGTAACAGTCACGGAGGATAGGATTAGACTTTTAAAACATTGTAAAAAATAATTAATTGCGGTTAAAAATCTGGAACCTGAGCTGTAATATCTACTTAATTACGAAAGATCAAAACACAATAAAAGTGTAGGTCAAACTCATTTAGTTTTATTAAATATCACGGGGTAACACTATCGGGGGACATTTCGTGAGATTTACCCTTATATAAATAACATCACAAGGTATTATTTCTTCACACAATTTATAACTTGTATATTTTAGATGTGCCCAAACCCTTAGAAGGTACTGTAGTTGGAATGGGTGCTCTAGACGTTAACGGAACAACACCCTGTACACTACACGAAGCAAGGCTTCTGATATATCCTCAGGAGCAATGCAGGAAAATAATTGAAGAAAGCGGAAATAATCCAAGGTCTGTTGAAAATGTGTTTTGTGCTGGTTATACCAGGAAAAGTTCGGATACATGTGAAGTAAGAAATATTTAGTTTAAACCGGTTTTTTTTTCGTTTAGATTTACTTATTTTTAGGGTGACACTGGAAGTCCATTACAAGCTATGACAGAAAATGGAAGATATGTTCTCTTAGGTAGGTAAAGTTATAGTTATTGTGGGGCAGCATGATACCATAAGACTCAATAAATACAATAACTTTAAAATGTTTTTAGGATTGGTATCGTTTAATTCTCATTGCGCAAACCCAAATACTCCAGGAATGTACACTGATATAGCGAAATATTTAAAATGGATAAACGATAAATCTGGATTGGATTTTAAGTATTCTATTAAGCCTGAAATCAATCAACATTTAAGTATGTAGCATATACACAGCAAACGTTTGAATACTAAATCATATTTTTATCAGAACTGTATTAAATCGTGCTTTGTTTTTATATTTTTCGCCTCTATACCTGTGCACGACTATAATTAAAGTCAAACTCAATGGTGTCTTGCAAGATACATTATTTTGATTTTCTATATTCAACAGAGGCAGAAACTCGACCCTGTCGAATGGTGCAGTCATTTATGTTTCTAGAAATTTTTGAAAAAGGGGGCAGTCCAGTGGTGCAGCAACTTCGGATTCTTATTCTCTTCAAAGGCATAGAAACTTAAGGTTTTCGAATTTTACTGGCAATGATTTTCGTTAATGTCCCCGAGAATTATAAAAAAGAGCGCAATGCAATATCGCAACGGTTTAGACTTCTCTTTACTCTACCAAGTTATAGAAACTGGAGTCTCTCTAATACTGTTCTAGTCAACATTTCTGAGAGCATAAAAAGAGGGTGTAATTCAATATTGCAAGAAGTTTTGATCCTTTGATGGGTGCAAGTATTTTGAATATTCTCATTTCTGCATATGATTTTGTTGAACAGTTCCTTTTTTTGGTTTCTTTGTCTAATTTTTATGTACCGTAACAACTCTGGTATGTAAAGCACAGAGGATATGATGTAAAGTATATTTATGTATTTTATAAAGTACCTATATTTGTATTAAAAATTTCCATTTGCTGTGTATAACTTCAAATATTAACAATTTGTAATGCAGAAAAAACTGTTCCTCCTTTTAATTCTGTATTATTTTTAGGTGGCCTTACTGAACCTTATAAAAAGGTAATAAGGATAATAATAATAAAAAATGGGCATGTTTTTTCCGTCAAGAAATCTGTGTGGCATTATCCTATTAATTATAACAATAAAAACAATGGAAACAACAAGATATAGTTAAATATCAGTATTAATAAAACCATTCTATTAAAAACACGCGTATTCCTAAAAAATAAACCCATTTGTTAATATAAAAACAATAGGAGCAATAAGATATTGTAGTAAAAGTCAGCATAATTAAACAAACATTTTATTTAAAAAACGTGTATCCCAACAAAATTGAACTGAAATAAAATAAAAAAGCTAATTGAAATTAAAAATAAATACTTAGTAGTCCTAATAGTTATTGTTATCAAAAAGCCGTAAATTTATAAAAAAACATATTATTAATTCATATTTACATTTATACAATATCAAATGAACGAAACATAAGTACAATAATAATAATATATTATAAAATATTGTAAACATTAAGTAAGCTCTTAATATATGACATGTGAGGTGTTCTTGCTGCATTCTGAGGTGATAGCCTCCTCCAAATTGCTATCCAACTTGTGGTAACTTGCTGAATTCGGCCTACGCGTGCGCGAGGATCTTTTATTACGTTTTCCCTCAAGTAACAACGCAAATAGCTATAAATAATTCATGTCATTGTTTAGATATTGCATTTTAGTCCCTTATACGAGGTGTGTTCAGAAAATTTCGCGGGTTCGGAGGGTCCGGTTGTCATAAAATGTTCTGTATTATGTTGGTATACATGCCCCAGAAGTATGATAAAAACTTTAGCTGTTTTCATTGTTTACTTTGTCTGTGGCAGCCGCTAAGGTTAGAGGTGTTTTATGAGCTCGGCGATTTTTCGTTCGTTAAAAGAAATGGATCAAAGAATTTGTATCCAATTTTGCTTAAAAAATTAAATAAATTCTGTGAAATGTTATAGTGAGTCTGCTATAAGTAAAACAAGAGTTTACAAGTGGTATAAGAGTTTCCAAGATGGCCGTGAAGACGTTGAAGATGACGAACGCCCCGAACGCACAAGCACATTAACAACCGATAAAAACATGGAAAAGTGGAAGAAATGGTTATAAACCATCAGAGAATTCGCTGATGATGTTGGTATATCGATTGGCTCATCCCATGAAATTATTTCGAATAATTTGGGTATGAAACGCGTGGCAGCAAAATTTGTTCTAAAATTGTTAAATTTTGAACAAAATTTTTGGCCAAAAACAATACTGTAATGAAGCCCCAGCCTCCATATTCGCCAGACAAGCCTCGGTCTGACTTTTTCCTATTCCCAAAAATAAAGAGAACCTTAAAGGGCCGTCGTTTTGCAAGCATAGATGACATTAAAAGCGCATCGCTGAAAGAACTAAAGGCTATCCCAAAGATCGAGTTTTAGAAGTGTTTCGAGTATTGGAAGAAGAGCTGGCACATGTGCATAATATCCAATGGGGACTATTTTGAAGGCGACAACATTAATGTAGACGAATAAATAAATATTTGTTTCAAAAAACGAAAATTCCCGATATTTTCTGAACACACCTCGTATATGTAGACTATACTAAATATTACACTTACTTTTTGTCTATTGTGATATGCAACATATCCCAAAACAAACATAAGACAAACGACCATAAAATAGGAAAAGAAATAGGAATCTCCATCCATAGCATCATTGTATATGCTGTCATTTGGTTTCTCACCTAAATTTAAAAAATATAACACTACTTGAAAATAAACAGTATAAAATTAAATATTGTTTGTTCAAATTATGGACAAAATAGTTTAAATGTTTATTATATATAATTTTATATTTATTTAATTTACCTTTATCCTCAATGGCTTCAGCTAAAATAAAAATACGCGTATTTTATTAAACACACAACTAACCCATAAAAAACAAAAATATCTTTTGTCTACACAAATATTTAATTTGCGAATTTTGCTATTATTTTAACATGAGTATATTAAGCAACATTTTGTTAGATAAAGTATAAAAAGCTCAAAGATATTCAAATAGAAGATAAAATTTAAATATTTTTGACAGAATGTTTATAACTTTGTTAAAATGAACAAAACCCTTACAAAAATATCTGTGAATAAATAAATTGATTATTATTAATAATACAAAAATTATAAATAAATGATTATTGTATGATTAATAATTAATTAACAACATTCTATGAAAAGGTAGGGTAAAGTAGACACTTTATAGTTATTGGACAATTAACATTAATACTGTAAAAACAAGAGTTCTATAAATATATTTACCTTAAAGTCAAATCATTAGATGACGCTGTATACAATTATAACTATCTCAGTCGGTAATAATATACAACTACTTTATTTTGGGTCCAATATAGGACAAAAAAGTTCGCACGTTACTTTGGTGGTAAGATTTTTGTTTTTTTATTAAGAGCAGGACTGTGTTTAAATTACAATAAAAAATATTTTTAAGAAGTGTACAGATCAGTGTGTGGTATACCTATATGTGTTCCTCATGGTTTAAACATTGTCACTTTAATGCGTTTTAATTTTAATTTTGAATACAAACAGTAAAATGGCCAGTGTCCAATTACTGGTTGGTAAAAAATGTTAATTTCTATTATTGGACATATATCCAATATCATACTCTATTTGTATCCCGGACATTTACCAGCCAATTCTTATGCAAAATTGTCCCCTGAATCCGAAAAGATCGTCAAAAACTATAAAAGTTAAGCAGTTTTTGAGATATAGTCAATTCCATATTATATGTAAAATTGATTATATTTCAAAACATTTTCGGATTCAGCGAATAATATTTTATAGGAATTGACTTCTAAATATCCTGGATACAAATTTCTGACATTTTTGACTAATTCATTTTTATAGAGTAAGTAATATAGTAATTTTTTCGTCACAGGACATCTTGCAGAATAACAGTGATTTAAATACAGTGCATGATAGAAAACATAAAAAACTAATGGAAACAAAATTAATAAATTCGGAAAATACTTTTAACATACCACCCGAAAAAAATATTAGATATATATATAAATCATCCTGTTCTGGCCTAAACATTATAAATGCTTCAAAAACAAGAGATACCACACTTAATGATATTTGCAACAAATTATTTCAGAAATCAGACCAAGGAAAGGGATGAGGAATCCGAGAAAGAAATATATGAATTGTATGATATTTACAAAAACGAATTAAAAAAAATTACCTAAAACAGCAATTTATCTTTAAAAAATATTGAACAATTTACCTATGTTATTTAATGTAAAGTTGTTATGTTTATATAAAAATTGTATGTGCAATAACTATGGTCCATGTGTCCAATTACTATACTTTTTTGCATGTTTTTATAAAACTAATATTAAAAATTCAAATATTGTTATTTTTAAGTAAACGTAAATAAAGTTTAAACAAACACACTATCCTTTTTATATATTTATAAGAAAAAAAATAAAATCTTTAAAACAACAGCATATATAAATTTTAAATAAATAATATTCCTTAAGTGTCCAATAACTATGTGGTTTACCCTATCTTAATATTCTAAGGAAAAGTACCTTACTATTCTAAGAAAAATAATCTTACCATTTTCTTCCAATTCTTGCCTCTTTCTTTCTTCTTCTTCTTGTTCATCATTTACCTCTTCATTGAACAAAGTATTATCGATTGCAACTGTTGGGTTGATAACCTTTGTTTCTAAAGGCATTTCAGCAGTATTAGGCACATTTGCTTTTTCAATGGCAGGTGGTATTATTTTTGCAGTTGGAACTTTTTCTTGTGTTGGTTCAGGTTTGAAGTTTGCATCAGGTTCAGGAGTTTTAACTTTCCGATTTGGAGTGATAACCTCTTTAACTTCTGGTAATGTGGCTTTAGTAATATTTGTGTTATTAACAGTTGGGATTAATTTTTCTTGTTTTACTTCAGGTGCAATATTCTCATTGTTTGCTTCACCTTTTAGGTTTCTCATATCAGTTTCTGGTGTTTCAGTTAATTTCTTAGTTGATGTATTTACTATTGCTTCCTCATTTATTTTGTTGTTTAAAAGCATTGCATTTTCAGTGGTTACAATTTCCTGCTTTGGTTTAGGTACTGATAATTTTGACTCGATTCTTCGACTTGAATAGTAAAAAGCCGTTGAGCACACTTTCTTTGAAAATGGAAAGGTTTCGCATGTTTTATTACAGTTTTCACTAGTAATTAGGTTATTTGAAAGATTTGCTATTTCAGGAAAGTTAGAGCAAACATCTTTTTCATTCAATGTTGGCATAAGATCTTTGGTCGAATTTTGAGTGTTATTGCAAAATTTTACAAGACTATTGTAATAGGTTAGGCATAAAACATCATTAAGTGTTTTTGCTGAAAGTTCTTTAACACTAAGAATTCTTGAAGTGTCTGTGCATTCTATGAAAAATTGTTGCTTTTGAAATTCACTGTTTAATTGAGGACAGCTTAACTTTATTTGTTCATAAAATTTAATAGGCACAGAATAAACCAAACTTATCAGTATAATACAAATTATACTAGCCACTTGCAAGAAATACATCTTTAATTTGGTTTTACTTCATCATAAAAAATCTAAAATAACCTATTAAGTTTTTAATATGATAAAATGCCCAACCAAATATTACTTACAGAAGAAATCCAGTTGTATTGTGTTTTACAAATTATGCACTATTTGGAAACTACCGAAAAACACAATTTTTGACAGTTAAAATCGTTGACGTTTGCAACACTACGTTCTGTGGTTCAAGAAGACTAAATAAAGAAGGAGTCAGAGACTATGGAGAAGCATAGAAATAATACCAGAGATAACCCAAGGTGTCTATAATAATTTAGGTTTTTTTTAAGTTTAGGGGGAGTTTTAGGGAGACGAAGTTCTTAGGGGGATACAAAAGACGGCAGGTTTAGTCAATTTCCCCTATTAAGTTCGGCCTCCTTGAGTAGTCTCCATGTCCATCTGCATCATGACAAGCGCTTCAAAATCTGGCAACACCGTTGTCCAGGTCTGACAGCTGTTTTCCTGTCTATCATAACCTAAAAGTTGCTTTTGACAGAAAGTTTGTTTATCTCTGCAAAACTTGCTTTTTTCAATTTTCAAAATTTCGCCGATGATGACAGTCTATTTCCAGGAGTTGGGGTGGACGCCCATCGCGGAAAATGAACGTCCCGATCATTTGGCGAGACTTCTCGAAAATTTAAATATTTTTGAGGATTTTTCCATGTTCGAGTGGCTGAATAACCATAAGTTGGCCCCACCTGCCTCCAAGGAAGTTGTTGCCAATTTGCCCTCTGTTACAGTTCTAGAGAATGGTGTGTATATAATATATATGTAATATATTCTTTCTATATTATTTCTTTCTATATGAGTACCTTAGATGCAAAACTCGGTTTTTGCAAATTAAAAAATAAAATAAAATTGGCTTTAAATTCTGTTTAGTGTTCGTCCTAGATAAATGGCGTTCATAAAACTTGATACATAATAATATTATATTATATATATTATTATGTATCAAGTTTTATAAACGCCATTTATCTAGGACGAACACCAAACAGAATTTAAAGCCAATTTTTTTTTTTTTAAATTTGCAAAAACCGAGTTTTGCATCTAAGGTACTCATATTATTTCTTTAGAAAACCACTATCCAATCAGAACATGGCATTCTCCACAGATTATGATCAAGAATGTCATGGTTGAATTTTAAGAAATGACCTTTTATAGAATTTTTTGTAGGTACTCAATGTCCTGTTTGTTTAAAACATTACGATAAGGGAGAAAACGCTCTTATTCTTCCATGCAATCACATATTCCATTCTGAATGCATTGTTTGCTGGTTGCAAAGGGTACATTATTAGGATATTAGCTATTAAATAATAAAAATAACTTTTTAGACAAATTCCTGCCCGTTATGTCGATTTGAGCTTACAACAGACGATGAGCATTACGAAACATATCGCAAGGAGAAAGCTCGAGCTAAAGAGAGAGAAGCTGACTTGGAAGCATTACATAATTTGCTGTTTTGGTAAAATTATAAACCTAGGCCATTAAATGCATCTAAATGGTTAATAAACACCAGTTTACAAAATCGAAAAAAAATTCTGCCCACCATATCCCAATATAATTTTCCCATGTATTTTAACCCACTGAACATGAAAATCACACTCAATTTTTTTTATGCAAGCGTTTTTAATAACTTAAAAAATTCGTTTTTATGGCAAAAATTAAGGTCAAAAATTTACATATCATTCTGGGAAGGGTGTAAATGAAACAGATAACTCCAGTTTGAATTTTTTTTCGTGAAGCTGTCATTCTTACAAAAGAAACAAGCTAATGTTGATAAAAATACATGAAAAAATGGCGAAGTTATGAATTTTTTAGTGAAGGCCAAAATTCAGCTTTTTGACGATTTTTATTTTATTTTGTTATTTGTTTATTCTTTAATGAAAACCTAAGTAAAGTGCATGATTGGAATTTTTTGAGTGTTTTACGTACTTTTTTCACCGAAAACATTATTCAAAATTTAAATTTGACATGACTCCGCAAACGTGAATTCTTTTGTTTCTCGTGTTGGCATAGTGACATTTTACTGCTATTTTTTGATATTTCAACAAGGTATTTTTATCTTTGTTTTATTTAGTAAATAAAAAGTGTAAAATGAGTAAAAGAAGTAGAGAGTTCGAGTGCGTAAATAACCCGCACAATCTGGGCGACGTAAGTGATGAGCACGGAGAACGTTTTCACCAGCAAATGAAGGCTATGGAGCGGCGGTATCACGGCTTCTGGGATGCAGCCATGATGAGTGATTACATTTGGTCCCTCATACGAGAAACGGAATACGAAAGCAACAATAAACAAAGAATGAGCCAGAATTTTTTTAAACCTATGCTTATTTAAACAGAATAAAACTTTCCATGTCTTCAATGTTCAATATTTATTGTTTAATATTCAATATATAATTTAATTTCAATATTTAATGTTTAAAATAAAAATGAATGTTCAATATTAAATTTTATATAATTCAGTAAAATTAAGAAAAAACGTAAAAATTCTCGAAAAACTGAATTTTGGTCTTCCACTGAAAAATTCATAACTTCGCCATTTATCCATGGATTTTTATCAACAGCAGCGTATTTTTTTCCTTTAAGTATAATCTATACGTAAAATAAATCAAACTGAACTTATCTTTTCGATTTCTATCTTTCCCAGAAAGATATGTAAATTTTCGACCTTGATTTTTGTAAAACAAATGGACTTTTTCAACTTCATAAAATCGCCAGTATCGAACTACTGAGCCGATACCAAAACTATACAAGAAAAAGTTGTAGAGGGCTCAATTACCTTTGATTTAAGTGCTTTTTTGGTCAAATCGATCAATTAGAATTCGAAGTATACTCTAAAATGTCAAAACACCTCAGAAAATTAAAAAAAAAACAATTGAAAATTCATATCTCGAAATTTCGAAATTTAAATGCTTTCATGAAAAAATTTTAAGTGTGATTTTCGCGTGTAGTGAGCCAAACTACACAAGAAAATCATAGTGAGACATGGTGGGCAAAATGGCTGTAAACTAGTGTAATTTAAAGTTTAAATTGGTTGAATCAACCTTTCCAAATATTTTTAACTAAATAAATTTATTATTCATGTGACCATGTCTAAAGTATTGAGCAAAAAACTCGTGGGTGATTTTTGAACATAATTAAAGAAATTGTATAAACCCAATTAAGTACACCAATAAATTGCTGTTGATAATGCACTTTATATGAGAGAAAACGTTTTTATATTCATTTATTCCCTAATTTCTTGTTTATCATTATACTCAGTTTTACACTACAATAATTTTCACCATGTCATTTTTTATTATCCTTATTTCCCTGACATAATCCAGAATAGACTAGACCCTAACAAATGTGCAATTTAACTTTAATTTAAATTAAAGTGGAAAAAGTGGTACAAGCTAATGTTAGTGCCAAATGAATGCTCACTATATTTATTAATTTTAACATTTAAATGCAGTCCTCTTTTTCCATTTGTACCATTGAACATTCATTTATTACATTACATTATTATTTATTTTTTAGTTTAGGAATGTTTTAATGTTATAATTTTATTTATTTAATTTTTGTGTATATAAGTGTTAAAAAATAAAGCAAAAGAACCCGATATTTTTTTATTTTTGTTACCTATATAAATGTATGATATACCATGGTACTTGTACCATATTATAAACTAATTTATTCGCATTTCGTTTTAAAATATATTATCTAGAGATTTGGGAATATCCCAGAGCAATGTTAGCAGAATATTCTGCTAACACTGCTCTGGGATATTCCCAAATCTCTAGATAATTCTCTTGTGCTCGCATGAGGATTAGCGGCCATGGCTGCTAATACATCAATTTCATTATTTCCACCTGTGACTGTTGCTCGACGAACTCTTTTTTTCGGTTAAACACTCCCGTTTGTAGTAAACTGCTTGACTGTACGGTGAAATAAAGTACGCGATCGAATTTTATCCGGAAAACGCTGAGCGTAGATATTAACAGCATCATCAAGATTCCTGCCTGCTTCTCCATATATCAAAATCATTTCTATTTTTTTTTCTTCCACTGTTAAAAAATCCATTATGAATAACTGCTCAACGAAAGGAGGTCTTTTTGCTTGCAAATTAATCTTCGAACTAAATTGATTAAATAATGCTAAATTATAAATAGTTTCTTTATACCTCAATTAGCATTAAATTAATTAATTGACAAAATTATGTTTTTTTACCTTAAATGAGGTATTTTTGTTAAAAATAGTACAATAATCCTTTAAATTAAAGGATTTAATGCTGGCAGGTAAAAAGTGACCATAGTGCGCAATTGATAATTATCACCGAATGAAATAATATATAAAACTTAAACCAAAGGAAACTTAAATATTAGTTAAAAAATCGTGGGTACTTAAAAAACCAGATTTAATTTAATAAGATAATTATTTCCAAAAGTGATTTTTTATAGAAAAATTATTGAAAAATCTTATACAGAAGAAAAATCGAACAAAATCGCCTGTATATATATATATATATATATAGAAGTGTCAGAAGTAAACAAAAAATATACAAGGCAGTTTGACTCATTTAGTTTGAATGATAACAAAAACAAGAAATTTTTTTTTATTATTTCATAGATTTTTTATAAAAAATCCTATTTATGAACTGTAAAATCCCTTTTGAAATAAAATACAAATCATAAAAAGAATACTTGGGTAACTTTTAAAACAAATACGGAATTTTTAAATAATAATAGTAAAATGTAATTAGGTAAAGAAAACACCTGATGTTATTTATTAAATATTTATTTGTCATTATTGACACCGGTTCTTCTTTTAAATACTCAGTTGAACTGAAATAAATTGACCAGCACGTCTATTTTAAAATATACATAGATAACCAATGCATTTATTTGTTCATCATTTTTTAAATAAATTTTTGCAACACACAAAATATCCAGTCAGACCGCTCAATTACAAACACATTTTCTCTTAATTGTCCCAAAAATAAATGCAATGTCTACCTAAACAATTAACAACCAACTTTTATTTCACAAAAAAAACCTGTTCTTTACTCTCGTTTTATACATTTATTTGATCACTATGACGTCATCATATCACTAACAGTTGATGTATTTACATTGGGTCCTTTAAGTGAATCGTTTATGTCTCTCCTGAACATCGACAAGTTTTGCGTGAATCTACAAATAACACAATAGTAAGTAAATTTATTTAACTTAAAGAGGATCTTTATTTTTTCTTATAAAATCTTTATTTACTGTGCGATTTTAACAGGATTTGTTTTAGAAATAGAAATATCTTTATTAGTTCAAAAAAGATTGTATAACAACAACAGAGAACACGTCAAAACAAAACAAAATATAAAAAACATAAACCTATATGTAGATATAATATTAAATTAACACTTGCTTAATTATTATTAACAAATACAGAGTATAAAAAGTATACATTTTATTTAGGATTTACGTTAAAAATTCATTTACGCTATAATCACAGTAGATCTTGACAAACACCATATTTTTACAAGTACATTTTTATGAATTCATATTAGCGATTTTTTAAATACAAATCTATGCACAGCACTGGATTCACTATCCTTCAAAACGACCCTAAAACTAATTTTAAGTAGAAACGATTTTATAGCTAAATTAAAAATGCACAATAATAACGCTAAAGAAGTATCGCTAGTAGCGCCACCACTCGGCTGTTATCATCCTAAGAAAAGTATAACTTTAAATAATCAGCTGTCAAACGCTTATGTTACAAACGAGTGTTTTTGAGAATAAAGCCGGAAAATGTTAAAAAATATCGAAAAAAATAACATGCTTTGATTTGTTGTTGGGTGTATTTCGAGAGGAAATCCTGGGTTGAGTTTTTATCGGTTTTCCAATAAACAGTGTTAATCTGAATGAAGAAATAAATTGCATACAGTCTCTGTAAATACAAATTGTACCTATTAGATACAATAAATACACATTTTAGTAGTGATTAACGTGAGTGCAAACATTTCAATTCAGTAAAAATCGTCAAACAAATAAGTCGTCTAAATTTAAACAGCATTTAGCATTATTTAAAGCGTTGAAGAAAGTCTTCACTCAACGGTAAAATACCATTATATTATGTATTATATATAATATTATGTTGCCATGAATTCGTAGGTATATTTTGTTGTTTAAAATGCAGTTGTCGGCGTTTGTTTGGAGAACTTAATTATAAAAATGGTTGATTTTAAGGTTATGTTTGTGCAAAAATTATTTTTTACTAATTTCTTAAAAATGTCCAAACTTAAATATAAATTATAGAAGGTAAAGTTATCATTAGTTAATTCTGCACCAACAAATGTTCTTACCGAATTGGATCCTTTGGCAAAACATGATAATGCAACGATTTAGTTCTTGAATTTTATTTACAATTAAAAACGCAATAATTCACCATGATCCGTTAGATAAAATACACACACTAACGTAACTATGCAATCATTTAAGCGTTGAGTTTCTTAATCGATGATATAAAGAATAATCAATAGAAATCGAGTACTAAACCAGTTTTTTATGTTTTTCCTTGCAACGTAAAACACAAATAACGTGCGCGGTTTAGCTGTGCAATTGAACAAAATTTGTCGAGTAAGACTTCTGCCTTCCTCTCTTTTGTGAAAAAACTACCTATTTATTTAAAAAATGATGTACAGTTCGTATGATTTAAATGTATTGTTGACAATTCTTAAATTCACGCAATGCTTTTGAAGTCCACCAGATGGCGCGCGCGTTGGGAAAACCCGATACTTCTTTAGCGTATTAGCTTAATTTTATTTCAATATTTTTATCTTGGATAACTTGACATAATAAATTTTTGTAAATAGTTGCTCCAAAAATACAGTTTATCAAGGTCTACACTTTAAAACAAATCCGGTTAAAATCGCATAATAAATTAAGATTTACATTTAAATGTAATGAGAATATGTTTGTGTTAAAAATGTATCAATTTAAATTTGTTAAACATAAAAATTATTGGTTTAAATTTCTCAAGAGTCGATAAATTTTTAACCCAAAAATTACCACTTTAAAATGTAAAACTAACATTTAAATGTAATTTGAGAATTTTTGTATTAAAAATTTATCGACTATCATTTAAATGACTCTTTACAAATTTAAACCAATAATTTTGTAGAATAAAATGTTTTAAACAATTTTTAAAACAAAGTGACTAGAAGTACACCGGGAGTACCGCTATTAAACGTACACCGGTTGGAAAAAAATCCTTATTTAACATATTTGTCAATTGTATAATATTAAATGCCATTTAATGGTCGCTCAATTTCGCGCTCAATGGGGCGGGGGGCCCAATGGGGCGGGGTCGGTTGGGTTGGGTTGTTGAGTTTGGGTTGGTTTGGGTAATTCATACTGACATTTCATTAATTTAGTTGTTAATTGTATTTCAATCACTTAATTAAATTTTAATCAATGTTTATACAACTTGAAAGTTAGCTTAATAATTACATAATTAATATCAAGAGTTAACCAGCTGTTTACCAAGTGTTATACAACTGGGCCTTAGTGTACCAATTTAATCTTTTAATCTTAATCTCTTAATAAATCCGAAATTTTACCATCAGCTGGTATGGGTTTAATGCCCGTACTCCCGGTGTACTTCTAGTCACGGCGTTTTTAAAAACCAATATTTTAAACTTAAACTTTTACATTTGCATTTTATATTAAACATATTTTTTAATTATCAATACTTTTTTAGTTGAAAATGTTCTATACATATTTGTTTTTATTTTAAATGTCTTGACACTTTTTTTTAAATACAAAAAAAATTTAACTTTACCAATTTAATCTAAATAATTTTATAAAAAAATTATTTAGGATTTACAAAATTCTGACCAAATACTTAATTATTTTTATTAAAAAATGATGGTTAGAAATTTTTGCAAAAATTGATTGGAAATAATATTGTTTAATACAGAAGTTTCTTGTACATTTGCTGTCCCTCAACTTTAATATTTTATAAAAAATTCAGTTTAAAGCCATTTGGAACTTTACTAAGCGAAATCAATTGGTTTAAGTGTTTTTAGCAAAATTGTAAAATTTTAAATTTAACCCTATCAACAAAATTAAACTTTACCCAACAGTACAGAAAAGTAGCTGTCCCACTTGCAATAATATTCACTACTTAATGCTATTTAAACACCTTAGAGTAAAATAACACCCTCCTTTTATTATATGGTTAAAAATATATTCTAAATATTACAGAAAAACCCCATTTGTGGTAAAATTTAAAAATCAGGGCTCCCACGGCTAAATTACAAATTTTATTTAGGAATTTAGGAGGTTTTTTGTAAAATTTTAGGAGAAATAAAGTATGGAAATGAACTTCTTTAATTAAATAAAAACATCTCTTTACTACTTAAAAAATAAAAAAAAATTAATACTTCTTTTGTAGCAATAAGTTATATTGACTAGTTTTTTAGCCAAATCGCTCGACGAGTTTTTTTTTAAATAAAATTAAAAGTGAGGTAAAATTACTACTTTTGTATATATCTGAGGTACATATATATACAAGTATAAATTTCACCACACTTTTAATTTTATTTAAAAAATGCGTCGATAGATTTGGTTAATGCCAAAATCAAATGATGTTATCTTTATATTTTAAGAAAAAACCTGTTAACCGTTTAGTTAATAACTAACAGTAATTAAATCGATAAGGTTAAGAATAGTACAAGTCCAAAAGTAAATTTTTTGATAAAATATTTCAAAAAATCAGTTTTATAGTTCTAAATGCATTTTTGTTAGAATATTTTAACTATTTTATGAAATATAATATTCATTTTCTGTAAAATAATTTAAATCTTTTAACAAAAATGTATTTTAAACTTTAAAATTGATTTTAAAATAAATTGTCAAAATTAAATTTTTGGACTTGTACTGTTCTTATTCTCACCAATTCAATTGTAATGTGGATCTTAATATTTAAAAATCTCATAACAAAATATGAAGTTTGCAAAATACAGCAAAACATTTTTTAGATTGTTTACTATTTTAGCTGTCATTTAAAAGAAAATTAAAAAATCTTTTGTTTGGTATATAACACGGTATATTTTTGACTAAAAAACGAAATATCGCTAAAAATGACAATTTTGTAGAAGTTTTTATGTTGTTTTTTAAGAAAAATTTTAGTTGTGATATTATATTATTTTAAAAAGAATTTAATAAACTAGAACCTATAAATATATTTTTTTTAAATTACTTTTTAAAACAGAATTTTTACAGCACAACTACCTTAATTAAATGCAGTCAGGTTGGCCTTTTTAAATTTATTTTTTAGGATTTTAGGAGTTTTAGGAGATTGAAGGCAATTTTAGAAGAATTTTAGGAGTTTTGAAGATTTAAGCAAAATTTTAGGAATTTTATGAGTTTTAGGAGGTGTGGGAGCCCTGAAAAATACAAGTGGTTAAAATAACCCCAAAGTTTGTCCCTTAATTTTGGTCCCCTAGGTCACGTCTCCTGTGACACAGGGGACCATTTTTTTCTTTTTTCTTTTTCAAGGGCTTATTTAAAAAAAATCCAACTGCCCACTTGTAGGTGTTAAATAACACCCCTCAATAAACAAAATTTGGAAAAAAACAGGTTTGCAGATTAAAAACAAAGTTTTGTACCGACCTGTCGCGATTTTTGGTGAGCAGGTTCCTCTCGATGCCGTCCATCAGGTTCTCGAACCACTGCGCCATCGCGGCCTGCTTGTCGGGCGGCTGGCCGGCCACTATGCTCTCGCGCATGCGCCCGAAGTAGTCCTCGTTGAGAAGGATGAGCCCGAGCAGGGGCCGCGACATCGACCACTGGTTGCGGCAGTCCTCGAACATGATCACGTTCAACACGGTGCTGAGGATCTGCTGCAGGATCTCCGGGTGCATCTCGAGCACCTTCAGGAACATGTCGCTGCTCGGCGGCACCCCTGCGCGTTGCTCTTTGCCCGGGTAAACTGAACGGAACACAACAAACGCTCACTTAGTAATGGGGTAGTTAAATTTTTTCTGACCTATACTGTTTATGGTTTTATTCAAGGCGTTTTGTAATTTTAAACGTTTCTGTGAAATCGGAATTTCAATTGAGTTTACAGTTTTCGAGATATTTACAAAAAAATCTCCTAATTACGTCTCTAGGCTATTGACAACGTTGCCAGCTTTTTCTATGGTTGCCAGTGTGTTTAGTTTAAGATTCTTACGATAGATGGCGCCACGTTATAATATTTTAGTTTTAAAACCACTTGATCTATAATTTTAGTTGAGAAGAAGAAGAAGAATTGATTTTTTGACGTTTCTTTTTTTCGGGTTATGTTTTTTTTAAATTTAGATTATTAAAAATCAATGTTATTGTTATGTTATTTGTAATTGATATTAGTTAAGTGATTTATTAATAACGGACTCCAAAGCAGAGGAATCTTGTGGAATGGTTGGTTACATTGAACATTGGAGCTTTTAAACAAATAAAGTAAGTACCTATAATTATAATCATATTTTGTCGTAAATGCATTTCATTAGTATAATGCCTAGTTCTTTATATTCTTTTAGATATATCTTGGACTCTAAAATATCAAACAGTAATATGATACCTCGTAATAAGGAAGATAGGTACTTAATGAATTTGGTGACCATCTTTCACTCAACTGACAGTGACAGTATTTGTACATAACCTCTTCGGGTATTTTCTGACATAACCGAATGAAATCATTAACAAGACAACTTGACAACAGGGTAATTTTCAACCAATAGAAATCTTAGAATGTTGGTCACATGGCGAGGTTTGTGACGTCATAAAAATTTATATTTTTTGTAAATATCTCGAAAACGGTAAACTCAATTGAAATTCTGATTTCACAGAAATGTTTAATATTACAAAACGCCTTGAATAAAACCATAAAAAGTATAGGTCAGAAAAAATTTAACTATCTCAGTCGGTAATAATATAGAACAGGGCTCCCAGGGCTAAATTACAAATTTTATTTCGCTGTGGCTCCCGTCCCGAGGCGGGACTTAAGTTCAGTCCCGATTGACGTCATAATTTTAAGATTTGTTATGTTATAATAAAATAATAATAATAATAAATTGTACCTGTATACATGTTAAGGGCACGTTAGTTACGTCATAAAACCAAACCAACCCAAACTCAACAACACAACCCAACCGACCCCGCCCCATTGAGCAAAAAACCCAACTAAAATGGGCAAATTTATGTTACGATAAAAATAAAACACTTTTTAACAAAGAAACAACAAATTTATAAAATAAAAAAAATAAAAAAAGTTTGACAACTTCTAGTAGAATCGAACCCGGTACCTCTCGCATGCCAAGCGACCGCCCTACCATCTAAGCCATCCAGCTTGACACCAATTATAAAAGCTCGGGGAATAAAAACGGGTTTACAGTGTGTGACGTCTGTCGGGATCGAAGTTAAGTCCCGCCTCAGGACGGGAGCCACATCGATTTTATTTAGGAATTTAGGAGGTTTTTTGTAAAATTTTAGGAGAAATAAAGTAAGGAAATGAATTTCTTTAATTAAATAAAAACAACTCTTTACTACTTAAAAAATAGGAAAAAATTAATACTTCTTTTGTAAAAATTAGTTCGACGAGTTTTTTTTTTTAATAAAATTAAATGTATATCTCAGGAACATATACCTACAAGTAATAAATTTCACCAAACATTTAATTTTATTTAAAAAATGCGTCGATAGATTTAGTTAAAAAACTATGCCAAAATCAAATGATGTTATATTTAATAAATAATGTAATTAAATCGGTACAAGTCCAAAACTAAAATAATTGATATTTTCTCTCAAAAATGTATTTTAAACTTTAAAATTGATTTTAGAAAATAAAATGTCAAAATTAAATTTTTGGACTTGTACTGTTCTTATTCTCACCGATTCAATTGTAATGTGGATCTTAATACTTAAAAATTTCATAACAAAATATGAAGTTTTCAAAATACAGCAAAACATTCTTTAGATTGTTTACTATTTTAGCTGTCATTTACAAGAAAATTAAAAATCCTTTTGTTTGATATATAACACTGTATATTTTTGTCTAAAACAAACGAAATATGGCTAAAAAATACATTTTTGTAGAAGTTTTTTTTTGTTGTTTTTTTTAAGAAAAATTTTGGTTGTGACATTATATCATTTTAAAAAGAATTTAATAAAATAGAACCTAAAAATATAATTTTTTAAATTACTTTTTTAGCACTACCTTAATTAAACGCAGTCAGGGTTGGCCTATTTAAATTTAATTTTTAGGAGTTTTAGGAGATTGAATGCAATTTTAGGAGAATTTTAGGAGTTTTCAAGATTTAAGCAAAATTTTAAGAATTTTATGAGTTTTAGGAGGTGTGGGAGCCCTGATAGAACTACTTTATTTTGGGTACAATATAGGAAAAAAAAGTTCGCACGTCACTTTGGTGGCAAGATTTTTGTTTTTTATCAAGAGCAGGGCTGTGTTTAAATAACAAAAAATATTTATAAAAAATGTACAGATCACTGTGTGGTATAAATGTGTTCCTCATGGTTTAAATATTGTCGCTTTAATGCGTTTTAATTTTAATTCTGAAAACAAACAGTCAAATGGCCAGTGTCCAATTACTGTTTAGTAAAAAAATGTAAATTTCTATTACACTGTGCAACACAAAAAATGAACTGGGATCAAATCTGAAAAAATCGAATCTAGGCAACCCCCAAAACAAATCCTTTAAGGGGTTTTACCAGTTTAGCTCGAATAATGGAGATATACAGGGTGTTTCTTTTAACTTGAGACAGCTCAATATCTCGAGAAATACGCATTTCACGGAAAAATGTCTTAAATAAAAGGTTAATGTGACTAAAGGGGACATTATTTGGTGCTACCGCTAGCCACCCCCTACCCCTCCTTAAGGGTGAAACGGGGGGTAACTTTGGAAAGTCAAATGGAATGACCCGATTTTTTTCACAGAGTTTGGTAGTACATAAAAAAATAAATAACTTTTATTTAAAACTTTTTTCAATTCACCAACAGATGGCGCTGTAATTCAAAATTTAAGAAAAATTAGTTTTCTTGTAAAATGTATTATTTGAAACGTTTGAAAAACAAAAATTAACATTAATAACAATAGTCGGCTATGAAAACAATTTATAACTAATGTCCAATACCATACTCTATATGTATCTTGGGCATTATCCAGCCAATTCTTATGTAAAATTGTCCCCTGAATCTGAAAAGACCGTCAAAAACCATAAAAGTTTAGCAGTTTTTGAGATTTATTAAATTTCATATTATATGTAAAATTGACTATATTTCAAAAACTGTTATACTTTTATAACTTTTGATGACATTTTCGGATTTGGCGAATAATATTTCATACGAATTGACTGCTAAATGTCCTGGATACAAATTGCTGTTGACGTGAATTATTAGTGGCTGCTTTTTCGCTATGACATTTTTGACTAATTCATTTTTAGAGAGTAAGTAATATAGTGATTTCTTCGTCACAGGACATCTTGCAGAATAACAGTGATTTAAATACACATAAAAAACGAATGGCAACAAAATTTATAAATTCGGAAAATACTTTTACACTAAATTATAACATTATAAATGCTTCACAAACTAGAGATACCACACTTGATGATATTTGCAACAAACTATTTCAGAAGTCAGACCAAGGAATTAGTAGTTACCTTCAGAATCCAGAAAAGGGATGAGGAATCCGAGAAAGAAATATATGCATTATATGATATTTACAATAACGAAATAATAAAATTACCTAAAACGGCAATTTATCTTTAAAATATATTTAACAATTTATTTGATGTAAAGTTGTGTTTATATAAAAATTGTATGTCCAATAACTACGCACTCTGATATGTGTTACTATACCTACTTTTTTGCATGTTTTTATAAAAACTATTATTAAAAATTCAAATATTCTTATTTTTTAAGTAAATGTAAATAAAGTTTAAACAAACAAACTATCCTTTTTATATTTTTATAAGAAAAAAACTAAAATCTTTAAAACAACGACATATATATATTTTAAATAAATAATATTCCTTAAGTGTCCAATAGCTATGTGGTTTACCCTACTCAGGCCCACTCAAAAATGTTTTATTTTATTTTGCCTGTACTTTTTTTTTCATATTTTATTTGTTAGAACTGTAATACTAATTTTAGAATCTTTTACTTTTTAATATTGTTCAATATTGTTTATTTTTGCATCCTCCGGGCACAAAAAACTCATTTCCGCAATAAAACAATTTTTTTTGAAACTTCCGGGAATTTTCGATGGAAAGTTTCCGGGAATTTTCGTCACATGGGAATTTTCCCCTCTTTAGTAAAAAACATTCATACAAGGTGTGTTCAAAAAGTACGTATCTGCTGTTATTAGCCGATTTTTTGTCGTTGTTCTGTCATGTCTGAAATGTATATGGGAAGGTCATGTTAAAAGGGACTAAAGATTTAACGGTTCTAAAAAAGTAAAAAAACTTTTTTTTCTGAACCATTGGAAAAATTTGGAAAAAATTTAGCAGCAGTTCTCAAAATATTAAAAAAAAAACTAAAAACCTTTCAAAACCAAAAATCGTTATGGGCGTTTCTCTGTAAAACTGGGCAACTCATTGTCTCAAGCTAATATTGTTTAGAAAAATAACAGATCATAAATATTTCGTAGATAACTTCAAAAGATAATAACCTAATCTACCTATGCTCGACGTTTAAAATCCAATAAAATAAACTTTAATGTATCAAAAACGTTTTTATAGTCCTTAAAAACCAGTCCCCCGACGTGTCACCAAAGCAAAATGGTCACTTCAGACTAAATTAATTAAAGACAGTAACTATTGGAATCAACCTAATTGTTTAATTATTCAACCAATATTGTTTGCTTGTTACTGTGACTTATTTATTTTTTATAATATATATTATAAGTCATCTAAACTTTGTCTCCGGATTTTATAAACAGTCCCCTGTATAGATTTTTCAGAAAATGCTCAATGTTTTCCAAAGTAATAGGAATATTTTTGGTTCATCTGCCGTATACTAATAAATAGACTGATATTTATTCCTCGAATAACATTTATTAAATACAACAAAAATATAACAAAAAAACTTGCCTAGACAATTTCTTACTTCAAGTTGCCCAGTTTACAGAGGAAACGCCCTTATAATTTTGTTATTCCTGGGAATTTTGAAACAAAGTAAGTTTTACATGTAAATAAAGTTATTTTTTTGAGTCAAGTTAAGTCAAGTTGAGTTGTCAGCATTCGTAGTTAAAAAATGCAATTAATTTGGCTTTGGTGGTGCGTGGATGAGTAAAATCATATAAAAAAGTAGTTAAATGTAGGTGACCACGGCCCAGGAGAGACAAAGTATTCCTAGCGGATAATAATCTTCGCTTTGAAAAGAATTTATATAAAAGAAATTAAAATTTAATGTGAACACACGTGAATGTTGTCCAATCATTGGACTTCAATGGTGAATGGGTATTTTGTTAAAGCCACTGGACGTTAATACTTATAGTGGCTTAATAATAATTATAATGTTTATTTTTTCCAGGACTATTAATGATCAGTAACTTTCAAATTGAAAGAAGAAAAAGTTTCGTGATTATTGCTTATCTTTTTCAAACCAAATGGATGCTATTTTCAAAGACAGGAAAATTAAGCTGAAAATAATGTGTGATTTAATATTTGTAAAACCAAAAACGTTACTTTTTTACTCCAAAAATGTCCATAGGCAATTTTCTTTTTCTGCCATTGAGACATTTGGCATAACTTCATCAAAATTAAGTTTTGCACTTAAAGTTCGTTTACTTTAGAATCTGATATTATTTTTGGCATAGTTATCTTTTTATATTGATATTATATAATAATTAACAAGTAAATTATCAATAATGAATATTACTGTCAATTTGACAGTGTCAAAGTATTTAATAAAGGTCTTCAGCAAAAGTACCATTTTTAAATACTAAAAATACTACATCAAACTGGCATAAGCTACCAACTTAATAAAAAAACCGAGTCCAAAAAAAAAATGAAATGTATTTAGTATTAAAATTAACTTACCCTTTTGTGTTAACTGTTTAAAAATAAAGGTAACAATGTGATCCAAAGTAGTGCAACAGCCAGTACAAATCATAGTATCTGAAAGAGATATTTAAAAAACAATGTTAAATTTGAATATTACATGAATTAGATTTATTAATGCCAGTTAAAAACACTTACCTAACAATGTTAGTGAGAATATTCAAAACAGTTAATAATTATAAAATCTTTAAGGCAAGGTGCATGCAAAATGGAACTTACTTGTACAGTCAGAGACAAAAATACTGCAGACCGCTTTCGTCAAACATTACTGAGCAAAAAACAAAAATATGCATTATAAAAATAGCAAACTAAGATTTATTTAGCTTTTAAAGGATTTCACAAAATTTGGTTATTAAAAAAGAAAATAAAACAAGTTGGCGCTAAAACTTTAGACCAAGTTTTTTATTTGGATAAATACACTGGTCTACATAATTTTTTAACATAAACCGATTTTAGCACCATCTTATATTGTGTATGTGTCTAGTGTTTCTCAATTTAAAAGTTTAATACTCAGTTCAACACGATTTTCCTCCCTTGAAAAATTTTAACAGATTTTAAAAATAAATGTTAAAAAAATATACCCTTGTCTTAACGTTTCACGAAATCACGTCATTTAAATTTTTTATACCTTTATTTTTATTATTTTGACCTATAGAGATTTTTAATTCTTTATTTTGCTATAAATCATTTTTTTTCTTCAAATATTGTATGTTTTTACATAATACAAAAATTATACTCAACGAAAATAATAATTTTATTTTTTTTTAAGTAAAAAAAATATTTCTGGTTTTAATTTTTGATTTTTTTAAATATTTAAAACAAGATATCGATTTGAAATTTAAAGTCTATTTTTTTAAATATTTTAAACAATGTTATTTCAAATAGAATACCCCATATAATTTTACATTTTTAAATTATACATAAAATTCTGATTAAAATTATTATACCTAAAGTGAATAGTTTTTGGGTTATTAATTTTTTACGTTAAAATTTGACAAAAGTGCGTCAATCAAAAATAGCCTAAAACTTGTTTGCTATTAGGTTTACGGTTGTGGGGGTGAAATTTTTTGAATCTTAAAACATTGTTTAAATGATTTCATGTCAATTCTTTAACATTTAAAAGTAATACAAATATTTTAATAACAAAAATAATGCGTAAATGTAACAATTTAATAAGCCAACAATATTTTTATTACCTCCATTAACATTTAGGCATTTTTAAATTTTTTCTTATATTAGAAATTGTTAAATATCTCTAAAATTATTAAATTTATTTATAGGGAATAATTTAATCAATCGAAATGTTTTGTAATTTTCTATTTGATTATGTTAAACAAACACTGTGTTTCATTTAAAATAATAAAGTTATTAACGTTTCAAGTCAGCCCAATTTGTCCTGGTTTTTCTTGGGTAATTTGTTAAAAAATGTTAAAGAATTTACGTGAAATCTTTTAAACAATGTTTTAAGATTCCAAAAACGCACTCTGATATGTGTTTTAAGATTCCAAAAATGCCACCCCCATTTCCGCAAATTTAATAGCAAAAAAGTTATAGGCTATTTTTGATTGACGCGCATTTGTCAAATTTTAACGAAAAAAATTAATAACTCGAAAACTATTCACTTTAAGTATGCAACGGTGGTCAAAATTTAAGGTATAGGACGAACAAAAATGCCAATCAAAACTGATAGTATGTTTTGATTATAGACCCTTTTGGTAACACTAACATGTATTTATCAAAATCCCAGCTGACCCTATTTTAAAGTTTTGCAAACTTTTTTGTTTTTCTATTTCTATATATTATTTGGAACTATTGTACTAAAACTACCTCTGCACAATTTTAATAAAATTAAATTACTTTACTCCCCAGTATTAATTAATTGAGTCACCTATTATTTTTTACCACTCAAAACAAAACATAACAAAAAAAAAACGAAGATTTATATCTTAAATATTTTTTATAACAAAAAATACTGGAAGTTTGTCTATGAAATAATTACAACTTGCAAATTTTGTAAAACAATAATTAAGGTGGTTATGAAAAAAATTGCTATCCGTTATAACGCAAGCGACATTTTGCTTTAGTTGTTTATTTAATGTATACTTTATAAAGTTAAAAATAATATTTTAAAATGAAAATTAAACCGAAATTCTAGTTAAGCCATGAAGAAAATCGAAAGAAGACATGTGCTGGCTGTGGAGACAAAATTGTTTTTGGTAATCGAAAAATTCAGAGTTAAGGGTTTCTGAGAAAATATAAAAATTACTGCAGACTTTTTCAAACGAACACTTTAACTTAAGTGATTCAAAATTACCTACTGCAATATGGTAAAAACGGTATTTTTGCATAGCCACAATTGCCAAATTTTCAAAATTTAGAAATTGCTAGAGAATTTCGCGGCAGCCAAGAATGTATGTGCTTTATCTGCAAAATGGCAAGATATAAAGGGCATACAAAATTGTTAAGGGAAGAGGACGGACGAACGAACTAAAGTTTTGATATGCTCTTCCTTTCTAGGGGATATCGCTAGATGTAAGAAGCATGTTTGTACAGAGACTGAAGAATTTAAAAATACTGTTTCCATGTTAAAACAATTCCATGTAAAACCCAAGAAAAAGATTTACTGAAAATTTAAGGCAAGCAGTAATCGATTTTGCTTCAAAGAATCTTTAGTTATTTATTAGTTTTGTATTAGGTACCTTAAAACAATAAATAAGATATTGCAAACTGTATTTTACATTATTTTGTATTTATAATGTAATTTATCTATATTTCAGTCATGTATCTGCCAAATTTTTAAAAACATTTGATAATGGTACTAGAGTATTTATGGAAATGGCATAAGCAATTTTAAAATACTAAGAAAATATGCAAAAACTTTAATAAAGGATCAGCTGGGATTTTGATAAATACATTTTTGTGTTACCAAAAGAGTCTATAATCAGATTATATGCTATCAGTTTTGGTTGGCATTTTTGTTCGTCCTATACTTTAGTTTTGACCACCATGTGTTATATTATGTGCCGAATACCGTGGATAATATTTTATTGGATCGCACTTTAAAAAAATGACGAGACAAGGGTATAATGGGGTAGTTAATTTTTTTCTGACCCATACTTTTTATGGTTTTATTCAAGGCGTTTTGTAATTTTAAACATTTCTGTGAAATCGGAATTTCAATTGAGTTTACCGTTTTCGAGATATTTACAAAAAAAAATCTCCTAATTACGTCACTAGGCTATTGACAACGTTGCCAACTTTTTCTATGGTTGCCAGTGTGTTTAGTTTAAGATTCTTACGATAGATGGCGCCACGTTATAATATTTTAGTTTTAAAACCACTTGATCTATAATTTTAATTGAGAAGAAGAAGAATTGATTTTTGACGTTTCTTTTTTTCGGGTTATGTTTTTTTTTTAATTTAGATTATTGAAAATCAATGTTATTGTTATGTTATTTGTAATTGATATTGGATAAGTGATTTATTAATAACGGACTCCAAAGCAGAGGAATCTTGTGGAATGGTTGGTTACATTGAACATTGGAGCTTTTAAACAAATAAAGTAAGTACCTATAATTATAATCATATTTTGTCGTAAATGCATTTCATTAGTATAATGCCTAGTTCTTTATATTCTTGGTGACCATCTTTCACTCAACTGACAGTGACAGTATTTGTACATAGCCTCTTCGGGTATTTTCTGACATAACCGAATGAAATCATTAACAAGACAACTTGACAACAGGGTAATTTTCAACCAATAGAAATCTTAGAATGTTGGTCACATGGCGAGGTTTGTGACGTCATAAAAATTTATATTTTTTGTAAATATCTCGAAAACGGTAAACTCATTTGAAAATCTGATTTAACAGAAATTTTTAATATTACAAAATGCCTTGAATGAAACCATAAAAAGTATGTGTCAGAAAAAATTTAACTACCCCATTTTTAAGTCTATTTTCAAAATCAAATTTTGTCGTACTGAGATATAAATCCATCCATGCATCATGCTACTAAACCCGTAGCAGAGGAGCACGATAAATCGATACGCCCCAATTTTTTTTCAAAGAAAGTGAGACGATAGAGGTCTGCGCGTGCGCAATGCGACTCGAAACCCGACCGAACGCGCGTGTTTCGGGGTGTTAGCGGTGTTGCGGCCGCCTGTCCCTGAACTGCACGGACCTGTATAGTGATTGAGTTGCCCACCTAGCGCTGTCAGCCCTTCCGATATCGAGGCCAGGATGTAGAGGAACACGCGAGGCTCCAGCGTCGACAGATAAGCCATGTGGTCTTGCGCAAGGCACTCAAGAAGCGCGTAATACGACACCGAAAGCTTCGGGTAGTCCTGCAAAAAACATGGAACCTACAGTATTGTGCGAGTTAATGTGAACAAAAATAGATTTAAGTTAAATATTATTTATTGAAAGAAAATACAAACTTTAGTATTTTTTATTAGGGAATATGTCCTTTATTAAAGGCACAGAATTAACCAATTTTTCTTTATTTTGTCATATTAAACCATACCTGAATGACTGCCTTAATCAAATTAGTTTTTGTTGCAGAATTCATTTTTAGCAACCTGTCCTTGCATATAGCCCACAAATTCTCAATAGTGAGTGAGTCTAGAAGGGTTACCTTTTTGTCCTAGTGTAAATTAGTTATAACCGGCAAAATCACTGACTTGTCCACATTAATTTATACAATACTGTAAATATTGTTCTCAATACGTCGTAAGTAATGAAATTGGCAGGGTTAATACGGCTAAATTACAAATTTTATTTGGGAATTTAGGAGGTTTTTTGGAGAATTTTAGGAGAAATAAAGTATTCAAATGAATTTATGTAATTAAATAAATGATTATTTTCAAAAAAAATATAAATAAATTTCACTTCTTTTGTACAAATAGGTTACATTGACCAGTTTTTTAGCCAAATCCCTCAAATAGTTTTTTTTTATAAAATTAAAAGTGAGGTAAAATTACTAATTTTGTATACAGGGTGATTCATTTAACTTGAAACTTTGAAAAATCTCACTATGCATTTTACGAAAAAGTGTTTAAAATAAAAATTAAATGATCCTTATCCTTATAGGGGGAACAGGGGTAACTTTAAAATTTCCAATGGCTACTAACTGAGATAAAACAAACGAAATATGGCTAAAATTGACAATTTTTTAGAAGTCTAGGAGCTACTACATGGAAAATGTAGGTTGTGATATATAATTTTAAAAAGAATTTAATAAACTAGAACCTAAAAACATATATTTTTTTAATTACTTCTTAAAAAAAGATTTTTTTAGCACAACTACCTTAATTAAACGTAGTCAAGTAGGCCTATTTATAAAAAAAATTTAGGAGTTTTAGGAGATTAGGAGAATATTAGGAGTTTTTAAGATTTAAGCCAAATTTTAGGAGGTGTGGGTAACTTAGAGAACAAATTTTATCAAATTTTTAAGAGATTACATCGTTCTTTTGCTATTAATTTAAAACAGCTTATACAATTTTTGCTAAAATTTGTTATGTTGACATAGTTTTATGGTAGACAAAAATTCATGTCAATTCATAGTCGTAAATTTGTTTTTGTGCCTATTCACATGAAATTTATAAATTGGAAAAAAGCTGTTCTTAAAATTTTTGAAAAAATCTAAAAATATTCATATATTATATCACGAGAACAATGAATTTAATTGGTTAAACTAGGCTCAGTAGTTTGCTGAAAAATGTTGAATGCAAAATAATTTAATAAAATCACGAGACCGCGTAGCGGTCGAGGGGTTTTATTTTTAATTATTTTGCATGAAACTATTTTCCAAAAAAAAATCAAATAAAATACTTACTTATAGTTTGACAGATTAAATTTATGGGTTGAGTGATATACGTCTAGATTATTTCTCGAATTAAAGGAAACTATTTGACAGTTCATAAAATCTGACGTATGTGTCAAAATTTATAAATATTTTTTTAAAGAAAATTCCAATAATTTAAGGTATGTAATAAGTAATAATTGATATTTCGTAAACTAGATAACTTATTTTTTATTGTTTTTTAAAAAATGTTTGTTAAAACTTGTAAATAACACCATAAAATCGTAAACAAAAATCCAATATGGAAGCTAAAATTTAATCGTTGTTAAATAGTTCTAGTGATTTAATCGCTTATTTAAACGAAATTTATTCAAGGCTTTTGATTGGTTCATATTATAATGAGGGAAATAATCAAAGCCAAAAATTGTTATAACACTGTTATTTATTCCTGGGAATTTTGAAACAAAGTTTTCTTTGCTACTATGTTTTAAGTTACCATTAGGGTTTAAAAGTGTCGAAAATATTGGGGGGAAACATGTTTTTTTTTCAGGCCTTGGGAAAAATACAGGGTGTTATGTAATTAATTCCATAAATAAGCACCTGAAAGTTTTTTCTAAATTCTAAAGATTAAAAATAATTTATAATAACCTTTATCCCACCAAAAAGTACGCCACTGATTGACTAGGAACTTCAGGCTAATCTGGTTGCCTAATTTATTTTATTATGTTATGGTTGGTAACACAGGCGTTTTTAGATTCTGTCAAAACAGTGGCCAAATGTTGTTTAAAGTTAGCCTGATTACAAAAATGACAAAAACAATGCAAATTTTTAATTTGGCGTTTTTATTAATTTTTTATTATGTCATTTAGCAACTTTTATGACAAAATCTAGAGCATTTCTTTCAAATTTTAGGTTATGTGGTCAAATTGTATATATCTTAACTAAGGGAAGTGCTTTTGGATTTATTTACACCAATTGAATGTTCAAAGTTTAAGCAAAATCACATAAGCCGTTTTAAACTTATAGGAAAACCTTTCAATTTTAAAATTGGTAAGTTGACTTAAAAAACCTTAAACAAAATAACATAAACTGTTACTTACCAGTAAATCGGGTTGTGGAATCGATAAAAGCAGCTTCACAAAAATGTTCAGCGCGTTATCTAAAGCTTCATCTCCGTACAGTCTAAAAACTCCGAAGTTCACGTAACTGCCGCACAGCGCTGCTTTCAGCATGGAGAAGCATATCGAGATGCCCTTCAGTTTCATTGGGTAAGTTTGCTCCTTTGCCACCTCCACATTCAATATTCTACTGCCTACGAACACGAAACGTTCGTCGAGTTTAACAAAAAAAATTGTGCATTTTTCTTGCATCTCAAATCGACCAGGCAAAGAGGGGTAGGTCGTTATTTTTTAACGAATTTTTTTGTTACAGTTTCTGTATTGAAATCGATGAAATCCGTATTTTTTCTTTTTGCTTAAATTTGTTTTGTTCGCCCGTAGGAATTTTTGAAAATTGGACATAAACTTCGATTTTTCTCTTTTTACGAGTGGCAATTTTTCTTCAAAATGCGATAACTTGGCCAAAAACATTTCGATCGTTCAAAAAAAAAATGTCACCCGTAAAAAAAACGACGTTTCTGTCTATTTTTCAAAAGATCCTGCGGGCGCACAGTGTTTCAATTCCGGAAAATATCGGCAAAACCTCAAAAATTGACATTTTTTTTCAGGGAAATTTTGAGTTAGATGGGTAGTTTATACCTATCTCCATCCTGTATTGAAAAAAAATTATATAAAATACGTATATTTTGTCTTGTACATCAGTTTAAACTTGACGCTTTCAGTTGAAGGTACTTTACACGCGATCGCTGCGGAAAATTGTTTGTTGCTTAAAAGTGAATAACTTGTGTTTGGCGTGTCCGATTGTTATGCGGTTTGGTGAAGGGTGATCTCCAAGGTATCTAAAATTTAGATATGTATTTGTTTTTCGTAGATTTTGCTTGTACAACGGGTTATTGTAACCGACAAGATCGGTCTGTTAAAATCGCAAACTTTGAATCGAGCTTTTAGAACAATGGAGCTACAAAAATTGTAATGAATTGTAAGGCATCAGTTCAAGATCCGTTGAATAGCTTAGAGTTTTGTCTATCAAATTAGCTGCCCCAACTTGCCCCCGGCTCTTTAAAACTACATGTTCTTGGGCGCTCAGGCACGGTTGTGGTAAAAACCTCGCGATTTTAAGCCCATGTCGAGCGCGTTTCTGTGTTTTAGCTTCACAAAATATAAGATTTTTTTTATTTTTGGGTTGCGTTCATGACGTTTGCTCGATTCACTCGGATTTAACTCAAAACGTTTATTACAAAAGCGATGTCTAGACTTTCACTTGCGTAAATCGTTCGTGACTACTAAGATATTTAACATATTTAACCCTCCTCTTGTAGGTGCGTTAAAACAACTCCGCATGCGCATTGTAGTGTGTTAATGTCAAATTTGAATTGTGGTTATTTGTGTTGACAATTTTTTTAGCGAATTAAGAAATCGTTGCTAAAATATTAAGTAAAAGAAATAACACAAATTTAAAATACTTATTATAAAATCTATTATATTTAAATTTTATAAATAAATTTAAAGTTTCTCGGGAGAAAACGATGGAAGATGTTTTCCATTGGCTTATGGCATCTTCCGATCCGTATATTTCTAGCTTCAGAAATTTTGCTTCGAAAAAGAGCAAATCTTTGTCCCGCGAAGCAATAAAATTGTTGCTATCTTCTGATGGTTTCCCATGCTCTGGTAATGACACAACGAGCGAATCCAGTGACGGAGATTGTTTAATATGTATGTAGGTATTAAATAATATCATATAAATGTAATTATAATAAACTAAATTGTTTTATTACATTTTAAAAAGAACCTCTTAGGGATTTTTAATTAATTTCGACATTATTTGATAAAAATGTCATTTGAGGCCTACCATTTTGAATTTTGGAATTCTGATTCCAGATTCGTTATCAGCGACCCCAAAAATCTCTATATAGGGATTTTTAGGAGAATCCTCCTTGATATTTGCCGAAAATTTCGAGAATTGAAACACTGTGGGGCGAACAAAACAAATTTGAGCATTTCGCTGGAGAAACTGTAAAAAAAATGTTGCCGGGTCGATTTGAGATTTGAAAGACGCTTACCGTAACTGCTAAGTATTTTGCTAGCCTCCCTGAAAAGTAAAATTCCGTTGGGCGAGGACACGTCGAACTGCAACCGTTGCGACCTGTTTTGCACCAGCTCGGCGAACAGTCTGAGTATGGGCGTGGTCACGTGGGGGTCGTGGTACCAGAGCTCCACCGCTCGAAGAAGTATGGGCGTGTAGTTCGGATACACCCAATCGAAGAGCATCATGTACGATGTTTTCATGTTGAACGAGAAAGCCAGACCCCTCAGATCCCTGGCTAAGCCAATCAGAGCCTTTTTAGTTTCTTCGCTGGCGAATAGGGGGCTGTCCGCCGCCGCCAGGGCCGTTCCTATGCTTTCAAATGCGGCTAGAGAAATACCAAACGTTGTGACCTTTTAATAACACAGTCCAACACGATTTACCTCCCATGAATATTTTTTTTTCTTTAAATATTTTATGTTTTTACAAAATTTTAATTTTAAAAAGTAAAAAAAAATATTTGTTTTTTTTAAATATTTATAACAAAGATATCGATTTGAAATTTAAAAGCATTTATAAACCTTTTAGGTCTATTTTTTTTAAATATTTTGAACAAAATGCCACTTCCGGTTTGACCTGATGTGACATCAATTATGTTATTTCAAATAGATACATATTTTTACATTTTTAAATTATACAGGGTGAGTTTTAAGTTGACGCGTTTCATTTTAACAGCGTGTAGAAATCAGATAAACAAATAAATATTTTAAGTAACTTTTTTATCAAAACTCAAAAATAAGAGAGTTACATGCCTTCCAAGTTTAATTAAATTTTAAGCCGGTCCTGGCTATTGTTAACAAAAAACATAACCATAAAAATAAAATTAACAATGCAAAATGTCATCTATGACAACAAACATAACCATTTAAATCAAAATGACATTTAGCAATGAAAAATGTCAGTTTTTTTGTGCCTCAATTATTGTTAAAAATGGTTCATAATTATAGCAATAATGAATTAGTGGAAATGTTACTAATTTATGGAGAGTGTCGTCAAAATGCAAATGCTGCAACTTAAGTAAATAATGACATTTTTTATTGCAAAATGTCAATTTGTTTTAAATGGTTATGTTTGTTGTCAAATATGACATTTTGCATTGTTTATTTTGATATTTTTATGGTTATGTTTTTCGTTAACAATAGCCAGGACTGGTTAAAATTTAATTAAACTTTGATGGGCTATAACTATTTTATTTTTGAGTTTTGATAAAAAGTTACTTAAAATATTTATTTGTCTAGCCGATTTCTACACACTGTTAAAAGGAACGCGTCAACTTAAAACTCACCCTGTATATAAAATTCTGATTAAAATTACAATACCATGTCCTATCCCAAGCAGCATTTTAAGTAAAAGCGTAGAGAGTCAATCCAAATGAAAACACCAAAAATGAATTTAAAAGTGCGCTGCATGATTTTTATTTTAATGAAAAAATTTGAGGATGATCTTTTAGGTATCATATATGAAAAACCGTTGCCGTTTTAATTTTTAGTTGCTTTATTTTTAATCGGCACCCTTTAGAAACCTGAAATCGTGTCATTTTCTTACTCTCTTATAAGAGGCTAAAACTTCTTTCTGTGGCAATTATTGAAATGATTGTAATTTTATTTTACTGCCTAGTAAGTATGTTATCAATATTAATTATTATTATCTAATTAGTTCATCTCATAAAAGAATGGTGAACCACTAAAGATTTGTAATAATTTGCCAATTTTTGTGATTTTTGTCTGGCTCCTGTGCCTATTCTGCTAAATCTAGAAAGTTGCTTTTTTCAGGTATCAAGTACTTATACAATAGAAAACAACTATTGTGATATTTAAATGTGATATAGATTAAAATATACCTACCATATTTATCCACTTTATATATATATTATAGTTAATCTTGTATTTATGTTTATACTTATAGTTATTTGTTATATCTGCTTATGTAATGCATTCCTGTGATGGATTTGTTGTAATCTTTTTGGGAAATAAATAAATTAAAAAAAAAAAAAAGTTTCTAGACTATCATTTTCTTTATTAAAAAAATTATTGAAACTTGATCATTTTCAAAATTGGCCAATTTTGCCCTCAGAAATCATTATGTTGAGGAAAAAATAAAAATCTGAAACTTTCAGGAAATGTAGTCCCCACCTTTATCTTTTTAGTCTAGTTAGTCTTGTTTTGTTATTTTTATCCATGTAAAAGATATAATAATTTTTTTAATGCAGTTAAGAAGCGATATTGTTACTTTTATATATAATTTAAAATTTAGATGGCTTTGACTTAGTCAATTCATGTTTGGTAGAGAAATGTCAGAACTGTCAAAAATATTTCATAAATATTATTTGTGCGTATTTAAATTGTGATTTCAAAAAGTTTGAAAGTTTGCAAGTGTAATAAATGACCAAGTGTTCGAGATTCATGAATTTAATTGCAATTAAATATGCAAGAACATATCACAATTTTGTACCTCTTTCTCATAGAAAATATTCAAGTTCTGAGAAGTTTTAAATTGTTAAAAATAGGCAAAAACCAAAAAATATTCTAAATAAACCCCTTTATTATAACATGTTTTATTTTAACGAGTTACCTAAAAACTAAAATTTAAAGAAGTATTTACAGATTGTGTAAATTATTTTCCAACACACACATATGACTGAAAACGCCATTTTTTTTAAGTATATTTTCAAAATCTGCAGGAATTTTTCATGGGAGGGGAAAAATAAAATTTTGTCGTACTGTGCAACTAATACTTTTACAACCAACGTACCTGTCAATGGCAACATGAAAGTGTGAAATCGGTCCTCGTCCTCGCCTAAATCGACCATAAGAAGTCGTCCCAGCGAAGTGTAAAACATGGATCGCAGCCGCATTTCCGTGACGGGAACCGAATTTCCCAGGAACGGAAAATGCTCGCTGGTGTGGTTGTTGAGCATGAACTGCACTTCGTCCAGCTTCACCAGCTTGCGCACGCAGCTGTAGCCTACCGAAAGATCGTTGAGCAGCTGCAACGTTTTGCTTATCACCGGCTCGCTGCGACCCCAGTACTTCAAATTCGTGATACTAAAATTTGAACGATAACTTTACTATTCACTATTTAAACATCTTAAAGTAAAATAACACCCTCCTTTTTTATACAGGGTGAGTTTTAAGTTGACGCGTTCCTTTTAACAGCGTGTAGAAATCAGATAAACAAATAAATATTTTAAGTAACTTTCTTATCAAAACTCAAAATAAGAGAGTTTTAGGCCTTCCAAGTTCAATTAAATTTTGAACCGGTCCTGGCTATTGTTAACAAAAAACATAACCATAAAAATAACAAAATAAACAATGCAAAATGTCATCTATGACAACAAACATAACCATTTAAATCAAAATGACATTTAGCAATGAAAAATGTCAGTTTTTTGTGCCTCAATTATTGTTAAAAATGGTACATAATTGGACGGCTTTCTGCAGAATGGGACCAACCCACACCATGATGAAACTGAGAAAAAAGCTATCAAAGATTTTAATAATTTTAAAATTACCTGTTAATTTTATGCCGATTTTGGACTTACGGAGGTTTAAGGGATATAATTTAATAATTTCATCAGGTGGATTTTGTGATGTTATGTGTAAGGGTGACGAAAAAAATGGGCTTTTGTTGGTTGGTTCCTTTCTGCAATTTATGAAAACTACTATCTGATGTATGTTTGTATTTAAAGAAAAGCGACAATTATTTATTTCCAAACAAAATACAACTGATATTACTATTATAATGGTAATATGAATTAATTTTGATTCTATTTGAAATTCGTCCACATCATCTTCCAACCCCACCTCATCTTGTAAGCTACCAAAAAAATGCATCAAGACTTTATATTTTGCAGAAGCAGGAAATCTTTAAAGACTTTGGTAGTGGGTCTACCAGCCTGCTTTTTTACAAAAAAGATCCAACCTACTTGCAGATATTCTACAGATTCTAATTCTGGATTAGTAATCCACACTATTATTGAATGTTGGTTGGTTCAATGATTAATAGATTTCACTACACTTGCATTTTGGCTATGACCTATTTTGCAGATAAATTATACATACTTAATTAGTTCATAGGCTAAATATCTGGTTTTGTGGGTTGGTTCCTTTCTGCAGAAAGGCGTCCAATTATAGCAATAATTTTTCAGTTCAGTAAAATTGTAGAATATATTTTGTAATTTTATTAAACTGAGTTGAAATGAATGTATAGTATAATTACAATACACCATTTTAAAATTACTAAACATATTTAGTATTTTTTTTTAGCAAAATTACAATACCTGTATAGTAATGTTACTGAACAAGTTTTTAATAAATGCTTAGTGAATTTCAACAAACGTTCTGTAATTTTCCCAAATTGAGTTGTAATGAATCGTGTAGTAAATTTACTATTATTATTTATTTATTATATTGTGGTGCGTTAAAACTTAAATATTTTTTTTCATTAATAATATTTTCTTGAAATGTTAATATTGTGACTTAGATTGTTTTTTACGTGTGATCTTCAAATTATTCGATAATTTATATAATCTAAAAATCGAATAATTTTATAAAAATTCGCCCTACTGAAAACATACCTTGTTTTCTTTCCAAGTTATAGTTTTTCTTACCATTTTTTTTAGAATTTGCGTTTAATTGAACTTGTTCTTTACTTCTTCTCTGGTGTAATCTAGATAAAAATATTCACTAGGTACTCACATTTTCCTGATGAAGACGCTCAGTACCGTGGGCTCGTCGTTGAGCCCGAGAACCTCGCTCAGCCTTCGGTACACCTTCGAGTTCTTCTGCACCTGGTCGCCGACGTAGATCTTGCGGAACTGCTCGAAGAAGCTGAGCATCGAGAGCTCGAGCTTCTCGCAGCCGCCTTGCGCGAGCCGCGCGTCCGTCAGGTTCATCAGCTGCAGCACCCTGCAGAGCAGCTCGCCGTCCATCGCGTCGTGGTCCTCGTTGCTGTTGAACGAGACGCGGCCGCCGATCGCCGAGCCGATTATGTACACCAGCCACGTCAGCTGACCTGAAGAAAGTAACTGGGTTACTTTCAAATTTCTTTTACTATGCCCCACTAGGGTGTCCCTTTTTTTTTATTTTTTTACGCATACCCTCTAATTATACTTATTACTTGTCTATATACTCCCAGTAAAAAGCTAAAATATCAGGGAAAAAACCATTTGAAAAAAAAAACAATTAAAACAAAAACTGTGTGAGTATTTTAATGGTCGCTTCCCAGGTAGCATACTGACGTCTGCTGACGTTTAAATAATGTCATTTCAACGTCATTTAAACGTCAGCAGACGTCAGTGTGCTACCTGGGTTTCCTATAAAAAAAAATGGAAAAAATCACGCATATTGATAAATACCTTCGTGTATGGTGACCTCGATGGGGGAGGCGGCGCCGGCGGCCATCAGCTCCGTGTATCCGCCGGCCGTCCGGTCGAACAGCTGCACGAGCAGCGTGCACGTCTTCTGGTACTCGCAGCGGCCGATGACGGACATCTGCTCGAGCTGCTGCTGCACCATGCCGAGGTCGTCGAGCGGGTCCTCCATGCCGTCGCGCACCACCATCGTGACGCTCTCGAGCCGAGAGGTGATGTAGGCGTTCGTCACCTCGGGCGTGTACGTCTCGAGCAGGTGCGGCTCGGTGGCCTTCACGTAGGGAACCGAGGCCACCATGCGCTGCCACAGCGACAGCAGGTAGTGCACGCTGTTGGGCGCGAACTGCCACATCTGCTGCAACAAACGGCGTCGTCTTCAAGCTTTAGTCTGACTGATTTTAAAATTTCCGGAAAAATTGAGCCGGCGGAAAAAAACAGTTTTTTCCGAAAAATTGGAAATTGTCGTAAGTAATATCATAAGGGCATCCACAATCCACACAACAAGGTCTGTTCTATCTCATACTAAAAATCACTGCAACACTGTACAGAGTTTAACGGCGGCCATTTTTGTTGTTTACAATTCTTGTGCTTTGGGTTTGTGCTGTTTAATAATTGTTTTAAACGTTGGCACTTGTAAGCCTCAAATAAGGCCTTTAAGTGCTAAGGACAACCATTTTACTCCTCTTTTATAATAAATATATCTTATTCTATCAGGGCTGTCAAATGACAATTTGAAGGTTAATTTGTGGGTTATAATTTAACCTTAAAATTGACATTTGACAGTTTTATGACAGCCCTGATAGAATAAAGTTTATTTTTTACAATAGAGGAGTAAAATGGTTGTTCTTAGCACTTTAAGGACTCTTTTAAGGCTTACTATGAGAAACACAACGTTTAAAACGATTATTAATCTGTATAAACAGAGCACAAACCCAAAGCACAAAAATTGTAAACAACAAAAACGGCCGCCGTTAAACTGTGTAGTGTTGCAGTGATTTTTTGTATTTTTAGTACGAGATAGAACAGACCTTGTTGTGTGGATTGTGAGGGCATTTAATTTTTCCGAAAAAAAAATCGAAAAAGTAATATTTTAACAAGAAGCATTAGTGCTGGTGGCAACAAAAATCCGAGTCAAAGATGAGGATTTTTGCACCTGCACGAATGCATTTTGTTAAAAAATATTACTTAGCATTGTGTTTTTTCGATTTTTTCACGGGAAAATTAGATGCCCGAATGGTATTTGACAAGACTATTTCATGAGTAACAGTTATTCTGCATACACATAGCTTATAAAACATACTATCTATTATAAATGCATACAAAAAAATTAAACTGGAGTTATCTGTTTGATTTAAACCTTTCCCAGGACAATATGTAAATTTTCTACCACAATTTTTGCCATAGAATAGTATATTACACTACAAGGGCAGAAAGTGTGAGATTCCTGCACTGCGCGCCATCTCACATTTTCTGCCCTTGTAGTGTAATATACTATTACTCCCGCTATTATAGAGTGTGCGCGTATAGCTTGACCAATGCAAGAAACGTAAACTTTCTGCCGTAAAATCTGGGACGAAACAACGTATTTTGAGTCGAGGTAGTAAGAAAAAGAATTTTCTTACTACCTCGACTCAAAATACGTTGTTTCGTCCCCGATTTCACGGCAGAAAGTTTACGTTTCTTGCATTGGTCAAGCTATATGCGCACACTCTAATAGCGGGAGTAAAAATTTTTTAGTCGTGTGCTTAACATTCAAATTTCGTACTGCCAACATGAGAAACACAAAAATATGACAGTTTTAAACCATAATTTTGCAATTATAACAACAAATAAACAATTTATGTTTTTACTTTTTTACTTTTTATGTTGTTTTAAGTGTTTAATGGTACTTTTATTTGTTATAAAGTAGTAATTTGTTAATTAAAATACAACCTTTTATTTTTACTGTATTGGCACCGCTGAATTACCATGACAACGCTACAGTTTGATTGATTTTGAATGTAAACGTCAGAATTAAATTAAACGTCAGATTTTAATTTTGACACAAGTTTTTTTATATACATTTAATTTTTTTCCGTATTTTCTGCGGGGGTAGCAAGAAAAATAGTATACACTACACGGGCAGAAAGTGTGAGAGCCCTGAACTGCGCGCCATGATGCCCTCGGCTTCGCCTCGGGCATCATGGCGCGCAGTGCAGGAATCTCACACTTTCTGCCCTCGTAGTGTAATATACTATTTTTAAGTTATTAAAATCGCTAGCGTCAAAATACTTATCGGATATCAAAAGTATGTAAAATAAAGTTTTAGAGAGCTCAAATACCTTTCAAGCTATACTAAAAAACGTCAAAACACCTCCCAAAATTGAAAAAAAAAACAATTGAAAATTCATATTTCAAAAACGCTTCCATAAAAAAATTAAGTATGATTTTCGTGTTTACTGGGTCAAAATATATGGGAAAATTATAAAAAGATATGGCAGAATTTTTTTTTGATTTTGTAAACTAGTGTTATAATATAATTATATAATTTTAAAGAAAATTTTAAAAAAATTGAAAGAATTTTTTTTTAGAATGTAAAAAACTTTTAATATTATTTCTATTTTCATAAAAAAAGCAAAAATAGGTACAAATTTATATATAATGAAAAATAATTAAAATAAAATTTTAATAATGCCTTTTCAATAAAAAAATACAGGGTGAGTTTTAAGTTGACGCGTTCCTTTTAACAGCGTGTAGAAATTAGATAAACAAATAAATATTTTAAGTAACTTTTTTGTCAAAACTCAAATATAAAAGAGTTATGGGCCTTCCAAGTTTAATTAAATTTTGAGCCGGTCCTGGCTATTGTTAACAAAAAACATAACCATAAAAATAAAAATAACAAAATAAACAATGCAACATGTCATCTATGACAACAAACATAACCATTTAAATCAAAATGACATTTAGCAATGAAAAATGTCAGTTTTTTGTGCCTCAATTATTGTTAAAAATAGTTCATAATTATAGCAATAATGAATTAGTGGAAATGTTACTAATTTATGGAGAGTGTCGTCAAAATGCAAATGCTGCAACTTAAGTAAATAATGACATTTTTTATTGCAAAATGTCAATTTGATTTAAATGGTTATGTTTGTTGTCAAATATGACATTATGCATTGTTTATTTTAATATTTTTATGGTTATGTTTTTCGTTAACAATAGCCAGGACCGGCTTAAAATTTAATTAAACTTTGATGGGCTATAACTCTTTTATTTTTGAGTTTTGATAAAAAAGTTACTTAAAGAATTTATTTGTTAAAAGGAACGCGTCAACTTAAAACTCGCCCTGTATACTTTATTACGGAAAAAAAGACCTAAAACTAAAAAAAATTAAATTGATTCAATAAAATAAAGTTAATCGCAAAATATACATCGACTTACTTGTAAACTTTGAACGGTGAACTTGGCCAGCACCTGTATCGTCTCGGGGTAGTTGTCGACGACGACCAGCTCGCCGAGCTGGTAGTTGCTCTTGAGCCGCGCGAGCAGCCGGCAGAACTCGTGGTAGTTGGCCGGGTCGCTCAGACCCTGCGGGTTCTGCAGGATGTGCTTGACGCCGTTGACGAGGTGCGTGAGGAACTTGGCGCGCTCCGCGTTGCTGAACAGGCTGCGCCTCACCGACGCGATCTGCACCAGGCAAGAGAGCGCCAGCGAAGACAGGGTGTTGGGTAGCGAGTGGTAGAGATCGAAGAAGAGCTCGAGGGTGGTGAAGTCGAGGAAGGCCGGGCGCCAGCTGGTCGGGATTTGCACGGTGCACAAGTCGTCGGACGATTCGTCCGTCGAGGTACCTGCAGAACGCGTTAATAATAATACACTCGCAGGCAAAATAATCGATCCACACAAATTTTCGATGAATTTCAATCGCAAATAACTTTTTTATTTGATGTCGGATTTAAACGAATATTAAAGAATATTGTTGATAAATTAATGGACAATCGCTCACATTTTAAAAAATTACTAAAAAATAGACGTTCGTTTATAATATACAGGTTTAAACAAAAATATGTTTTTTACCATAAGTTTATGACACTCTGTAGAGTGGCAAAACCGTATATTGTTCTAAATTAAGTTTTATTTATCAAGTCACATCTATTCTTAACAGTTTTGTTTTTGGTTCACCTCAATATACTTATTTTTGTGGAAAATATAGATTTTTTAAAAAACATTGCAATTTCCAATATTTTTCTGTATGAACAACTAAGGTTGCTATGGTCCATCCATAGGCTATGGAGAATGACAGTGACAGTTTTGTTGAATCATCCCATACTTGGACATGTCAACACGGCTTTCAAAAGCTATCAAATTGTTTTTTGCAAATTAATTTTTAAATTTTGAGGTGTCTTCTCACTTTAAAAAATGGATATGTCCCCGACTGATGTTGCCAGATCCATTAATTTAATCCAGGATGGACGGTCACAGTATTACGTGGCAAATGTTTTAAACTTCACAAGAAGTAAAGTACAAAGGGCAACATCAGTCGGAGACATTTTTAAAAGTAAGAAGACACCTCAAAATTAACACATTAATTTACAAAAAACAATTTGATAGCTTTTGAAAACTGTATATGACATGTCCAAGTATGGGATGATTCAACAAAACTGTCACTGTCATCCTACGTAGGCTATGAATGGACCATAACAACCTTAGTTCTTCATACAGGAAAAATATTGAAAATTGCAATGTTTTTTAAAAAAAATCCATATTTTTCACAAAAATAAATATATCAAGGTGAACCAAAAACAAAACTGTTAAGAATAGATGTGACTTGATAAATAAAACTTAATTTAGAACAATATAGGGTTTTGCCACTCTACAGAATGGTAAAAAACATCTTTTTGTTTAAACCTGTATATTATAAACGTACGTCTATTTTTAAGTAATTTTTTAAAATGTGAGCGATTGTCCATTAATTTATCTACAATATTCTTTAATATTTGTTTAAATCCAAAATCAAATAAAAAAGTTATTTGCGATTGAAACTCATCGAAAATTTGTGTAGCTCAATTATTTTCATTTTACATGTAGACAGTCTGCATTCGTTTTTTAAGAGTGGGAGGATAATTTTTAAGATTGGGAGACTCCGAGAGAGAGTTTTAGTAATTCATCAGTTGACCCTTCACCGGCGTTAGGTTATAGTCGAAGTTTGCTATGGATTAATAATACGAATTGCGTATTATTAAGTTAATTTACTTTTTAAAATGAATTAGATACTTAAAATATAACGTAATTTAACAGTAAATTATTAATCAAATGGCCTAAAATCATTATTTGTTTTGCATTTAACTAAAAGTGTTTTCTCATAATAAAACGTTTAAACATAAAAAATTCTCTTTAAAAATTAAAATAAATAAATCAATTCTCTTAAAATAAAACTTAAAATCAAACTTATAATAAATATAAATAAATAAATAAATTATTTAATTAATAAAAACAATAAATTATTATTTCAACACAAGCTTTGAATAATATTTTCTAATTTAAATGGCGGTTTCAGTTATAAAACAATGTACTCTTGCAAACAACTGGAAATTGCAATGTTTTTTTAAAAAATCCATATTTTCCACAAAAATAAATATATCTAGGTAAACCAAAAACAAAACTGTTAAGAATAGATGTGACTTGATAAATAAAACTCAATTTAGAACAATATAGGGTTTTGCCACTCTACAGAGTGTCTTAAACTTATGATAAAAAACATATTTTTGTTTAAACCTGTATATTATAAACGTACGTCTATTTTTAAGTATTTTTTTCAAATGTGAGCGATTGTCCATTAATTTATCTACAATATTCTTTAATATTCGTTTAAATCCGACATCAAATAAAAAAGTTATTTGCGATTGAAATTCATCGAAAATTTGCGTGGATCGATTATTCTGGCTGTGAGTATTTTGATTTTTTTCCTATTTTAATAGACTTGTAATAATGCAACTTTTGTTTAATAAAACCGACCTTGTGTTGTAGCTCTTCAAATAAAATACCCAAACCTACCCTGTAGAATGTATTTTTGAAATTGAAAAACTTATTTTATCCGAAATCGGCAGTAAAGTTCTACTTTAATACGAGTATTGTATGCAACCCATTATACATTTTAATATGTGTCTACTGCTACTCAGCAGCAACTAAATATTTTTAAAAAAGGACCCTTTCATAAAATGTTGTTTAATAAAAATAATAAGTTAATTTTATTAATTAGATTAAAAAACCGCCGCGGCGGGCAAATATATCATAACCGTCGCAACAAACAGTATACGTAGACACTTCCTACATTCAAATGACATTTGATTTGATCATCAATATTAATTCATTAGTATTATTAAATGTGATTTCGGATAAAATTTAATATGCACCTCGGCATTAAAGTCGCATTTTTTATCACTCACGTGGTTATTTGCCTCGGCTTTCGCCTCTGCAAATAATTTCCACATTCGTGATAAAAAATGTATTATTGTCTTGATCAAATCAAATCAAATCTTTATTTGTTATAACATTTTTAGTTTTTTACAAAATAATAATAGGTGATTCGCCTAAATTTACATTTGTGTGCGAATCATATTAGTAAACAATATTAAGAGTAAATAGTAATAGTAAATTAAATATTATATAATTCATTAATTAAAAAAATAAAAAACGAGACAAGAAATCGAGGAAGTGCGACATAAGAAAAAAATAACTATTTTCCAAAAAATTGCGTACCTATGAAGTCGAACGTGAGGCAATTTTGGGCGAGCCTAAGCAACTGCGTCATCAAACCGTGTTGACTTTCGTCGCTGAAGTTGAGGTTTTTGCAGTTTTCGCGGGCGTTCCCCAGCAGGGTGCAGGACAAACGGAAAATCTCGAACAGTTGCATGTCGCGGAACGACGACGCGATCTTTCGATGCTTCGTCAACGATCGGTTGGCTTCGACTTCCGAGATTTGATTCATTTCGCAGGTCAGCTGAGACAGCAGCTGCACGCCTATCATGCAGTGCTCGACCGAACCCTAAAACAACAAGACCATCGGGCTGCTAATTACACTGTGCGGCAAATTTTGACCTTACAATTTGAACTGGGATGAAATGTGGAAAAATCGAATCTATGCAACCCCCAAAACTAATCTTTAAAGGGGTTTTGCTAGTTTAGCTCGAATAATGGAGATATATAAAAGCCCCTAGAACTTAAAAAATATATGAATTTTATAGAAAAATGCTCGGACACGTCGATTTTTATTTTATATGACGCAATTTTCAGTTGATTTTGAAATTTTTATTTTTTCACAGATTCACCCCCAGCCACCCCACTTTTTTTTTTTAAAGAAAACCGACCCTTTGTTATACCTTAAATAACAGGTAATGTATGTAAATGAATTAGTCAAAAGTAACTAATTTAATAGTTAATAGTGGCTGCTTTTTTACTTGTGCCATGGTTAACCATGGAATACCATGGTATCCCAAAATTTAACAGCCAATTCTTATGTAAAATTTTCCCCTGAATCAGAAAATACCGTCAAAATTTAAAAAAGTAGAACAGTTTTTGAGATATAGTCAATTCCATATTAAATGGAAAATTGACTATATCTCAAAAACTGTTCAATTTTTTTAACTTTTGACGACTTTTTCGGATTCAGGAGAAAATTTTACATAAGAATTGGCTGTTAAATTTTGGGATACCATGGTATTCCATGGTTAACTATTAAATTAGTTACTTTTGACTAATTCATTTTTAGAGAGTACATTACCTGTTATTTAAGGTATAACAAAGGGTCGGTTTTCTTTAAAAAAAAAAGTGGGGTGGCTGGGGGTGAATCTGTGAAAAAATAAAAATTTCAAAATCAACTGAAAATTGCGTCATATAAAATAAAAATCGACGTGTCCGAGCATTTTTCTATAAAATTCATATTTTTTAAGTTCTAGGGGCTTTTATATATCTCCATTATTCGAGCTAAACTGGTAAAACCCCTTAAAGGATTTGTTTTGGGAGTTGCCTAGATTCGATTTTTTCAGATTTGATCCCAGTTCATTTTTTGTGTTGCACAGTGTTATAAAGTATACAGGGTGAGTCATTTAACTTGAAACTTTGAAATATCCCAGTTAGTATGCATTTTACGAAAGAATGTTGATTTTTTCATATTTGTAATAGATGGCGCTGTAATGAAAAAAAATCAATTTTGTTCGATTTTCGATAATAAATTTAAAAAATAAAACCAAGTAATTTATTCAAAAATTATTGGAGAATCGTATACAGAAGAAAAATCGAACAAAATTGATTTTTTTTCATTACAGCGCCATCTATTACAAATATGAAAAAATGTTTTAAGACAAAATCTACCTATTTTTAGTCAAATGATCCGAATCTGCAATAAAAAAATAGGGTGTCCCATGTTCCCCCTATAAGAAGGACCAATTTTAGTACTGATTGATTTCCCCCCTCGAATCATTTAATTTTTATTTTAAACATTTTTTCGTAAAATGCATACTACTGTAACTGAGATATTTCAAAGTTTCAAGTTAAATGACTCACATTGTATAACACATAAATTTTCTTGTTTAAGGTCTAAAAAAATTACATTTTATTGGGGTCTTTACATCTCAAATCGACCAGGCAAATATTTCGTTACAATTTTTTTTTAATTGTAGGTAAATGTTTACTACATACAAAATAATATAAAAAAATTAAGAAAATTCACTCAATTTTTTTATAGATTTTTCTAAAAAGGGCAAACAAAATGAGATCAAAATTGTGGGCTAAATTCATCATTTCGGAATTATTATTATTTTAATGAAAATGCCATTTTCTAGTAAATTCATTGTTTTTTTATATAGGGTCATGAAACTGAGGTGACCTATAAGAAGAATTTTATTTGGAATTGAAATATGTAAAAAGCATAGCATAGACAAAATCAATCAATTAGATTTCAAGCTATACTCAAAAACGTCAAAACACCTCCAAAAATTGAGTGTGATTTTCTTGTTTAGTGGGTCAAAATACATGGGAAAATTATAATGGGATATAGTAAGCAAAATTTTTTTCGATTTTTTAAACTTGTGTTATATAAGAGTTTAACAAGGTTTTATAAAATCGCCATTTAGTTTACTAGTTTTATAATGGTCATATAAGGTTACTGTAATTTCTAGGTATATAATTCTACAAACATTTTATATAACCTTTAGTTACCGTTACCAGTAGGTTTATGAAGAAGTTTTATAAAATTTGCGGTTACTTCTTTTATAAAACTATTGTGTCTTAAATTTTTTTAAATAAAAATGTGAGTTATTAATTATTTATGTGCTTAATAAACCAAAAATGTTTAGTAATTGAAACAGAAATTAAGCATAGCTTTCGACGCAATGCTTTTTTATAATTTTAATTAAAAATTGATTGAAAGGAAAATATTTAGCATGGAATATAATATTATTAACATAAATATTTTAAAAAGGGATTAAATCGAATGTTTGGTGAAATAAATTGGTTTAATTACGTTAAAACCATTAATACTGCACGCAAAAATGGCAAACCTGACAACACCAACCTGAGCAGTTAGATGGTTGCCTATCAAAAGTTTTATAACATCACTTGTAAGTAATGACAGTAACTACAATGTAACTGTACAAAAGGGCAAATAATTGTAGCTGTATATGTATTTCAAAATTATAAAATAACACTTTAAGTAACTTAGATAGTCCTATAAAACTGAACTAGTACCTTAGGTTATATAAAATTACCATGAGCAATATAAAAGGGCTCAAGGTTGATACATTCTTTTCTGAATGATTGTTTTTACATAAAATAAATGGTAATTGAATTGTATTACAAAACCAACTTAATTGACCAAACCAAGGTAAAAAATTCACTACTTTATACCTTCATAAACTCCCCAAAAAAGCTCTTTAAGAGGTATATAAGAGTGATATAAATATTTCTGTAACCAAATTAAGAAATTTAGGTTTTATAATTTGGATGATATAGCAACTTAAAACAAAAAAACAATTTTTTTTTTGCCTTTTTAGAGTAACAATTTTAAAAAAATTTAGTGAATTCACTTCACATCATTTAGTAAATGTAATTTACCTACAATTTAAAAAAAATTGTAACAATTGAAACATTTTTGGCAAAGTTATCGCATTTTCAAGAAAAAATGTCACTCGTAAAAATTTCCTAGTTAAACAAAACAAATTTAAGCAAAAAAAATACGCGTCTCATCAATTTTGGTAGAGAAACTGTAAAAAAAATTTCGTCGATTTAAGATATCAGAAAAACTGACTTTAAGATAAAAAAACAATTTTAAATAAAATTTTTGCTTAGTTTTTGGATAATTTTCTTACCTGTAGGAACTTTCCAATGTGGGAAACAACATTTCTGAAAACATAATCGTCCTTGTGAGTGTCGCACCATCCTAGTTTTGTTATTCTTGCAAATAAAGTGACTAGGGCCTGAACAACAAAATTTGGTAGTTTTGGTCTTGTAGCTAGATAATTTAGTATGTAATTTCGAATATCGACCCTTTGCTGCAAACTCAAAGCCTGAGCACTTCTCGAGACCAGCTTGGTCAAGGTGGTAGCGGCTAAAAGTTGTGCGTAGCACGAGTCGCCTCTGTCCAAAAGAACTTGACATTTCGTAAGAGCATCAGGACCGTCTTGAAATACCACAAGGGACTTTTCTGCATCGCCTCGAATTATTGTATCTTGGGATTCATACAATTGCTTACAAAGTAATTCCAATTGCCGAATCTCCTGCAAAAAAATTGGTTTATAATCAATAATGGTCATACAGTCAAAACAAAATTGGTATATTTGTTCAATTGAAGCAATTTTTATATAATTGATATATAGCTTAACATTCTTAAAACAGTTTAAGTAGAAACTCTTAAGGCAGTTACATCTAGCTTAATTTAACAATCTAAAGACAGTAATATCTAGCTTACATTTTCAATATTTATATCTTTCTATACTTGGCATTCTTAAGAAAAATATATCCTAAAACTAAGGACCTAGTTAAGTTAACATTTATAAGAGATATTTCTAGCCTAGTAATTTTATTATTAAAATCATTTTTGGATACTTAAAAAAAGGTTATATGCGTTTTAATTTATAATATTGTACCAAAACATGCAATACCCTTATTTATTTATTTATAAAAAATGTGGATAGATACACGATACATTTGGTTTTAACTAGGTATAGAAGATAAAATACAGTAAACATAACCATTATTTTACCACCGGCTTAAGAAGTAATTTTAAACGAATATGTGATGATTTGAGCAATTAAAACTACATATAAAACGTTCATTTACATGTTTTTAATCACTACAAAAGGGCAAATAATTGTAGCTGTATATGTGGTAAAATTGTTTTTTATCCCACCTGTTCATCAGCCATTTTCAGTTCCTTTCATTTGGTTTTCAGTTGTGTTATTTTGTAGACTTTCCAATAAAATTAGAGAAGCCGGATACTTTTTTAATTCAAGTTCACTAACATAAATCTTTCACTCAAAAACATAACGCAAAATTATACGGTTACCGCCCTCTACACGTAGTTATTGAACTACAACAAAAAGCGCCATTTTTGAGACTACAAAGAAACTAAACAACTATACACGAAGTTCAATCTTTCCTTGGTTAATTAATTAAAAACCCAATTAATTTAATTGTGTACATTATAATAAGAATACAGTGAAATTTATTAAGGTACTTATATTTTGCTAGGTTACATAAGTATTATAAGTTAAAATATAAAATTAGAATATTATAAGATTAGATTAATGTTTTTATCATAAAAAACCTATGGTTTTTATTTCGTTCATTGGCAATCTATAAACCTAACTATCACAAAATCATTTAAATCTGCGTTGTGTTTGCATTTTATATCAGGAGGAAAATATTTCTGCAAAAAACGCTTTTTAAAGAACATGACGATTGGCAAAAGATTTCTTTCAATAAAATTACTGAACTTTTCTAGTGCTTCACATAAGTTATCGCCTAAATATTGTATTATTTTGTTTAGTTCTTTTCCAAATGCGCCAGTTAAACAATGGTTCTTTAAAATAATCATGTTCTTGTTATGCTGTTTCACTGTAAATTTTGTAATTTAGTAAATACTATTTACTTAATATTTGTTAGTTTGAAGTGTGTCAAAGTATGTGTCAAACTGGAATTGACATTTTTTGCGTTTGGCTTATGTAAACTCAACTTAAGCTCTGTTTGCCGCACTGGGAGAAAGTGGAAATTGTGCAGCATAGGTCAGGTTAAACAGTTTTTCTGGATTATCTCGTAAAATATTGATTGACGTAGATTTTTACCTCATTAAATTGCTAAAAAAAGTTAAAGCAATCGATATAATGCACTGATTACTAACCAGTGGTTAGTAAAGGGCCTTTACTAAAGGCTGAACAACGGTTGCATGTGCCGCACATGACGTGCGTCTGTGTGAACGTACCTTAAGTTCTCACCGGCAAAATGAGGTGATTGTGTTATCGATATTTTGCAAAAGATAAGTTAAATTTTTAAGATAACAGTTCAAAAATTAAATCTAGTCAAAGTGGAATTAGTTAATTTAAAGCTTTATTATATATTATTTCTAATTAAGTATTAGTGTGGATTGGGTGAACCGGTGAATTTTATTAATTTAAAAGGTTAGTTTTATAGGAAGGGGAATTGATAAATAAAACCTTCAAACATCAATTTTAAATTAGTTTTATTTGATAGGCGGTATAGTGTCGATATAAATAGTATTATTATAAATAAATTGTAAAAATGAAAGAGGAAAATATTCTTTATGGACCTGAATTGGAGAGAACCATTGAAGGTTCGCTGGGTGATCTTGCAATTCTTATGCTTAAAAGTGCCGAAGACAATCTAATACAGGTAATAATAATTATTAAAAATATAATAAATCCAAATACTTGTAGATAAATTAAATAAAATATAAAATATGATACCTATAAGAAAACTATAAGTAGGTATTAAACTAATTTACATAAATCTATAGGTTGATGCTAACACAAATAAAAAATTAAGAGCAAATGAACTCCTGTCAAGGGCTATTTGCATAGCCAAATGGTTTAAACAAAATGGAATAGGTGTTGGTGATAGTGTAACTGTTAGTTGCGAAAACCGGCTGGAATTTTGCATAATACCAATTGCAGCCTTTTTTGTGGGGGCTACCTTTGCCCCAATCAATCCTGATTACATACCACGTAAGTTTTTCAATTTAAAGTTGTTATCATATTCTGTTTTAATTTTCAATATTGTGTAATTACAATTAAGGTTTTATCAATTTATTTTCAATTTAAATAAATAATAACTTGGTATTATATATTATATAGTAACTAATCAGTAGGTATTCTCTTTATTATTTTGTAAAAAAAATTAAGAAAGATCATTGATATGAGAAAATAAGTAAAAAAATGTTGCTTACAAATATTTTGTTTCTTGTCACGCTATTATTATTATTTTAATTGTACAAAAAATTCTGACCTATTGGATTTTGAATTATTCATGTTTAATATTTCATTTTAAAAAACTTGACAATGCTGTATGGTTAATAACCTGACATGGTTGTGAGATGAATTTTTTAACAGTTAATCAGAACTTTAAAAATCATAACATTTTTTAAAATGATTTTAAAATGATTTTTATTAAAAACAATTTATAACTTTTTATTTTTAAACGCAATTAAAAAAATCTTTCCTAATAATTTCAAATTCTTATCCTAAATAAATAGCCTATTAACTTAAACGTGTTTGTTGCTACCTAATTTGAGAAAAATTATGCTTAGTACAAGCATATTTTTTGTATATTTAATTACAAAGTAACACTTTAAAGATTAAATATACTTTCCTTTTTAAAGAAATTTTATTTAAAACTGTGGTGAGTAATTCCATGATAAATACATATATTTTGCTATGTGTAAGCATTTAAGTGGTTTCTATAATTTAATGTAATAATGTAAATAATTACCTAAATAACAATTTACTGTTGCTAATATAAAAATTATTGATTGGCCTATTGTTTGATAAAGTAGTAGGTACTGTTTTTTTTATTAAAGGTACTTTACTTTTATTCATAATTTTTTACTTTATTGTTTGGTACCTCATTAAAATCAATTTTAGCCATATGGATTATAATTAATCATTATGATCTGAGCAAAGGTTATAAGTCAATATTTGTTTGTGAATAAAATCATTGCTTATACATTGAACTTCATAGTTGTACCTATTATCATGTCATTGAAATGTCTCTTAATCTATCTATAATAGCTAATAATTTTATTGATTTATGTATTTTATTATAAATATAATATGTAAAAAAAACACCTGTTTAGGTACTAAAATGTAAAAATTACATAATTCTTAAGACAAACGAAAAATATCTTGACTTTATTAAGTTTTTTAAAATAAAACAATTTCATAAAAAGTTGTAAAAAACGCAAGTAATATTTTTTATGGAATTTTGTGATTATTTATTTTCTTTTCTTAAAAATAATATATTTTTGGACTTTTTTGCCATTTTCCTTGTATATTTTTTACTTTGACTTTTTGGTTAATATTAGTGAAAATAAATTGTGACTGTTAAGATTATTATTAAATAATTAAAAAATAATTGCAGCTAACTATAAAAATGTTGCATTAAAGAGAATGGAATATTAAAAAATACATAGTTTAAAAAAACATGTAAAGCCAAATGTATGGCACGCCGTTTTAGCATTTATTAGATAAAAGTTTAGCACTTTAATGATATTTTAACAGAAATTTACGGAGTTAAATTTTTTTAAACTCAAAACAATATAATAGTCAAATTACCACTTTAAAATTTAAAACTAACATTTAAATGTAATGTGAGAATTTTTGTGTTAAAAATTTATTGACTATCATTTAAATGACTCTTTACAAATTTAAACCAATAATTTTGTAGAATAAACCACATAGTTATTGGACACTTAGGGAATATTATTTATTTAAAATTTATAAATATATAAAAATATAGTTTATTTACGTTTACTTAAAAATAAGAGTATTTGAATTTTTAATAATAGTTTTAACATTCAAAAAAGTATAGTAATTGGACATTTTATATAGTAATTGTACATATGGACCATAGTTATTGGACATATAATTTTTATATAAACATAACAACTTTAATAACATAAATTGTTAAATATTTTTTAAAGATAAATTGCTGTTTTAAGTAATTTTTTTATTTAAATATATAATTCATATATTTCTTTCTCGGATTCCTCATCCATTTTCTGGATAGTTTGTTGCAAATGTCATTAAGTCTGGTATCTCTATTTTGTGAAGCATTTATAATGCTTAGGCCGGAACAGGATGATTTATATATATCTAATATTTTTTCGGGTGGTATGTTAAAAGTATTTATTAATTTTGTTGCCATTAGTTTTTTATGTTCTCTATCATGCACTGTATTTAAATCACTGTTATTCTGCAAGATGTCCTGTGATGAAGAAATCACTATATTACTTACTCTCTAAAAATGAATTAGTCAAAAATGTGATAGCGAAAAAGCAGCCACTAATAATTCTCGTCAACAGCAATTTGTATCCAGGACATTTAGCAGTCAATTCCTATGAAATATTATTCGCTGAATCCGAAAATGTCGTCAAAAGTTATAAAAGTAAACCAGTTTTTGAAATATAATTAATTTTACATATAATATGGAATTGACTATATCTCAAAATCTGCTTAACTTATATAGTTTTTGACGGTCTTTTCGGATTCAGGGGACAATTTTACATACGAATTGGCTGGTAAATGCCCGGGATTTAAATAGAGTATGATATTGGACATATTATGTCCGTCCAATAATAGAAATTACATTTTTTACCAACCAGTAATTGGACACTGGCCATTTTACTGTTTGATTTCAGAATTAAAATTAAAACGCATTAAAGTGACAATGTTTTAACCATGAGGAACACATTTATACCTCACACTGATCTGTACACTTTTTGGAAATATTTTTTATTGTAATTTAAAAATTTAACTTTGCCAATTTAATCTAAATAATTTTATTAAAGATTTACAAAATTCTTCATAAATAAATTATACAAGTCTTAAGAAATTATTTTTATTAAAAAATGATAAAATTTTTTGCTAAAATTGATTGGAAATAATATTGTTTAATACAGAAGTAAGCTGTTAGTAAATTTTGTCTTTTATTAAATGATAGTTGAAAATATTTAAAATTTATAAATGTAAACCTAAAATTTTTAGTTAGGAAAATTTAAAACCAATAAAAATTTAAATTAAAAAATAGTTTAATAAATGTTAAAGCGGCGTATTAAACAAAAATTTTTCATTGTTAAAAAAATAAAAATTAAATGTTCTAAGTACATACATGTATGGTGTTTTGGCTTAGCATCATCTTTATTATCATTCTGTTTTATCCTCAATTTTTATCTGAACTCTATTTTGTTTTGCTAGGCGAATTAAAACATGTTCTCGGCCTGTCAAAACCAAAAGCAATATTCTGCTCATCAACTACAATCGACAAAATTATTAAGTGCCAACCGGATCACCCATACCTGAAAAAAATAATTTTGTTGGGTAATGAAACCAAACCGAATAATTCGGTCATTTTGTTTGAGGAACTTATTAAGGGTAAAATAAACTAAATTTTGGTAATTTAAATATTTACCAAGGGATATTTTAGATGCAGACCCAGAAAATATCGACGAAGAATTCGAAGTTACCCCCTATGACCCCAAAGAAACCGTGGCGACCATTTTGTGTTCTTCCGGTACCACCGGAATGCCAAAAGGGGTCATGTGTACTCATGACAGTATGACTGCTTACATTGACATAGCCAGGTGGGTTCCCAACTCTTCATTTTGTATAAAAAATAAACTATACGCTAAAGAAGTATCGCTAGTAGCGCCACCACTCGGCTGTTATCATCGTAACAAAAGTACCACTTTTGATAATCAGCTGTCAAAAATGTTAAAAAACATCGGAAAAAAACCGTGGCTCGATTTGTTGTGTTGTTGGGTGTATTTCGAGAGGAAATCCTGGGTTGAGTTTTTACCGGTTTTCCAATAAACAGTGTTAATCTGAATAAAGAAATAAATTGCATACAGTCTCTGTAAATATAAATTATACCCATTAGATACAATAAATACACATTTAAGTAGTGATTAACGTGAAAAGTGTAAACATTTCAATTCAGTAAAAATCGTCAAACAAATAAGTCGTCTAAATTTAAACAGCATTTAGAATTATTAAAAGCGTTGATTAAGAAAGTCTCTACTTAACGGTAAAATACCATTATATTATGTGAGGCCTGTCAGAGCAAAATCAACAATCTCCCGTCAGACTAAAACTGAGTAAATTGAGATAATTGATTTTGGTTTTTTAAATTCTAGATTTGTAATTTTTTATATATATTATATTGAAATATTGTTGTTGTTAGTCTAGAAGCCAACTACAAGGTCTCCAGGATGCATATTATAGGTGAAATCTAATTATAAATTGGAGATTGCTGACTTTGATATGAATTGCTGGAGATTGCTCATTTTGTTGTAAACGTTTAAGGAGATTTAGAAAAATAAACAAAAAAATAATTGTATATTCCTTTAATGGTTATAAAATTTAACTATACAATCATTGTCGGAAAATTCTGAACTGGACCACATAAATCTGGAGTTTCTTGTAAATCTGGGACCAGGTTGCCTCGTAAAAAAAGTTTTTATGGTACAACAACTCATCATCTTCTTCCCACTTTACTCCGTAATGTTTTACTTGCAATGTTTTGACATTATCAGCCTTTTCTTGATTTACCTTTACGTCTTATTATGGTATAATAGCACAAAATAAACAAGATAACTTTTTTATAATTCTTAAAACGATAAAACGTATATATACCTATTTTAAATATATTTTTAAGTGCAATTTACTGCAATAGAACTTAAAAGAGTATGTACCAGTAAAAAAAACACAAAATTAAATCTCTAAAATACGTTATAACATCAAATGTTAGGATATCAGGTGACATAAATTACTAATTTCTAATGGTGGAATTGGAGATTGTATACTTTGCTGCAAATCTATCAGTGGAGATTGTCGACTTTGCACTAAATGTCATTTTTAAAATAGGATTTTAGGCAGGATTTAGCTCCTTTTGCAGCACATAAACTTTATCAACTTATAGATAATTAGTTGAAGTACAGTCTCCGCCAAAAATCTATTTTTTGACCAAAAGTGGAGATTGTCGGTTTTGCTATGACAGGCCTCAAATGTATTGTTCTTTAGCGTATAGTTTTATAAAGCTAATTTGGTAGGTAAAATATCGAAATTATCGTTTAAAAATTATGCCTGAAGTGGCCAAGTGACATTAAAAGTTTTAATTTAAATCTAATTGACTTTTTTAGAGCAATCGTAACCGAAATTATAGACAGTGACGATCCATCTGACGCAATGATGGGACTTGTACCGTTCTTCCATTCATTTGGATTTATGCTTATGTTTTTGAACGTTATAAGAGGAAAACTGATGGTGGTCATTAGCAAATTTAAACCAAAGGTCTTTCTAGACGCTGTAATTAATTACAAGGTTAGTAAATGTGTAGACATAACAAAAAAAGTTTATTACGTATTTCAAACATTGCAAATATTACTCACAGGAAATTGTCATTTAACAAGGTTACGAATTTAAAACAATTTGTTTAACTTCAATTTAATTACCTGCAAAAAAAAAGATTTTTTGAACTATGCAGGAACCTTTATTAAATTATTAATTCGCATTTCGTTTTAATATTCTACTATCACTGCTCTGGGATATTCCCAAATCTCTAGATAATTCTCGTGTGCTTGCATGAGGATTAGCGGCCGTTGCTGCTAATACATTAATTTCATTATTTCTACCTGTGACTGTTGCTCGACGAACTCTTTTTTTCGGTTGAACACTCCCGTTTGTAGTAAACTGCTTGACTGTACGGTGGAATGAAGTACGTGATCGAATTTTATCCGGAAAACGCTGAGCGTAGATATTAACAGCATCGTCAAGATTCCTGCCTGCTTCTCCATAAATCAAAATATTTATATTTTTTATTCCACTATTAAAAAATCCATTATGAATAACTGCTTAACGAAAGGAGGTCTTTTGTTTGCAAATTAATCTTCGAACTAAATTGATTAAATAATTCTAAACTATAAATAGTTTCTTTATACCTCAATAATAATTATTATTTATAACCAAATACCATTTTTTTATACCTCAATTAGGATTAAATTAATTAATTGAAAAAATAATGTTTTTTTACCTTAAATGAGGTATTTCTATTAAAAATCGTACAATAATCCTTTAAATTAAAGGATTTAATGCTGGCAGGTAAAAAGTGACCATGGTGCGCAATTGATAATTATCACCGAATGAAATAATGTATAAAACTTAAACCAAAGGAAACTTAAATATTAGTTAAAAAATCGTGGGTACTTAAAAAATCAGATTTAATTTAATAAGATAATTATTACCAAAAAAAGTGGTATATTTATAGAAAAATTTTTGCAGAATCGTTTACGAGTCAATCCATATGAAAACGACGAAACTCGTTGCTCGGCCATCTTGGATTTTCATAAAATTTTATAAAAATATTCATTAGGGTCCCAAAGGACAAAATCCACCCTTATTTATGTTTTCGCATGTGTCAACTCCGGCCTAATCGAATTAAAACTTTTTAAAAACGTCATTTTTATGCTTTAATAATTTAAGCTGTAATTTTTTCTCTATTAAAGATATTTTAAATTTTAAGATGTCATTTTAAAGCTAAAAATAGTAGTTTTTATAAAAAAAGTATAAATTCGCTCAATCAATATTTCTAAATAATTATATATATATAAATAATTTTCGTGTTTTTTAAATACGTCCCATGTCTCGGCTGTTTAATATAAACAGCTATTTTTTTTTATATACCTATAAAGTTTACATACCAAAGACAAAATAAAACTTACAATTGACCAGTTTGGCATACGATTTCCAAACAAAAAAATTGCTTGAAATTTTAAAATTCTAGAAAATCTTATTATTTAGGCCATTATATAAAGATGTTGACTTCCAAATAGAATTATGAAATTTACAGGATAATTAGCCCCTATCTTAATGTTCAAATGTCTGGTAGTTTGGTTTTGGTATTTTCATCTTTAAAGGTTATACAATAGCTTTAAATGGAGAAAAATATTGAAATAATCGCATTATTTCATCCATTATACAGATTGTATAGAATCAAGTAAGTAAGGCTGGAGACAAGGATGACAAATTATATTCTGATCAGAGAAAAAGAAACAAACTTTAATTGGGCGTGGTTTAAACCAAGCCATTCGTAATTACGAACCATAGTTGCCAGGTTGTTTTAAATCAGAAGAGAACGATTATAATTATTTAATAAATAGTTCAATTTTAATTGTTTGAAACTTTAAAAATAACAAAAAAATTAATCATATGTCAAAAATAATTTGATTTAGTTAATTTTCTTACTTTTAATATTAAAAAATAAGAAAAACAACCCTTTTAGGAAACAATAATAGCATATGGCAACAGCGCGGCATGCAGTTTGATCTACTGTGTTTGTTCAGTATTTCCGACGCAGTCGTAGGGAAATGTGTATAGTTTTTAACAAATACCTATAGGTTTTTATAGGTATATGGTTTTTAAGATATACATTTTCGCCATTAACTGGAATTTAATGAATTTTATACAATACTTAGTTTTTATTTGCAGAAATGCATTAAAACAAAACAAACGAATTCGATAAAAATAAAACCTATAAATTCTCAATCCCTACCACAGTGGGCGGGGTTTGGCACTTGTTTTATTTAAGTGTATCTATTCGTTTTAATACACACTGTATAAGTATGTTGACTTTAATATAGAAATATGACATTAACAGGATGTTTTATCCTTACCTTGAAAATGAAATGTCTGTTTGATGACTTGTTTTGATATTTTCATTCATTTTGCTTATACATGGGCTTTAAAAAAGGCTAACACATGGAAAATTAAAAAACGATTCATTTTATCCTTAAATCATATAAATGTTAACTTCTAAATAGAAATATAAAACTTACAGAAAATTTAGTCCTTATCACAAAGTTTAAAAGCTTGTATAGCTCATTTGGCTTTTTTTTTATTTTTTTGTGATTGTACAAATGCTTTAAAAGCAGCAAAAAAATAATAAAATTTAAAAAAATCGCATAAGTTATTTGCATAAAGTACCTACATAAATATACATAGGCATGCATAAGCCAAACATCATAGTAAGGACTAAATATCCTGTAAGTTTCATGTTTCTATCTTGAAGTCAACACATTCTTAGAATAGAAAATTTAACAATAATCGTTTTTTAAATTTCAATATGTTTGCTCCTTTTAAAGTCCATGTAAAAGCAAAATGGATGCAAATATCAAAACAATTTAAATAGGCATTTAAACTTCAAGGTAAGGACTAAATATCCTGGTAATTTCATATTTCTATATTGAAGTAAACTTACTTATAAAATGGATGAAATAATGCGACTTTTTAATATTTCAATATCTTTCTCCTTTTAAAGCTACTGTATAAGCTTTAAAGATGAAAATAACAAAACCAAACTACCAGGCATTTGAACATCAAGGTAGGGATTAATTATCCTGTAAATTTCATAATTCTATTTGGAAGTCAACATCCTCATATAACGTCCTAAATAATGCAATTTTCTAGAATTTCAAAATTTCAAGCAATTTTTTTGTTTGGAAACCGTATGCCAAACAGGCCAATTGTTTTATTTTGTCTTTGGTGTAAAGTAAACTTTATATATAAAAAAAATTAGCTGTTAATATTAAACAGCCGAGACATGAGACGCATTTAAAAAACACGAAAAATTAGTAAAATACACGTTTTTTTAGCACCGTGTAATTATTTAGAAATATTGATTGAGTGAATTTATATATATTTTTCTAAACTACTATATTTTAGCTTTAAAATGACATCTTAAAATTTAAAATATCTTTAATAGAAAAAATATTACAGCTTAAATTATTAAAGCATGAAAAAGTGTTAATTCGAATAGGCCGGATTTGACACATGCGAAAAATTAAGGGTGGATTTTGTCCTTTGGGACCCTAATGAATATTTCTATAAAATTTGATCAAAATCCAAGATGGTCGAGCAACGAGTTTCGGCGTTTTCATATGGATTGACTCATACAGAAGAAAAATCTAACAAAATTGTTTTTTTTATTACAAATATGAAAAAATGTTTTAGACAAAATCTACCTATTTTAATTTTTATTTTAAACAAACCCTGTATATGGAGCATTTTCCGCTTGATGTGGGTATCAAATGAAAGAGCATTAATATTATTTCTAGGTGGCCAGAATGATTGTACCTCCACCGGTACTCATGGTATTGCTAAAGCATCCCCTAACAAAGAACTACGATTTGTCCGTAATCAAGGAAATCAGAAGTGGGGCCGCACCGCTGGGCAAAGACATGGAGCGCGAGCTGAAAGAGCGATTTCGGGTGAAGCAGGTCTCACAAAGCTACGGCATGACGGAAACCACGTTGGGAATCCTGATGACGCCGTACGGGAAATCTAAGGTTGGATCTTCGGGAAAAATTGTGCCCGGATGTGCAGTTAAGGTTAGTGATAATTTTATGTTTATATATTTAGTTCGGAAAACGGCCGTTGGATTTTTTTAAATAAACTCTTGAAAAAGAGAAAGAGAAAAATGGTCCCCTGGGTAACAAATTTACTAACATATTAAAAAAACTTATATAAAAATGCTTAATCATTTTGAAAATATATTTTTTTGCTTGTTAATAATCCTTTTAAGGCTTTATTTACACTAGGATTTGTTTAAAAAAACTAAGTAAAAGCAAAAACTATGTTCTATTTCTCAACTTTCTTACATACATAAGTATTTTTAATATATTTTATTTCCACCTTCTTAGTAAATGACATTTTATAGGTTAATTTTGTTGTTTTTGTATCCAAGTAAAAGATACATTATGGGAACAGACCTGTAATATTTTACGGGCTTGTATAAAAGACCTGTAAAGTTTTACAGGCTTGTAGAAAAGCAATTTATCAAATGAAATGTCACATTTGACATATTAATTAAAATTTTAAATTTGAAATTCTTTATCTAAAGGTGAAAATAAAAGTTTGTACGTGTCAAGCTTTGCAATTAATCTTTACTAGGCTCACTGTATTATGGGGTTCGCTCCTGCGTCGCTCACCCCACAAACTTTCAGCTCGCCCGTAAAGATTCATTTACAAAGCTTGACACGTAAATAACTATTATGTATTTAAAAAATGTCCATTAAAAAAAGTGAGTTTTTAATGCGTATTAAAAACGTTTTTCCTCGATTTTTATCTGGGCCCAGCTTGTCCAATTTAACGAGCAATAAATTAATAAAAAGTTTTAGTTATTAGTAATATTAATAAAATCGATATAAACATTGTTTCGTTGAACTACCAAAACATTTTTTCCAGCTTTGAGGCAAAATACATTGACTAGGACAATTACTATTAAATAGGTGGAGGACATTATTTTAAATTGGCTACGTACTGTCAGAAATAGAAAAGGTGAAATGTCGAAAAAAAAAATGTTTTAAAAACTTTCCTATAAGTTCATTATTATTTCAAAAATATATTATAATTTATTTCTTTGGAATTGTCACAATATGTAATCCAGGAGACGTGTGACCCAGGGGAAAAAATCTATGTTTTTAGAACATATCCTCTATACTGTTTTAAAGATAAAAATTTGTATTTTTGCCCTTAAAACCGTTACTAGGATACTTACTTTTGAGAATCAAACAAAGTCCAACCAGTACCTTTACTACTTTTTATTACTATGACACAGGAGAATGCACAGTTTTGTCACGCTGTTATAAAAAAATACAAAAAAACGTGTTGTGGCTTCAAGATAGTTCAAAACACCATTTCCCACTAAAATCCGTCACCAAATACATTGCCGCAAGGGGGCAGCACCAAAAAATGTGCGCTCAATTCAAAAGGTCATTTATAAAAGCTGTGACCCAGGAGACGTGACCTAGGGGACCAAAATTAAGGGACAAACTTGAGGGGTTATTTTAACCACTTGTATTTTTAAATATTACCGCAAATGGGCTTTTTCTGTAATATTTTGAATATATTCTCAACTATATAAAAAATGAGGATGTTATTTTACTGTAAGATGATTTTTGAAATATTATAGTTAAGGGACAGCAAATGTACAAGAAATTTGAAAATAACCCATATATCTGTACAGATAATCTGTGTATAAAAAAGGAAAAAAATACTGCTATTTAATTGTTTTTAAAATAAATCTACTTACTATCCTAACATCAATTTTTTCAAGCCCATACTAAGGAAATGTTTTGGATTTCCAGGTTTTTTTCTTTCGGCATTGTTTTTACAGATTTTCACTTGGCAGGTAGACATTTTTTACACTTGCAAAACTTTAAAATATCTTTAAAAAAACACTCCAATCTGATGGAGTGGTGGAAACAGAAGCGCAAGAACATACCTTGCTTTCTTGTACCATGCCAGGGCTGGATGCTCCCGTGTACGAGTTTTGGTTCGTGCCGCGCATGACGTCACTTGATGAGTAGTAGCGCGAATACACGAATAATAATAATATTATAAAAGAAAATAGAGAAAAATCTGGACATAGTGCGTTTTTATTAAACTTATTATTGAAAAAAGTGTTATCATAGGGATAATAGATGCTTTCAGTCCTTGATAACATTTAGGGCTGTAGTTTAAGCGTTGGTGTTTTAAATTAAACTTACTGTCCAGAAAATGCTTAGTGGAAACAAAAGCGGTCTTAACGTTAATATTGTCTATTCTTTTTGTGGCATTTAACCACTGTTTCCACAAATCAAAGTTTTTCGGGAATCGATTAAATTTAATGTTTTTATTTAAAGGGTTTTTCTTGGACTGGTTGTCCGAATTGCACCCAAATATGCCACACCGCATTTTAATAAATGCAAATGGCACGACACAAACTAAAACACAAACTAAACAAGTTAACGCAACACAAAAACAATAATAAACAAACACTGAAAAGTAATTCGAACCTTACCGAACGCAAAAACAACAAGTTAAACAAAAACAGCATCGCAAAAACAAGAATTTTAGCAGCCGATAATTAAAAAACACGTTCAAGATTTAAAAACACTCATCAAGTGACGTATTTAATTAGGCGGCAATTGCGCACCATCCTATCTTAAGGTGTATGTATCTTGGTACTATGCTCCACACCTCAAAGTCCCACCACGTGATCACGTACGGAACGCAGTCTTTTGAAAATTTGGCATTTAAGGCTTTCCAGGTTATGTATCTGTCAAAGTATAGTCAACGAAAGAAATAATATTATGTTTAGGCGTTACAAATGTATAAATCTTTACAACATTACAATAAAAATGGATGGTTTAAGAATTTAAGAATATAAGAATATACATACTGCATTTAATGAAATTCTAAAGTCTATGGTGCCAAATAAGTAATATTTTTGTGCATTTGGTCCAAATATCTGGTTTTCTCCATACAATAATTTTAACTAACAGCATTTATTAAAAAAAAATCTAGCTTCTCTATTACGGAATAAGAATATCTGTTTTAAAGGTAGGTTAATATATTATAACAAAAATATCATCTAATTTTGTAATTTTAAGGTTAGAAAAATTTATTTTGACCAAAATAAATAAGTATTTTGGATTATTTAAAAGACTGTATAATATGGAATTAAAAATGTGGTAGTTTTTCTTATCCAGCTTAAAGTGTACCTACATAAAGTTTTGTCAATGCAAATAGTTAAAAAGCTTCAACTGAACTTGATCTACATCGAAAAATCATTATAACTTTAAAAATTTTAATAAATCACATGTCATGGAGTATTAAATATTTTCACATTGCAAGTTTCTCTAAAAATTGTTTGTTTTCTTATAATCTAACTTAAAGTTAGGTATGCCAAGAGGTATGCACAAGTTTTGTCATTAGAAGTATAAAAGCTTCAATTTAATTTGAACCATATTCAACAATTATTTAGTATACCTATATTTATTTATGACCATATTAACACACTCTTTTAAATAATCCACTTATTTATTTTGGTCAAAATAGATTTTTCTAACCTTAAAATACAAAATTAGATGATATTTTTTTTTCTAATACATTAACCTACCTTTGATACAGATATTCTTATTTCATAATAAAGAAGTTAGATTTTTTTTAATAAATGCTGTTTAGTTAAAACTATTTTATGGAAAAATGTAGACCCAATGCACAAAAATATCACTTATATTGCACCTTACACTTTGGAATTTCATTAAATGCAGTATTTATATTCCTAAATTCTTAAACCAACCATTGTTATTGTGATACTATAAAGATTTATTAACTTTTAACGCTTAAACATAAGCGGTAACACTATAAATATTATTTCTTTTGTTGACTATACTTTGACAGATACATAACCTGAAAAGCCTTAAATGCCAAAGTTTCAAAAGACTGCGTTCCGTACGGTGTCACGTGGTGGGACTTTGAGGTTTGGAGCAGAGTACCGTGCTCCCATTCAAAATAATATCAAATTCGGTATGACAAGAAGACTCGATCGACATTTTAGGTAATAGACGAAAGCGGTAAAGCTCTCGGTCCGAACCAAGAGGGCGAGATGTGCTTTAAAGGTCCGTTGATCATGAAAGGCTACGTCGGAGATTTGGCATCGACGGCTGCCACCATCGATGAAGATGGATGGTTGCATACCGGCGACGTAGCCTACTACGACGAAGAAGGATATTTTTACGTGGTCGATCGCCTTAAGGAACTCATCAAGTACAAAGGATTCCAAGTAAGTAAACATGTACTGCAGGGTTGTTTAATTTAACGAGACCACTACTTTATGACCAATTTTAATGTGTGTTATACCACATAATGGTTGTTAAATTTAAATTAGTAAGTAGATGCATTTTTACAAATTTTAAAACTCTTATTAAGTACAGACAAAATACCCGCAAAGAATTTAGTTGAAAGGTTTAATTGATAAGGTCAAAATTGGGACAAATGCGAATAAAAGATATACATTAGGGTGAGCCAAAAAAACTAACCTATCGGATTTATGGGTTAAAATGAACCTACATACCGAGCAAAAAATTTCCCTGCAAGGCAAAATTTTTTGCTCAATTTTAAAAGGTGTCGGTGAGCATTCTAAGTTTTCCATTGAAATAACACGTAAAAAAATCTTTTTTCATTAAAAAGACTATAACTTTTGAACCGTTTGAGATAAAATTTTTTACGTCGCGGATTCTTGTAGAGCATAAAATTTCCCAAAGAATCTATACCAGGATTATTTTTTTAATTCAAAAATTCGTATGTTTGAAAGCTAAGAGTATTTTCTGTTTAGTTTAAGGATTTTTTTATATATTCAAATATTATGGTTTACTTGTTTATATTTGAGGCTTGTCAGAGCAAAGTCAACAATCTTCCGTCAGACTAAAACTGAGTAAATTGAATGTCATTTTTAAAATAGGATTTTGGGCAGGATTTAGCTCCTTTTGCAGCACATAATCTTTATCATCTTATAGATAATTAGTTAAAGTACAGTCTCCGCCAAAAATCTAATTTTTGAACAAAAGTGGAGATTGTCGGTTTTGCTATGATAGGTCTCATTTATTGGGTCGGATATTCCACGATAATCGGAAATTTTTATCCTGAACGTCAGAAATTGTATTGTGACGGTAGGGATAACAATTTCTGATTATCGTGGAATATCCTTATCTAATAAATATCTACCTACCACATTTAATCCACCATAATAGATACTACACTTATCCATTAAAAATTATTTAAATAACCACTATAGAATCTTTAATACAGCAATATATCAGCAACTTTAGCTTGCCACATTTGTACCTTTAATCTTAAATATCAAAAAATGTAATGGTTCTTGTAGGTGCCTTTATTGTCTGTCGTTACATGTCCATTAAAGGAAAACGCGACATAATATGTTCAGTTCCATTAGAGTTAGCCAGTTCTGTTGAGTTAGCCTTTAGTTCATTAAAGGCACGTTTATAATAAATTACACTAGTTTACAGCTATTTTGCCCACCATGTCTCACCATGATAAAATCACACTTTTTTTTTTTAATTTTCTGAGGTGTTTTGACGTTTTAAAGTATACTTCGAGTTCCAATTTTCTAATTGATCGATTTTACCAAACAAGCTCTTAAATCAAAGGTAATTGAGCCCTCTACAACTTTCTCTTGTATAGTTTTGGTATCGGCTCAGTACTTCGATATTGGCGAAGTTGAAAAAATCAAGGTTGAAAATTTACATATCTTTCTGGGAAAGATAGAAATCGAAAAGATAAGTCCAGTTTGATTTATTTTACGTATAAATTGTACTTAAAGGAAAAAATATGCTGCTGTAGATAAAAATCCGTGGATAAATGGCGAAGTTATGAATTTTTCAGTGGAAGAACAAAATTCAGTTTTCCGAGAATTTTTACGTTTTTTCTTCATTTTATTGAATTATATAATTATTTTGAACGCTGATTTTTATTTTAAACATTAAATATTGAAATTAAATTATATATTGAATATTGAACAATAAATATTGAACATTAAAGATATTAAAAGTATATTTTGTTGTAATAAGCATAGGTTTAAAAAAAGTTCTGGCTTCTTCTTTGTTTTTTGTTGCTTTCGTATTCGGTTTTTGGTATGAGGGAGCAAATGTAATCAGCCATCATGGCTGCATCCCAGAAGCCATGATACCGCCGTTCCATAGCCTTCTTTGCTGGTGAAAACGTTCTCCGTGCTCATCACTTACGTCGCCCAGATTGTGCGGGTTATTTAATGCCTTGTTGAAATATCAAAAAATAGCAGTAAAATGTCACTAGGCCAACACGAGAAACAAAAGAACTCACGTTAGCGGAGTCATGTCAAATTTAAATTTTGAATGTGTTCGGTGAAAAAGTATGTAAAAAACTCAAAAAATTCCAATTATGCACTTTACTTAGGTTTTTATTAAAGAATAAACATACATATTACAAAATAAAAGAACAAAATAAAATAAAAATCGTCAAAAAGCTGAATTTTGGTCTTCCACTAAAAAATTCATAACTTCGCCATTTTTCTATGTATTTTTATCAACATTAGCTTGTTTTTTTGTAAAAAGCTTCACGAAAAAAATTCAAACTGGAGTTATCTGTTTGATTTAAACCTTTCCCAGGCAGGACGATATGTAAATTTTCGACCTCAATTTTTGCCATAAAAACGAATTTTGTAAGTTATTAAAATCGCTAGGGTCAATATACTTAACCGATATCAAAAGCATGTAAAAAAAAGTTTTAGAGGGCTCAAGTACCTTCAATTTAAGGGCTTGTTTGACCAAATCGATCAATTAGATTTCAAGATATACTCATAAACGTCAAAACACCTCAGAAAATTGAAAATTCATATTTTAAAAACGCTTCCATAAAAAAAAATTAAGTGTGATTTTCGTGTTAAGTGGGTGAAAATACATGGAAAAATTATAATGGGATATGGTGGGCAGAATTTTTTTTCGATTTTGTAAACTAGTCTATAACTCCTGTATATTTATGTGATATATTTTAGGTAGCACCGGCAGAATTGGAAGCACTTCTAGTCACTCATCCTTGTGTGGAGGATGCCGCTGTTATTGGTATTCCGAATGAAGACGCTGGGGAGTTACCTTTAGCTTTCGTCGTTAAAAAGTCAGGAAAAAATATCACTGAACGAGAAATCGAGAAATTTGTTGAAGGTAAGCTTATTATTGTTTTTAAACTCAGATACCTAACCTCAATTCAAGTGGACCATTTTGATGTGATCGTTTTTTATTTTTCAGACAATGTATCCCACACCAAAAGACTACGTGGTGGGGTAATATTTTTAGATGAAATTCCCAGGAATCCAACGGGAAAAATACTAAGAAGAGTACTTAGAGACAGAGGTGTTAAACAAACATCAAAGCTTTAAATTAATTTGCCCATAGACCAATTCAACAACCATAGTATTATTATTTATTTGTGTTAAATAATTTTATTTACTTATCATTTTGTTAGTTTTACCTTTTTTAATGTACCCTTGTTATACATTTTATTAAAACATTTTTAAAATTTATTGTTGTTTTTTATTAATTTTTTTTATTGTAAACAACTGTATTGAATCGTGATTTGTTTTTATATTTTTCGCCTCTATTCCTATGCACGACTATATTTAAAGTCAAACTCAGTGGTGTCTTTCAAGATACATTATTTTGATTTTCTATATTCAACAGAGAGGTAGAAACTCGACCCTGTCGAATGGCGCAGTCATTTATGTCTCTAGAAATTATTGAAAAAGGGGGTAGTCCAATGGTGCAGCAACTTCGGATTTTTATTCTCTTCAGAGACATAGAAACTCAAGCTTTTCGAATTTTACTGGCAATGATTTTCGTTAATGTCCCCGAGAATTATAAAAAACAGCGCAATGCAATATCGCAACGGTTTCGACTTCTCTTTACTCTACCAAGTTATAGAAACTGCAGTCTCTCTAATACTGTTCTAGTCAATATTTCTGAGAGCATAAAAAGAGTGTGTAATTCAATATTGCAAGAAGTTTTGACCTTTTGATGGATGCAAATATTTTGAATATTCTCATTTCTGCATATGATTTTGTTGAAAACAGTTCCTTTCTTTGGTTCCTTTGTCTGATTTTTATTTATCTCAACAACTCAGGTATGTAAAGCACAGAAGATATGATGTAAAGTATATTTATGTATTATATAAAGTACCTATATTTGTATTAAAAGTTTCAGAGGTTATGTTGAAAAAACGATCGATATGCTATTAAAATTAATAATTTAGTAATGAGGTCTGTTGGTAGACCCTGCACTATCACTATACAGCAATATTTAAATCTGGTTGATCAAAAAGTACACACCAGTGCAGGTTATTGTAGCATCTAAGAACAAATGAATTAATTGCCCATTGGCAATTAATCCTTTAGGAAAAATATTCAACACAGCTTAATTAATTAATAAAATGAAAAAAATCATGATTTTATGACATAATTTGTTATTTTAAAACGCAAAAACCATTAATTTTAAATAATATTTATTAACAATAATTTTATGGCATTACATTTTTAAAATTAAATTAGCTGTAACCCCGGTTGCGGCCTAAATTGTGGCGGCAAGTTTTTTCTGGATTGAGGGGCTTGAACCGTTTTTCTTTGTGGTGCCAACTCTTCTTCTTCTTCTTGTTCCGGTTGGTCGCATTTCAGACCGGTCTCGTAATTGTACTCGCGTTTAACACCGTCTGGGTCAATGTATCCATATTTACCTAAAAGTAAATGAATTTTATCTCCACGCGGTCTATAATTTAAACTTTATTGTTGTCAACATTCGATAAAGAAATACCTTGTTATGGCCTAGGCCGATAAAAAATTTTATGAGGCAAGTAATTAGTTCGATTTTTTCTCGCTAGGGGTATTGTTTTGTCAAATTAATCCTTTTTTAAGAAATTAACGTACTAAACTGGTTTAATTTATTTATAATAAGCACTAAATTGTTTGTTTTACTGTTAATGTTTATTATTTTTCATTAAATTATTGTAAAATTAAATATGAATAATAAAACAAAAAGTGAGGCTAGGCAACCAAGAAAACGCACGATTCTTTTTCAACGATTTTAAGTTTTCAGTGAAATTAAATGTTAAACACAGCTTAAACATTCCAAACTACCTATTTTTTAAATAAAAATCCAAACAAATTGAAATTAGATACCTACCTATTTATTAAACAATTAATTGAATTCAATGTAATAGCAAAAATCCATTTCTACTTAAATCATGTTGCTAGGTATTGTCACCCATAATATAACAAGTGGTATGATTATCATCGATGATATTTTCAAATTGAAACAGAGCTGCAGATTTCACGAGTCCGCAGGACGAGTGAAATGTGCTGCTTCGGTTTTAATGAGTAAATATCATCGATAATTAATCATACCACGAGTTATATTTAGTGAGAAAATATAATGAATTTTAGGATTTAACGAATTTTTAGTTTGACATTTGAAATTAAAATGTGCTTTAAAATAAAGGGTGGGCCATGTTTATGTTGAATTATAAAATAGCAATGAGAACAAGAAAAACTGATTTTTTTTCAACGAATTTTGCTTTATTTGATACAATGTTTCTTCCGATTAAGTATGGAAAATGATTTTATTTAAGTGGCCACCTCAGCTGGCTCAGCAGTAGCCCATCCTGGAACACCAATTTTCGAGCACTTTGTCAAAAGTTTGCTGCTCTATTTGGGCAATTTGAGCTTGAATGTTTTGTTTTAAATAGTGAATAGGCTTTGTTACGGCGACGTGTGGATTTTCCGTGGCCCAAATCCTACAGTTTTGCTTGTTGACATAACCTCCGAGGTAAAAATGCGCCTTACCGAGAAGATGATTTTTCTTGCAAAATTAGGGTCATCGTTCAACTGGTTTAAAGCCCACTCAGCAAAGCGAAAACGTTGTGGATGGTCAACTTGCTTTAACTCCTGAACAAGCTGGACTTTGTACGGAAACATACCGAGGTCTTTGTGCAGAATCATCTTCAGAGTGGTACGGGAAAGGCCGAGTTGTTGACATCTGCGCCGAGTTGATGTTGACGCGTTCATGCGTACATTTTCGGCCACAGCAGCGATTGCTACAGGTGTACGTCTAGGACGAGCATGCGAAACATGTTTTATGTCCACCAGCATTCCATTTCTGGGCAATTTTTTGATCAAATTTGTAATACTTTGGTTTGACGGCGCCTCATTTCTTCCAAACGCAATTTTCTTGCCGTCTCTGCGATCACAGTCACATTCAAAGTAAGTTTTGAGTATTTAGAAACGTTGATCCAAATTTATTCGGTGCATATTTTGTAATCGGAAGGTTAAAACTAAACCACTGTCAACAATTCATGGCGCTTAAGTTGAAAGTTTCATTAATAGCACGTAGTTTAAAATTCAACTTATAGATGGCCCACCCTTTATAAAAAGACTTTAATAAACCTTATTTATTCAAACTTACCTTAATTTCATTATCGTTTACACCAACCCATCGATCTTTTATAATTCATTATTTTATTGATATATATCAAAAACAGAATTTAAATGACAACAAATGTCAAATCAAAAAAACGTCAAAATTCATAGTAACGTGTAAACAAGATGATAAAAATTATTGCCGCTGTGATAAAATACGTCACTATGGAATACTGGCATTTTATTGGTTCTAATATTAATGAATTGTATTGTCAAACTATTACTGCTTCCAAAAGCAATAATAATTATTGTACATTTAATGTAATCTTTAGCTAATAAATAAATGATATTCTAAAAAAGTGAGGTTAGGCCGCTTTGATGTTGAATTAAAATGACCTATATAAAGTGCTTTGAAGATAAAATGTTGTATGCCATTCGGCCAAGAAGTGCTTAGCACAAAAAGCCTTACTTCTTAACCTAATGACATAAATAACTATTTTTTTAATTTTATTGATTTGTGGTGTGCAAATTTTTTTTGGTAACCCCCAAGGTCGACAAACAGATCTAGTTACCTCTTGTGATGCAATCTATTCCCAAGGTTTCTTCTTTAAAGGTACCATCCTCGTTTTCAAATCCCCAGGAAATACTGCCATCGGGATTGTCGGTTCTAAATTTGCTTAAAATTTGCACCACTGGCTTTTTCCTTCTGTCAGCTTCAGCTTCGCTATCATAGGTTGGACGAGATGCAGGTCTACGCGTTTGGACAGGCTGTTGTTGAGGTTGCTGTTGCCTGACCTTCAATAAAAAAAATTCTTGTTTTATGAAGTTGTTGAAAAAGTCCTTTTTTTTACAAAAATCGAGGTCGAAAATTTACATATCTTTCTAGGAAAGATATAAATCGAAGTTTGATTTATTTTTGAAGATATTGAAAGTTTTATTTTGTTGTAATAAGCATAGGTTTAAAAGAATTCTAGCTCCTTCTTTGTTTTTTGTTGCTTTGGTATTCCGTTTCTCGTATGAGGGACCAAATGTAATCACCCATCATGGCTGCATCCCAGAAGCCGTGATACCGCCGCTCCATAGCCTTCATTTGCTGGTGAAAACGTTCTCCGTGCTCATCACTTACGTCGCCCAGATTGTGCGGGTTATTTACGCACTCGAACTCTCTACTTCTTTTACTCATTTTACACTTTTTAATAACTAAATAAAACCGTGATAAAAATTCCATGTTGAAATATAAAAAAATAGCAGTAAAATGTTAATATGACAACACGAGAAACAAAAGAATTCACGTTTGCGGAGTCATGTCAAATTTAAATTTTGAATAATGTTTTCGGTGAAAAAAGTACGTAAAAAACTCATAAAATTCCAATCATGCACTTTAATTAGGTTTTCATTAGAGAATAAACATGTTCCAAAATAAAAGAAAAAAATAAAATAAAAAACGTCAAAAAGATGAATTTTGATCTTCCACTAAAAAATTCATAACTTCACCATTTTTCCATGTATTTTTATAAACATTAGCTTTTTTTTTGTAAAAATGTTAGCTTCACGAAAAAAAATCAAACTGGAGTTATCTGTTTGATTTAAATCTTTCCCAGGACGATATGTAAATTTTCGACCTCAATTTTTACCATAAAAACGAATTTTAAGTTATTAAAATCGCTAGCGTCAAAATACTTATCCGATATCAAAAGTATGTAAAATAAAGTTTTAGAGGGCTCAAATACCTTTAATTTAAGGGCTTGTTTGACAAAATCGATCAATTAGATTTCAAGCTATACTCAAAAACGTCAAAACACCTCCGAAAATTGAAAAAATAATTGAAAATTCATATATCAAAAACGCTTCCATAAAAAAATATTAACGTTATTAACGTTCCAAGTTAGCCTAATTTGTAATTGGGTAATTTGTTAAAAAAAAAAGTTAAAGAATTGACATGGAATCTTTTAAACAATGTTTTAAGATTCCAAAAATTCCACCCCTATTTCCGCAAACCGAATGGCAAAAAAGTTATAGGGTATTTTTGATTGACGCGCATTTTTCAAATTTTAACTAAAAAAACAGTAATTTTACTAAGAATTTTATGTAGAATTTAAAAATGTAAAAATATATGGGGTGTTCTATTTAAAATAACAAAATTGGATGGAAAATTAAAGATTTTAGTTTTTTTCTTATAAATATATGGAAATGATTATTTACGTTTACTCAAAAATAAGAATATTTGAATTTTTAATAATAGTTTTATAAAAACATCCAAAAAAGTATAGTAATTGGACACATGGACCATAGTTATTGGACATACAATTTTTATATAAACATGTTATAACAACTTTTCATAAAATAACATAAATTGTAAAATATTTTTTAAAGATAAATTGCTGTTTTAGGTAATTTTTTTTATTTTGTTTTTGTAAATATGATATAATTCATATATTTCTTTCTCGGATTCCTCATCCCTTTTCTGGATTCTGAAGGTAACTACTAATTCCTTGGTCTGACTTCTGAAATAGTTTGTTGCAAATATCAAGTGTGGTATCTCTAGTTTGTGAAGCATTTATGATGTTTAGGCCGGAACACGATGATTTATATACATATATATGTAATATTTTTTCGGGTGGTATGTTAAAAGTATTTTCCGAATTATTAATTTTGCCATTAGTTTTTTATGTTCTCTTCAAGATGTCCTGTGACGAAGAAATCACTATATTACTTACTCTCTAAAAATTAATTATTTAAAAATGTCATAGCGAAAAAGCAGCCACTAATAATTCTCGTCAACAGCAATTTGTATCCAGGACATTTATAGAACAGTTTTTGAAATATAATCAATTTTACATATAATATGGAATTGACTATATCTCAAAAACTGCTTAACTTTTTATAGTTTTTGACGGTCTTTTCGGATTCAGGGGACAATTTTACATAAGAATTGGCTGGTAAATGTCCGGGATACAAATAGAGTATGATATTGGACATATGTCCAATAATAGAAATTTACATTTTTACCAACCAGTAATTGGGCACTGGCCATTTTAGTGTTTGTTTTTAGAATTAAAATTAAAACGCATTAAAGTGACAATGTTTAAACCATGAGGAACACATTTATACCACACACTGATCTGTACACTTTTTAGAAATATTTTTTATTGTTATTTAAACACAGCCCTGCTCTTAACAAAAAAACAAAAATCTTACCACCAAAGTAACGTGCGAACTTTTTTGTCCTATATTGGACCCAAAATAAAGCAGTTCTATATTATTACCGATTGAGATATAATTGTATACAGCGCCATCTAATGATTGTCCAATAACTATAAAGTGTCCGATAACTGTCTACTTTACCATATAACAAAAAACTAAAGATCCCACACAAGTAGGGTTGGGACAGTTGAAATTTTCAAATGAAAATTTTAACTTTGAAAGTTTCAAACTTGAAATATTTAATTTAGTTGGAAAAGTGAAATTTTTAAAAATTTCAAATGAAATTTTCAATTCGAAAATTTCAACATTTCATTGAAAGTTTCGCAATTTACTGAAAATTTCGCATAAATTTCACATGCGGCCTCCCCTGGGACCTTTAATAATAATTTACAACAGATTTCGAATCGACCAATAAGAACGAGTTATCAAGCGTCTGGGCGTTTTTGTTTAGTTCGGCTTGGATTTGAATACACTATAAGTAATTATTGTTACTTATATGCATAAATTAATTTAAATAATTTAATGCAGTTACCAATTTAATTTGTAAATTAAATCAGACTTCAATTTTTTTTAAAGTCATGATTAATTTAAACTTTTACTTTTGCTATAATTGCATCGGAAAACGGATAAAAAAATGCCTTTGGCTAATAAAATTTTGATGAAGTTTCTTCAATTTTTGTAAAATTTCAGCAAAATATTTAAAAATAATAAATATATATAAATATAAAACAATGAAAGTGGCACAATCTCATTAGCTTACCAAAAAGTGCTATATCTCTCTTAGTTTTAGTAATTTTAAAAATATTTTAAAAGGAAATCTCAAGAAATTTGTGGTAAACCTAGGTATTTACTATTTATATTATTGGTGCAGGGGCCCACAGAGGGGTAGGAGGTAAGAGAGGCAATTTGCCATGGTCCCCGAGTGGGCTTATTTCAATATTAATATATTACACTTAAAGTGATTGAAATTTATTGAAAGTTTTAATAAATTTCATAAATATCATGAAATTTCAGACATTTAGGAAATTTTAATAAATTTCATAAATGTCGTGAAAATTTCAAGTCCAAGCAAAAAGTGAAATTTCCCAACCCTACACACAAGGTTTCACTTACTGGCTGTCTGACGACTTGTCTGATTGGCTGTTGAACGGGCTGCTCTTCCCTGTATTCCTGTTGCTTCTGGGCTCTTTGAGGAACGTCGCCTCTGAAAATCGGGCCCCTTTGGGCGGGTTGTATCGGTTCCGGTCTTTGAATCGGTTTCTGTACCGGAGCGGGTCGGGCAATGGGTCTGGGATGCTCCCGAATATTTTCCCTCAGGATCGGAATCGGTCTCTGGGGCCTGAAAGGCAATGGCGCTGGTTGTTCTTGTTCCACTTCTTCTTCGGAAACAGCGTCGCGAAGAGCAGATTGAAGAACGGAAAGACCTAATAAAAATGTTATTGTTTTATGCTAATCCAGCTATACCCATGATAGCAAAATTTGATTTTAAGAATCTTCTAAGAAGATATGACCCGGAATAATGGAATATTCTTAGAACCTTCCTTTATTGCTAATAATGTTCTTAGGGACTTTTAAAACATTCAATAGATACCCTTTTAACGATGCAATTAGATTCTTAAAAGCTTCTTAAAACCTTCCTAAAAGCATCCTAGAACATTTTAAGAATACGTTTTTGGAAGGTTCTTAGAAGGTTTCTTATGGAGCTTCTAGTAAGCTTTTGAGAATATTTACAAATATGTCAGATACCCACGTTCTACATTCGTAAAAATCTTCAAGAGACAACAAATACGCCTCACTGTCATAATATGACAGTGATTTGTACTTGTCGTCCCCTTAAAAAATTTTGCGACATATTAATATATATTTATTTAAAAATATTAAATAAACAATTTTACCTCTAAACCATAAGTTGTATGACATTATTTCATAAAAAGTAAAATTGGAAATTTTGTGGGATAAGTCAGATTAGATTGAAATTGAAGATAGTTGGGATCATTATACATAAAAATGTTAATTCAGAAATAAAAAATCGGTATACAAATTAATAAATATTTATTTTTATCATAAAATAAAATATAAAAAAAAAAACAAAATATTTCCTTATAAAATAATTCTTCATAAAAGAAAAAACATTTTTCATTGTATTTAAGTTGGATAGAAGATTTTATGTAAAAGCCGGATAATTTAGATACCTATAGTAAAAGTATTTTTGTTATCAAATATTGTTTTAATTTGACAAATAACTATAAAAAAATATTTTGGGTTGTGTTTTTTACTTAGTATTTAATACTAAGTATAGGTACCTTTATACGTAGATTATGGTATATTTCACTATTATATAGGAACCTAACTGAACTGAATATGCTTAACAGAATGTTCCAGGAATATTCCTAATTGAACTTTCTATAGCAATTACTTTCTCAACATTCTAAGCATATGTTTAGAGTGGATTAATTTTTACCACTAAACTTTGCATCTTCTAAGAACCTGCCTATAGACCAGTGAGAATATTCTTAGGATTATGCTATATTTCTTTTAATCATGTTCTTTAGAAGAAATATAGCATGATCCTAAGAATATTCTCACTGGAAGGTTTATAAAACATTTTTAGAACATGACTAGAAGAAATATAGCATGATCCTAAGAATATTCTCACTGGAAGGTTTAAAAAACATTCTTAGAACATGACTAGAAGAAATATAGCATGATCCTAAGAATATTCCCACTGGAAGGTTTAAAAAACATTCTTAGAATAATCCTAATAATATTAATAATAATAATAATGATCCTAAGAATATTCTCACTGGAAGGTTTAAAAAACATTCTTAGAACATGACTAGAAAAAATATAGCATGATCCTAAGAATATTCTCACTGGAAGGTTTAAAAAACATTCTTAGAATAAACTGTGCTATCAGGGATATAGCATGATCCTAAGAATATTCTAACTGGCCTATAGGCAGGTTCTTAGAAGGTGCAAAGTCTTAGTGGTAAAAATTAGTCTACTTTAAACATATGCTTAGAATGTTAAGAAAGTAATTGCTATAGAAAGTTCATTTAGGAATATTCCTGTTAAGCATATTTAGTTCAGTTACCTATATAATAGTAAAATATACCATAAACTACGTATAAAGGTAATTAGTAATTAGTATTAAATACTAAGTAAAAAACACAATCCAAAATATTTTTTATAGTTATTTGTCAAATTAAAATAATATTTGATAAAAAAAATACTTTTACTATAGGTATTTTATTTTATGTTAAAAATAAATATTTATTAATTTGTATACCGATTTTTTATTTCTGAATTAACATTTTTATGTATATAATCCTAACTATCTTCTACTTCAATCTAATCTGACTTATCCCACAAAATTTTCCAATTTTACTTTTTATGAAATAATGTCATAAAACTTATGGTTTAGAGGTCAAATTGTTTATTTAATATTTTTAAATAAATATATATATTTAAGGGGACGACAAATACATTTCACTGTCATATTATGACAGTGAGGCGTATTTGTCGCCTCCTGAAGAATTTTACGAATGTAGAATACAACATATTAGAACGTGGGTATCTGACATATTTGGAAACATTCTCAAAAGCTTCCTAGAAGCTCCATAAGAAACCTTCTAAGAACATTCCAAAAACGTATTCTTAAAATGTTTTTTAGGAAGGTTTTAAGAAGCTTTTAAGAATCTAAATGCATCATTAAAAGGGTATCTATTGAATGTTTTAAAAGTCCCTAAGAACATTCTTAGCAATAAGAAGGTTCTAAGAATATTAAATTATTCCGGGTTATATCTTTTTAGAAGATTCTTAAAATCAAACTTTGCTATCAGGGGAAGTAATCGGCAATTTTTTAAATTGTACCCCCTTCTTTCTCAATTTTTTTAAATCACGGACCTACCTAATTTGTTTACTTCGTCATCAAAATTTCCAACTGGTGTTTGATTATCTTCTGGTTCTTCCACCACAGGTCTGATCTCCCTTATGGGTAGTGGTACAGCGTTTGGAATTTGTTGAGGACGACGTAACCTGAAACAAAAATTTTAATTTAAGTTAGAAAAATTTGTAGGTACATAAACTATTTTTGCTGTTAAAAGGTAAATATTTTAAAACGTTGTAGGTACGTAGATTTCATATAGTATGTGTCATTATACTATTATATATATATACAGGGTGAGTCAACTTTAAAATATCTCAGCTCTGGAATATGCCCAAATCTCTAGATAATTCTCGTGTGCTTGCATGAGGATTAGCGGCCGTTGCTGCTAATACATTAATTTCATTATTTCCACCTGTGACTGTTGCTTGACGAACTCTTTTTTTCGGTTGAACACTCCCGTTTGTAGTAAACTGCTCGACTGTACGGTGAAATGAAGTACGTGATCGAATTTTATCCGGAAAACGCTGAGCGTAGATATTAACAGCATCATCAATATTCCTGCCTGCTTCTCCATATATCAAAATCATTTCTATTTTTTCTTCCACTGTTAAAAATCCATTATGACGAAACAGGTCTTTTTGTTTGCAAATTAATGTTCGAACTAAATTGATTAAATAATGCTAAACTATAGTTTCTTTATACCTCAATAATATTTATTATTTATGACTAATTAGTAATAATACCATTTTTTTATACCTCAATCAGAATTAAATTAATTAATTGACAAAATAATGTTTTTTTTAACCTTAAATGGGGTATTTTTATTAAAAATAGTACAATAATCCTTTAAATTAAAGGATTTAATGCTGGCAGGTAAAAATTTACCATGGTGCGCAATTGATAATTATCACCGAATGAAATAATGTATAAAACTTAAACCAAAGGAAACTTAAATATTAGTTAAAAAATCGTGGGTACTTAAAAATCAGATTTAATTTAATAAGATAATTATTACCAAAAAAGTGATATTCTTTTGGAAAAATTATTACAGAAGAAAAATCGAACAAAATTGATTTTTTTCATTACTGCCCCATCTATTACAAATATGAAAAAATGTTTTAGACAAAATCTACATATTTTTAGTAGAATGATCCGAATCTGCAATAAAAAATAGGGTGTTCCATTGGAAATTTTAAGTTACCCCCTGTTCCCCCTATTAGGAGGAGAGTATGAGGACCATTTTTAGTACTGATTGATTTCCCCCTCGAATCATTTAATTTTTATTTTAAACATTTTTTCGTAAAATGCATACTAACTGAGTTATTTTAAAGTTTTAAGTTAAATGACTCACCCTGTATATTATATAGAGGTTATTAATCTGTGATTATACCATTAAGGCTCTCTGCCATTTGTCAGTTGTCCCTAACATTTTTTATTTAAAAAAATAATAAATTAAGACAGCTAATATGGAAATAGATTCATCGCTATTGTTATTTTGCGCGAAAATGAATGCTTAATATTAAATTTTATAATTCAATAAAATAAAGAAAAAACGTAAAAATGATCGAAAAACTAAATTTTAGTCTTCCACTGAAAATTTCATAACTTTATCCATGGATTTTTATCAACAGCAGCTTATTTTTTTCCTTTAAGTAGAATCTATGTAAAATAAATCAAACTGGAGTTAACTTTTCGATTTCTGTCTTTCCCAGAAAGATAAGTCAATTTTCGACATCGATTTTTGTAAAAAAGGACTTTTTCAACTTAATAAAATCGCTAGTATCGAATACTCGCTTAGAATTTGCAGTATTTAATTTTTTTTTCATGTAAAATAAACCAATTTCTTTTCTTTTAATTAATGCAACATTTTATGTTTTTTAATTATAATTGTTTTATATAGGTAAATATTTACCTGGTAATTGGTGGTAGAGGTGGTGCAGAATCTAAAATTCTAGCTTGTCTAAACTGTTGGTTGGGTTGAGGTCTTTGCTGTGGAATGTTACTCACTAATACAGCTCCTGGTATTGAAAGTCTTGGAGGTACTTGAGCATTTGAATAACTAATAAATATCTGAGAAGAAAAAGAAATTATGCTTTTATATGGATTTTAAAAATTACCCAATTTTTAATTAACTAATAAACAAAAATTTTGAGTTTCCTTTATGTAAATTCCTGTTTCCGGAATAAAAAACCTTTTATAACATACCAATTTACATATTCAGTTATATGCCAACGAAACTGATCTAAAGTGTTATAAAACACCAAATTGACCGCGACTCGTACGAAGAAAGTGGAACAGAAATTGAAATTAAAATAATAAATGGATTGCGCAACTAATATGCTCGTAATAAAGTGGAAAAACAAGGTTTGTGTAATAGCCAAAAGGAGTAATAAGACTAAAGGAATTTCGGTACATATAAAATCGTTAAAGTAAGTTTTTTGACACAAGGTTTATAAATACAGATTGATCAAATCACGTAATAAATTTTCTACTTTGGCGTTGGTTTTTAAATATATGTTAATATTATTTTTAACTAAGACTCATAAGTCATTAAGTCGAAAATATTCCAGGAATATGCCCTATCATCTACCCTGATAGCACAGTTTATTCTAAGAATGTTTTTTAAACCTTCCAGTGAGAATATTCTTAGGATCATGCTATATTTCTTCTAAAGAACATGCTTAAAAGAAATATAACATAATCCTAAAGCCTATAGGCAGGTTCTTAGAAGGTGCAAAGTTTAGTGGTAAAAATTAATCCACTCTAAACATATGCTTAGAATGTTGAGAAAGTAATTGCTATAGAAAGTTCATTTAGTAATATTCCTTGAACATTCTGTTAAGCATATTCAGTTCAGTTAGGTACCTATATAATAGTAAAATATACCATAATCTACGTATAAAGGTACCTATACTTAGTATTAAATACTAAGTAAAAACACAACCCAAAATATTTTTTTTATAGTTATTTGTCAAATTAAAACAATATTCGATAACAAAAATACTTTTACTATAGGTATCTAAATTATCCGGCTTTTACATAAAATCTTCTATCCAACTTAAATACAATGAAAAATGTTTTTTTTATGAAGAACTATTTGGTTTTTTCTTTTATGAAGAATTATTTTATAAGGAAATATTTTGTTTTTTTATATTTTATTTTATGTTAAAAATAAATATTTATTAATTTGTATACCGATCTGAATTAACATTTTTATGTATAATAATCTTAACTATCTTCAACTTCAATCTAATCTGACTTATCCCACAAAATTTTCCAATTTTACTTTTTATGAAATAATGTCATACAACTTATGGTTTAGAGGTCAAATTGTTTATTTAATATTTTTAAATAAATATATATTAATATGTCGCAAAATTTTTTAAGGGGACGACAAATACATTTCACTGTCATATTATGACAGTGAGGCGTATTTGTCGCCTCCTGAAGAATTTTACGAATGTAGAATCCAACATATTAGAACGTGGGTATCTGACATATTTGGAAATATTCTTAAAAGCTTCCTAGAAGAACATTCCAAAAACGTATTCTTAAAATGTTCTTAGAATGCTTTTTAGGAAGGTTTTAAGAAGCTTCTAAAAATCTAATTGCATCATTAAAAGGGTATCTATTGAATTTTATAGCAATAAGGGAAGGTTCTAAGAATATTCCATTAATCTGGGTCATATCTTCTTAGAAGATTCTTAGAATCAAATTTTACTATCAGGGAAGTATCTCATTGCAGCACCGAAAGCGGTGTTATAATGAAGTCATTATGAACGCAAAATAGATAAAATAATTTTCCGGTGTAAAAAAAATATATGAAGTAATTAAGTATCTAATATTAATTTCCTACTACAACATTACGTAAGTAATCTGCATTCAAGCTTACGGAATTTTTAACTGGATAAATGAATTTATCCGATTGGATTGGAATTTCTTGTGGTAAAAATGACAATATTATAAGTAGTAGCAAGGTCAGCAGATTGAAATTACTATCATAAAATAGGTGTAATATAATAAAAAAGGTAACTAACCTTAATAACTATGTTAACTATAGATTCTAAGCTAACAATAAATTAATATTGCCCATTAATGGAATTATACTTCTACATCATTTATGCACTAATTTTTTTTTACATATTTCTTAACGTTTTAAAGGTTAATTATTATTTCACTTGTTAATTAAGGTAAAAACATACCTGGTGTTACATTTAAAATAAAAAAGTTATTAACGTTTCAAGTTAGCCCAATTTCTCCTGGATTTTCTCGGGTAATTGGTTGAAAAATGTTAAAGAATTGACATGGAATCTTTTAAACAATGTTTTAAGATTCCAAAAATTTCACCTCAATTTCCGTAAACCTATTTTTGATTGACGCGCATTTATCAAGTTTTAACGAAAAAAATTAATAATTTGAAAAATATTCACATTGTAATTGGATTGTATGTAGAATTTAAAAATGTAAAAATATTTGGGGTGTTATAACACCCAAATATATATATTTGAAATAACAAAGTTGATATCATTGTAAATTTCAAATCCATATATTTTTCCGTTGCCCAGAAACTTTCAATGGACCACGAATGTAAAACACCCTGTATATCAAGTGGTGTTTTTAGGTTGTGATTCTAAAGCAAAGTATAATCGTCAAACCAATAGGTCAAGATTTGTTTGCAACATATATTTAATATAAGATAAATACAAATCTGTTGTTTTATTAACAAAAAACAAAATATTTGTTTTGCTTAAAGAAAATTAAAATTATTATTTAAGTATAATTTTTGTGTAATGTAAACACATACAGTATTTGAAGTAAAAAAAAGATTTATAACAAAATAGAGAATTAAAAATATTAGCTGTAAAAATAAGAAATATTTACTGCAAAAAATATTGTTGGCAACTAATTTAATTTAGTAATGTGTAACAAAGGGTTCATAACCCAGGGTAAATATTTATAAATGTATTCACAGATTTCCTTAAAAATGGCATTCAGTTCACTTCAGCAAAAGTGGGTTTAAAAAATATTATTAATGAAAATGATTAGATTAGTTTGTTTAAACTTTGTTTACGTTTACTTAAAAATAAGAATATTTGAATTTTTAATAATAGTTTTATAAAAACATACAAAAAATATAGTTATTGGACATTTTATATACCTAGTAATTGGACACATGGAACATAGTTATTGGACATACAATTTTTATATAAACAAAACAACTTTACATCAAATAACAAAATTGTTAAATATTTTTTAAAGATAAATTGCTGTTTTAGGTAATTTTTTTTATTTCGTTTTTGTAAATATAATATAATTCATATATTTCTTTCTCGGATTCCTCATGCCTTTTCTGGATTCTGAAGGTAACTACTAATTCCTTGGTCTGACTTCTGAAATAGTTTGTTGCAAGTATCATTAAGTGTGGTATCTCTAGTTTGTGAAGCATTTATAATGTTTAGGCCGGAACAGGATGATTTATATATATCTAATATTTTTTCGGGTGGCAAGTATTTTCCGAATTTATTAATTTTGTTGCCATTACTGTTTTACGTTCTCTATCATGCACTGTATTTAAATCACATCAAGATGTCCTGTGACGAAGAAATCACTATATTACTTACTCTCTAAAAATGAATTAGTCAAAAATGTCATAGCGACAAAGCAGCCAGGACATTTAGCAGTCAATTCCTATGAAATATTATTCGCTGAATCCGAAAATGTCAAAAGTTATAAAAGTAGAACAGTTTTTAAAATATAATCAATTTTACATATAATATGGAATTGACTATATCTTAAAAACTGCTTAACTTTTATAGTTTTTGACGGTCTTTTCGGATTCAGGGACAATTTTACATAAGAATTGGCTGGTAAATGTCCGGGATACAAATAGAGTATGATATTGGACATAATATGTCCAATAATAGAAATTTACATTTTTTACCAACAGTAATTGGACACTGGCCATTCTACTGTTTGTTTTCAGAATTAAAATTAAAACGAATTAAAGTGACAATGTTTAAACCATGAGGAACACATTTATACCACACACTGATCTGTACACTTTTTAGAAATATTTTTTATTGTAATTTAAACACAGCCCTGCTCTTAACAAAAAACAAAAATCTTACCACCAAAGTAACGTGCGAACTTTTTTGTCCTATATTGGACCCAAAATAAAGTAGTTCTACATTATTACCGACTGAGATAATTAAAATTGTATACAGCGTCATCTAATGATTTGACTTTAAGGTAACTATTTATATATAGAACTCATTGTTTTTACAGTAATAATGTTAATTGTCCAATAACTATAAAGTGTCTACTTTACCCTATATCGAACAAATTAATTATAATAAAAGTTCTATTATAAAACTTATGTATGATTTGGGTCGAAAAAAAAATAATTTAGGTAGATGCTAATGCTAATGTTAGACATCTGGAGATAGATAACCTCAATTATTTGTAAGTATTCAAATTCAAGGTGGGAATTTTTAATGTAAAGTATAGTGTTTTTAATCAGAAATTATTATACCCATTAAAATATGCATATAAACTTAATAGACCGTATGTACATTACGATCAAGAAATCTAAGATAATTATTATCTTTAAGTAGGTTTATATTTTTATAATATGTTTTTGGAAACTAGTTTAAAATAAATTCATAATTCTTAATTCATAATTAAAGTCAAAATAAATAAAACATTCACCACATACCTAAACCACATATGCATTAACAGTTGGTTTAGAAAAATTAATCACCTTAAAGTGATTGTATTTATGAAACAAAAACATTTTTGACCACTAATCACAAAACCACAAATCACTTTCACAGATGGCTACTTACCACAAAAAACAAACTAGCGACGCACCACGTCATTTCGATGGAAAAAATGTCTAGAATATAAAAGAACACATAAACACTGTGGTCCAGTTTATAGCATGTCAATTAAATGTGACAATGAGGTCTTGGTCGACGTTTTATAGGTACCTCGCCCCTCTTGGGTACGCATTGTACACCGGGTACCAAGCCCAAGTACCACAGCCATGGTGCTGGTACTTTCACGACGCAAGACAATCGATGAAGTATTGATACTGGAGTATGGCCCGGCATATGGTATCAAATGATTAAACAATTGGAACCAAAATCAGAGGTTCTCAAATAACTTAAAAAAACTGAAAACCTAAAACCAAAAATCGTTATACGCTAAAGAAGTATCCCTGATAGCACAGTTTATTCTAAGAATGTTTTTTAAACCTTCCAGTGAGAATATTTTTAGGATCATGCTATATTTCTTCTAAAGAACATGCTTAAAAGAAATATAGCATAATCCTAAGACCTATAGGCAGGTTCTTAGAAGGTGCAAAGTTTAGTGGTAAAAATTAATCCACTCTAAACATATGCTTAGAATGTTGAGAAAGTAATTGCTATAGAAAGTTCATTTAGGAATATTCCAGGAACATTCTGTTAAGCATATTCAGTTCAGTTAGGTACCTATGTATATAATAGTAAAATATACCATAATCTACGTATAAAGGTACCTATACTTAGTATTAAATACTAAGTAAAAAACACATCCCAAAATATTTTTTTATAGTTATTTGTGAAATTAAAACAATATTCGATAAAAAAATACTTTTAATATAGGTATCTAAATTATCCGGCTTTTACATAAAACCTTCTATCCAACTTAAATACAATGAAACATGTTTTTTTATGAAGAACTATTTGGTTTTTTCTTTTATGAAGAATTATTTTATAAGGAAATATTTTGTTTTTTTATATTTTATTTTATGTTAAAAATAAATATTTTTTAATTTGTATACCGATTTTTTATTTCTAAATTAACATTTTTATGTATAATAATCCTAACTATCTTCAACTTCAATCTAATCTGACTTATCCCACAAAATTTTCCAATTTTACTTTTTATGAAATAATGTCATACAACTTATGGTTTAGAGGTCAAATTGTTTATTTAATATTTTTAAATAAATATATATTAATATGTCGCAAAATTGTTTAAGGGGACGACAAATACATTTCACTGTCATATTATGACAGTAAGGCGTATTTGTCGTCTCCTGAAGAATTTTACGAATGTAGAATCCAACATATTAGAACGTGGGTATCTGACATATTTGGAAATATTCTCAAAAGCTTCCTAGAAGCTCCATAAGAAACCTTCTGAAATCATTCCAAAAACGTATTCTTAAAATGTTCTTAGAATGCTTTTTAGGAAGGTTTTAAGAAGCTTTTAAGAATCTAATTGCATCATTAAAAGGGTATCTATTAAATGTTTTAAAAGTCCCTAAGAACATTCTTAGCAATAAGGGAAGGTTCTAAGAATATTCCATTATTCCGGGTCATATCTTCTTAGAAGATTCTTAGAATCAAATTTTGCTATCAGGGATACACCCAACAACAAAACAAATCGTGCCACGGTTTTTTTTTCGATATTTTTTAACATTTCAATTTAAATTTTAAATTAAAAAATTATTTAATTAATGTTAAAACGGCGTGCCATAGTTTTACTAAAATCACCCTTAACTTTTGGGTTATGCGACATTTTATACTATTTTAATTTATCTTGTCAAACAAAAACTATCTTTTTACTTAAAATACATTTCTATTGGATTTTAATTAAATCTAAACAATGTATAAATTTAATTCATTAATGGAGAAGGTCGAATTATAAAATAAACTTATTTTACCACTCTTTGTGATTATAAATTTACAAAAATTACAATTTTCACTTACACTAAAACGAAAGTGACAGTCTTTATAAATATTGATGAATAACTTGTTTTACATGCATTTAAATATTACGTTATGTGAATATTCACTCCCTTTGCTTCTTTCTTTGATTTTTAGGGAGCGTCATGTTTCAAATTTAAATAAAATATAATAATGTGATTCTTAATAAACACGGTTAAAAGTCATACTTTGAATTGTTAGATATGCATATAATTTTTGCAAAAATTCTATATAAAAAAATTAATTTTATACCTTATATTTAATTTGGTCGAATTTTACTTTATAAAGTATAGATCTATAGATAGTTGGTATCAGTCATTGGTTTGAAGGGTTAATGTCAAAATCGATTCGCCATGCCGTCCTTAATTTACTTATTTACAATAAGCGGCTGTTAATGTTAAAGAAGAAAAAAAGGATTTTCTTTGGTGTTAAACAAAATTTATTGCCAGAAAAGTCTCGTAAGTACTTGAAAAATCATAAAAATATTATAACCAATACGCAAAATATTATGCTGTTTAAAGTATAGTCAACCTATAAAATCAAAATTTTGGGTGGGGTAAAGTACCTCATTACATTAATATATTAACCCTTGACTATTGCAAAAAATAAAATCTAAAAAAAAAACTGCAATAAAATGTTATGCATATGAATGCTGTGAAAAACAATTTGACTATCCTTAAAAAATTAAAACATTTGCCAAGCCTAAAGTAAGTATATTGTACCATATTTTATATAATGCCTAAAGTCCAAAGCATGCATTTTAACCATGGTTAAAATGCATTGTTTCGCAGTTGAACATATAATTATTAACGCTTAGAAAACAATTGTTGTAGATGTGGAATTATTTGATCAAAATTAACATTTTGTTAAACATTTTTTAATAATTATAATTAAAACCTATGTGGATATTAGACTTACGAAGCCTATAAGCTAAAGAAGTATCGCTAGTAGCGCCACCACTCGGCTGTTATCATCGTAACTAAAGTACAACTTTTAATAATCAGCTGTCAAACGCTTATGTTACAAAAGAGTGTTTTTGAGAGTAAAGCCGGAAAATGTTAAAAAATATCGAAAAAAAAACCGTGGCACGATTTGTTGTGTTGTTGGGTGTATTTCGAGAGGAAATCCTGGGTTGAGTTTTTACCGGTTTTCCAATAAACAGTGTTAATCTGAATGAAGAATAAATTGTATACAGTCCCTGTAAATATAAATTGTACCTATTAGATACAATAAATATACATAAATATACAATAAATATACATTTTAGACTAAAATGATTAACGTGAAAAGTGTAAACATTTCAATTCAGTAAAAATCGTCAAACAAATAAGTCGTCTAAATTTAAACAGCATTTAGCATTATTAAAAGCGTACCTACTCAACGGTAAAATACCATTATATTAATAACTATAAAAAAATATTTTGGATTATGTTTTTTACTTAGTATTTAATACTAATTACTAATTAGGTAATTAAGTATAGGTATATACCTTTATACGTAGTGTATGGTATACCATATTTTACTATTATACATATAGGTAACTGAACTAAATATGCTTAACAGGAATATTCTGCTGTGCTTAATGAAAACGCCGTAACCAACAATTTTGCGATTTTTGGTTTACGGCATTTTCTACTAGAACAATTCATCCTGCGTCTATCCCCGGTACTCAAAAAACCGTATCTATATATATACGGTTTTTTTATTACCGGGGATAGACGCAGGATGAATTGTTCTATAGTAGAAAATGCCGTAAACCAAAAATCGCAAAATTGTTGGTTACGGCGTTTTCATTAAACACGGCAGTATTCCTAAATGAACTTTTTATAACAATTATAATTAGTCTACTCCAAACATATGCTTAGAATGTTAAGAAAGTATACTTTCTTAACATTCTAAGCATATGTTTGGAGTAGACTAATTTTTACCAATAAAACTTTGCACCTTCTAAGAACCTGCCTATAGGTCAGTAAGAATATTCTTAGGATCATGCTATGTCTTTTAAGCATATTCTTTAGATTAGAATAAAGTGTGCTATCAGGGTAAGACTTCTGCCTTCCTCTCTTTTGTGAAAATACTACCTTTTTATTTAAAAATGATGTACAGTTCGTATGCTTTAAATGTATTGTTGACAATTCTTAAATTCACGGAATGCTATCGAAGTCCACCAGATACCACCCGATACTTCTTTAGCGTAGATATAGGTATCCCATGGAGAACACTGACGTCAGCTGACGTTTAAATCAAGTTGCTAACGTCATTTAAATGTCAGCAGACGTCATTTAAATGTCAGCAGACGTCATTTAAATGTCAGTAGAGGTCAGTGTGCTATCTGGGATACCATATTATATAATAGGATCAGCAATTAATTAATTATTGTATAATATTGATATCAAGTTTATGAATTACATTCTTAGTAAACTAGTTTTCTTCGAGTATACGAAATTCATCAGGTATTTACAATAACAACTCGTTGGGAAATTGAAAAGTATAAGTAGGTGTATGGATCAACCGTTTGAGTGTTATAACTATGTATGTATAGTTTGTTTTAAAAGCTTTCTCTTCAATGTCATTTCTACCTCGTTATAAATAATACAGAATAAAAAATTATGTTTTCAAAAACTATTGGATTTTTCTTCCTTTTTTTAATTTCTAAATTTCTTGCCCTTAAAATAAAAACACGAATCAAAGGGTAAAAGAGTAGATACCTAGTATATATTTTGGCTAAAAAAATCAATTTTATTTTATATAAAAATTAAAAAATCTTCTCGTCTCATTGGAAAGTAAGCTGTGAAGAAAGATCAATTTTCTCCACAGTTATAGACTGACCCACTTTCTCACTTAAAAACTTATAAATAAATAATACACAAATTCTTTACTATGATTAGAAAAATTAATATTATTTTGGAGTTTTTTATTGATTCTCAAATTATAGCCCTTCTGACTTTTTATGTTATAATTATTAATAGAACAGTTTTGTAGGCAATATAATGTATGATTTCACTAGAATATGTAAGATTTTTTAAACAGATAAATATGGGTGAATCTCACGAAATGTCCCCCGATGGTGTTACCCCGTGATATTTAATAAAACTAAATGAGTTTGACCTACACTTTTATTG